TAATTAATTTAAAATAGTATTAAAAATAATTGAAATTCTTCGATGAGTTTTATTATACTTATGAAAATAATTGAATTTTGGATGAATTTCATCAATTTTTTTTAAATAATTGAATTTCTTTTGTGAAATTTTATGAAAATACTAAATATTGAAAATAATTGAATTTCGAATATTTTTTGAAAATAATTGAATCGTTTTAAAGAATTTGATTATAATTTTTGAGAATAGTTTTTTGATTTCTAGTATTAGCGAATTTAAAGTAGTGGAAAATCTAAAAAAAACCAAAATAGTAGCTTTTAGTGGCGTAAATCTAAAAAAGTACCCAAATAGTAGCATAATGTAAAAAAAGTAGTAAATAGTAAAGGTTTTAGTAGATGAGTGCGAAGCCTGAAACCGTGACATTTCTACTATATTATTACATCGTGAAAAATTTTTGTATCACGTTAGTCACGATCTAATAAGATTGTGATAGAAATGACACGGTTTTCAAAAAGGTGGGCAAACCGGAAGGACAGCATATAAGCAGTTACCTGTATCTGACAAAAATGCAATTTTTAAAATTCATAAAATTTCAATTTTTTCGAGAAAGCAAAGTGTTCATGAAATGAAAACAAACGTTTCAACTTTAACTTTGCGATTTGATTATTAATTTTATAGCTTTAAAATTAGCGACCCTAAAAATAATTTGATAAGAAGTATTGTAAAATTCCATTAAAGTAAATATGATTAAATGCTTTTGTCCAGTTACATTCACGTTTCCAATCATAGTACACGTCACATAACAATTGTAATTCTCATTCAGTATGCTGGTTGCTGGATCAAAGTGCGAAAGTAATTTTATTGTCCTGTTTGGTGATACTATTATAAAAAAAAGATTTAATTTATTTAAATAAGAATTTTATGAAAGGAAACATTTTTTTGATGTCTGTATGTTGAGAAAATATTTATTACGAAAGTTCATAATGAAAATTACAGGCTATATATTCAAGCAATTTTTCAAGCTTCTTTTTTCTATTTTTTAAATTTTTTCGAATAAATAAAAAAGGCATTTATTTGCTATAGTAGAAAGGATTAAAATGAGTGCAAAGTAAATAAATATCGCTCAATTTATTAATTTAAAAAAAATGAAATAAAAAATTACTTCAACAAAAAAAGGCGCTTGCGGTTTTTTCACCTCACCACAAAGATTATTACAAAAAGAAACAATATTCTCAAAACCAGAATAAAACAAAAAAAAAAAAATTATCAACACGCACGTGACAAGTACAATTTTACTTTTTCCTATTCTGCAAACATTCACTTTTACATTCTATGCAATCGTAATAGGTTTGAAACGTTTATCAAAATCTTTTGCGCAGGGAAGCTCAAAAATAAATATGCATTAAAAACTACTGCACTACAGCGTTAAACAGTATCAAATTGCATATTACAAGATGAATCTTAATATTCTAAATGACTGATAAAATAGAATAAGCTTTAGTGTTAAATCCAAATAACTTTTTTTACTCCATTCCACTCAACACAAATCGACAATAAAGTACTCTGAATTACAGTTTTTCTCACTTTTTTTTTATAAAATGAGATGAAAAAAAAACAAATGAAATTTATCTGCTCGACGTGTATTACTAGATTTGTGAGCTATAAGAATCCGTAATGACGGAAAGTTCAGTGTGCGAATGTAAATAAGTCATTAAATATGCTCAAGGTGTCAGAGTTGGCGCCTTAGCGTGTTTCATGCTTATGTTGTTTTCTATTCTGATAAAAAAAAAGAGTCAGTCTGAATCAGTTTCAGATTTATTAGTAATATTCCACAAATATTGCTATATTTAAAAATTTAAAGGAATTAAACATTTCTAATATTACTCATTTACCTTCCATTATATTGAAATACGGACGTACAAATTTTAAATTATTACACATTTATGGACGTAAAACATATTAAAATTGTGAATTATAATTATCTTGTGCAATGTTTCATTACCATTAATTTCAAATCTCTGATATAATACGAGGAATATCTAATGAATTTAAATAAATTAAGCGCCGTTGAGATTGATTTCTTCAAATGATTATTCATATATTGTATCAGGAAATTAGCATAAGTCATTTCAAGTAAACGTTTTCAAGTAGTATTGTAAGAAACATACATATATTATGCAGTTTACAAGTTTTTTACTACTTGTACCAAAATAGCGAAAAAATCGGGACATCCGGGAAAAATGTTGGTAATGTCTTACGAACATCATAAAGATAACATAAAAAGACGTCTAAAGGACAACCAAAAGGACGTCTAAAGTATGCCTCTTTTGGACGTCCTTTTCACATCCCTTCAGATCTTCTTAAATAAACAGGTCTTTTACAATATTTTCTAAGTTAAAACACAGTAACATTGTATTAAATATATTTTAAGTTTAGTGTTATATTTTATAAAATTATACAAAAATAACACAGGCCGACCAAATTTTAGGTCATCTCAGAAGCATGAACCGAAAGATACGTTTCCCGAAGCTTTTTGAAGTACTGAGTGCTAATCCGGCCTAAAAATTGACCCAGCACGAAGATGATACCAGTTTTATGGAATATTATAAAAATTTACTGACTATTACAGACCTTTCAAGAATTTACTGACTTTTACGGAAAATACTGACTTAATTAAAACCAAATGAAAAAGTGTTACCCCAATTTATCAGTAACAGAAAGTTTTATAAATTTTTTTTATTTTGTCATTTCAGAGATAATGCAATTCTATGCTTTTTTGCATTTATTTATAAAAAACGAATAACTTGAAACCTTATTAAATTGTGTGCTTCTAAAAATAATTATAATATAACAATATTTGTTGAAACTTGAACGACTTTAAATTTTGAGTATTTTTAATGGCACACTTAATAGTAATGGGTTAAATGTTTGTATGAACTGTATAGATATATTGTTGTCAATAATATTATTTCTAGAGGCTAAAAATTTACTCCAAATGAAACAATTTAAAACGTTAAATATACAATTTTTAACAACTGTTATTATTAAAATCAATAGACCTGAATTTATCTTAACCTCCAGTAGTCGTCATTTATTCGTTTTCAATAATGAATTCTTGAAAAAAAATTTTCTTTTGAAGTTTCTAATTATAATTCTTTTAGCACTAAAGAAAAATGATTCACATGGAAAATTACGATTTTTAAATTTATTCTTAACATAATTGTCTATAAATAAAATGCGTGCTTGTAATTTAAAAATCTTTATATTTACGATCTTAAATTATGCAGTTTCGTAGATTTGCCCATATATGTCAGTTTTATAATTTTAATCCCAAAATTTACATATATAGAAATAGTAAGAAATTAGTGATGTGTACATTTAGATACTGAAGGAGAAATGTTAAATGATAATCATATCGATGAATTGAAAAAACTATTGAGAGGAAAATCAAATGCATTTTTTAATATGCCAAGCATTCCGTGTATTCGAATGTGATTTAATTATTCCTATCAGAAGATGTTAAAATCATATTTAAATACATTTTAGTGGTTATTGCGATTATTGTCAATGCATTTGTATGCATTACGATGCTATAAAATTTAATGTTTATAAATCATTTCTATATTATGACATAAATTTTTATGGATAATAAGAGTAAGAAAGATTCATAATAAGAAATGCATATGTAATATCTGTGCTTGTCAGTAACGATCGTTCACTTATGATGTTAAATTGTGAAATTCAATTTTTAATAATTCTAATACTATAAAACACATAAAATGCTTTCATATAATATTTCAAACTAATATTGACGACATCAAAGTATTTACTACATTTTAACCCAGAAATGTTAAAATACTAAAAAATGTTTTGTATGGAATTCTAAGAAAAAATTGTGAACCTTAAAATCTTAAACTTTAGTTCTTCTTAGAGGGTATATACTAAGATTTGTTCTTTTAGATTCCGCGGTCAAAAAAGCATTTCAAGAATAAGAAAGAAATCTAATATGGAATTAAAAATAGAAAAACTACCATAAAAATCGAAGCTATTTTTAAATCATCAAAAACATTTTTTTACACAGGTCTAATTTATGCTATTGGAGATTAAATAGTTGTACATTCGGAGTGAATAGTTTAGAATATTTAAGTTTTAACTTTAAGCAAAACCTGAGTGACAGGTTTTATGCCGTATTATCGAATTCAACAATTTCTGGTCTCCTATTTTGGATATTTCATTTTCTTGCACAGATGGTTGAAACCTAATTCGGAAGTTAGTTTTATTATTTTAAAAACATAATTTAAATCTTTTTGTCCTATAATAATTTTTTTTCTTAAAGTAATATTTGCGGCAATAATTTAGTCGTTATTTGGAATTTATTCCTATATTAATTAATTTTTTCTATAGATCAAGTTCGTAGTACTGAACTTTTTTGGTTTTTTGCCCAGAGGGAATAAGAAGTCCCTTCTAAACAAAATTAGAAGAAGGGTCATTAACTCATTAACACCGCGAAACGTTAACATACAATTTTCTTAAAGCTGATTGCAACTTTGCAAGCGAGTTGAAGCAGAAATGTAAATCAATGTTATTGTTTTCAACACGTCATAATGAAGATTGTTATGTTTGTGATGCCATTTGACACAAGTTAATTTACTTTAACAAGAAGAAGGCCTATGGCATGGTGTCAAGCAATTGAAACAATTATTTTTTAACCTAATTTTTAATGCATTCCAATCATCAAATCTTTAAATCAAAAACCTATAAATTAAGCCGAAGCGCGATTTTAATTAGGTGCACACAAGACATTTTGACTTGAAAAATCTCTTAATTGACATTACATTTGAAGATTTATTCTTCTCTAATAGTAACCTAACTATTATTTCTTATTTAGAAGTTTGAATAGATTCTAAAGTACCTAATTTTAATGAAGAAATAATTGAATTGTTGATTAAATTGTTGTTGATTCTTATATTTTATTGTCATTTTAGATAGAGTAGATACATTTAATGTACTTTGATTTGCAGGAAGACTGCGAAAAGAAAATGCAGGAGTGTACGAACAGCAGTATAGGAACAAATGTAGCTGTTTGCGGAAGCGATGGAATATCGTATCCTAATCGATGTGAAGTCATTTCTAGACAATGCCAAGGGGCATCTGTTTTTATAAAACACACTGGCTCCTGTCCAGGTATAATAATCTTATTCTCCTATATTAAATAAATTACACTATTTAAGGAGGACTTTCGGTCATCCTATAAATATAATTATAAGGAAAATGTAAATTGAAAAAGGGTACAATGCATTGATGAATAAAAATTTTCAATGCTTTCGCTTTTGCTACATACGCTTTTTATAAAATGTTTAATTTCTTTTAGAATGTCATGCAGCCAGAGCAGAAGCTAGAAGCCCAGGTGCACGTCCGATTTGTCGAAACGATGGCTCTTATGCACCTGTGCAATGTCACACTAAAACAGGTTACTGTTGGTGTGTTACACCCCAAGGTCGACCGTTACGCGACACTTCAGTCAAAAATCGTAAACCACGATGTCCAACGTTTACCAACAATTATATAGCTTCCACCAGAAGTGTGCAAAGCAGACGTCCTCCAACGAGGAAAAATCGCAAACAATATGGTGGTAGGCATCGTAATTCCTGCGACCGAAGTGAGAAGTCAAAGTTCAACAGTAATCTTATCGAAAACTTCAAAATTGAATATCGTCGAATCAACATTACTATAGAAGGTGAATTATTTCATTACATATAAATTCTTTTCACTTTTGAATCCTTAAAATTCACAGTGAAGAAATAACGTACATTTTGTTCAACTAAAAAATAATTGGATGTAAATTATTTTTTCCTATGGTCAAATATTATTGATATAAAAATAGAATATTTTGATCTAGGAGACAAAAATATTGAGAGAGTTCTGTCTTGGAAGTTTGTAACTCTGGATCAAAATAACGATGGTTTTTTGGACAAAGGAGAATACAAAGAGTTGCGCAGACTTGCTAAGAAGGCAGTACGTCCAAAAAAATGTGCACGCTCCTTTGCTCGGAATTGCGATATCAACAGAGATTCGAAATTATCCCGACAAGAATGGGGAGCCTGTCTTGCCAATGATTTTACTCGTGAGTTCAAATAATATTTTCATTAAACATGCTTAGGAATACTCGGAAATTTAAATGCGCATATGATCATAGACTAACATATTAAAAAAATATACGATGGGGGATTGTTCCCAAACTGACCCAAGTTGTTTTGGAAAAATTTCAGATCGCTTTCATACTTCAAAATCCTGTTTCTGATAGTAGTTTACGTTATGGTACTATTTGGTTCCTTTTTTTAGATTTCATTCACTAAAAGCTAATTCCTGTTGCTTTGAGAACGTACACTATACTTTAAATTCACTAATACTAGAAATCAAAAAACTATTCTCAAAAATTATAATCAAATTCTTTAAAAGGCTGTATGAGGCTTACTTATGAGGTTTACTCTTCTTGAAGATTGCTTGCAACCCACGCACAAGCCAGACAAACAGAATAACAGACTTCTTGTGAGAATCTACTTATGCATTCTATTTAACAAGTTAATTTCTTTACAAGTGCCTACTCTATCAGTTCATTTACTTCAATAAAAACTACTTGCCACAGTTAAAAACCTATATAAATATGTTTACGTACGTGTTTAAAAATACTTGTTTCTCAGAGTGTCAAAAACATCTGTGTAATAATCTGTACGTGTATAATTAAAATGAAAAAAATAAATCGTTTCCCCACGACTAGGACTATTGCCCTATATTTAACATGTGTAGTGTTTGGTCTTTGCGTGTCGAATTCAATTTCTTTCTGAGACGTTACAATTTACATGATAAAGGAAAACCCAATGGGAAATGTCAGTTTAGTGCTGACGATTACTGTACTGGTTTAGTACTAAGCCTATTGTATGTACAGTTGCAGTTCAGCCAAGCCTCGACCATTTTAAAAGAAATTACAATATGAAATTTGATAAAATTATATTAAAATTTAATTAATACTCTTGATATTTGATATAACTATATACTAAATTTCACGTAAGCTTTTTAAGTTTATTTTTTTATATAGAATTTTCGCTTTGCCGCCATAGTAAATTGTGAGGTATTAAAAAGCGTTGCAGATGAAATTAACACCAAAAAAGATTAAAATATTCCATTTTGGTTTCCATTTTTAGTTATAATTATTAGTAAAGATTTAAATCTTTTGATTAGCAAGAAAGATGATGTTTTATGCTTTTTACAGTATTACGTGGCAATCCTTCAACATACTCTCGACCAGCTTTTAGAGACGACCCACCCGATTCATCTGATGATATCGACGGTAAGAGAATCGACAATTTGATTAGTAGAGTTAGTAATGCATCAAAAAATTGAAACTAAATTTTCTAACAAAGTAAAGTAATAATTGAATGTATCCATTATGTTTCAAAAATCATTTATTTAATTTAAAGTCGTTCTAGAGTATTTTTATTTTTTAAAACAATGTTATAAATTTTAACTTTCGATTTGATACTAAAGATACCTAAAATTTTCAGCCAATGACTGTTTATCTGATAGAAAATTAGTATTAGAAGATTCTAAAACAACTTCGGAAGAAAAATTCTACATTCCTCAATGTACGCCTGACGGTAGGTATCATCGGGTACAATGTTATTCGGGATACTGTTGGTGTGTCTATCAAGACACTGGAAAACCCATTCCTGGAACATCATCAAAAACTCGAGAGCCAAATTGCACTCCAGTTTCTATTCCCGTCAGACCTATGAGTGGTAAAGTTCTTTGCATTTCTTCTTAATAATAAGAGTCACCATATTGTGTTTAAGGTGTTAATTAATCTCTTTACTATCACTACTGTAGGATGTCCAGAACCAAAAAAAGAAATATTCCTTCGAGATCTCATGCAACTACTGCACAGAAAAATGAAATCTGCAGATCCGGATTCTAATGAGACTTTCGCTAAATGGCAAGTTCCTAAAGAAGAAAGAACTGCTACCTGGCATTTCGTGATGATGGATATAAATAAAAATAAGGTAAACATTCAAGTTGCATAACATAACATATCGAAAAATTAAACTTGACGACCAGAAAAACTAGTTTTAGACACTTCACAAAACTGACAAAAATTCCATTAAATATTTTTTATTTTTCTAACTTTTTTTCCTAATTTTCATCAAAAATATTTACTTCTTTCTTATCCTACTGCTAATAAATTGAATTCCTGCAATGAATTTTATTATTCATCAAAGAATTTAAATATTTAGAAAAATAAATTCATTCTTGCGAAGAATTTTATAATAATTTTTAAATAATTGAATTCCTGAGAAAGTTTTATTATTCATGAAAATAATTGAATTCTTATGAAGGTTTTTTTTTTTTTTTAAATTTTATAAAAATATTAGATATTGAAAATCAATAAATTGCGAAAGGTTTTTAAAAGTAATTAAATTTTACAAAGATTTCTATTAAAATTTTTGACAATAATAATTGAATGTCTGTGTGGCATTTTATTAATTTTTTTCTTAAATAATTTAATTCCTAAGAAACATTTTATTATTTTTAAAAATAATTGAATTCTTCTGATGAATATTGTTATTTTTATATAAGGGGCATTCCACGCCAAGTCGGACACCTTTTGACTTTTGCATCTCCGATTTTTTTCAAATATTTTTTTTCTTTTAGTGCTGGTTGAAAGGAACTTCCATGATTTTTTTCAAATTTTTTCATGAAGTAATTTAAGAGATCTGGGTTTTTGAAAAATCACGTTTTTTACATAATTTTTTTTTTTAAATGCTTATAACTCGGACAAAAATTGATCAAATTGGACGTTCGATATATGAAAATTTTTGTTTTTACACGTAGTTTTTGATAAAAATATTAAAAAAAATTTTTTTTTAATTTACCAAAAAAATTTTAAATTTTAAAAATAAAATTTAATTTTTAAGAATGTATGTATCGATCGATTTTTTTCAAAATTTTTTGTAAGAAACTGGTACTAAATTAAGAATTTTTAATCCTTGTCTGATTGTGGGCAAACGATGGGATCTATTTATTTTGAAATTTTTAATTTTTGTAAAACGGTAGGTAGCCAAATGCCTAACTTGCAATTTGATCAAATCACTTTTTTAAACAGTAAGAAGGTTAAGTTCGGAGAGACTCAGTCTGAAAACAGTTTTGGTTTGAAAAATTTGCGTGATTTGGTCAAATGTCAAGTTACGCATTTGGCTACCTACCGTTTTCACTGCGTATACAAAAATTAAAAATTACAAAATAAATAGATCCCATCGTTTGCCCACAATCAGACAAGGATTAAAAATTCTTAATTTAGTACCAGTTTCTTACAAAAAATTTTGAAAAAAATCGATCGATACATACATTCTTAAAAATTAAATTTTATTTTTAAAATTTAAAATTTTTTTGGTAAATTAAAAAAAAATTTTTTTTTAATATTTTTATCAAAAACTACGTGTAAAAACAAAAATTTTCATATATCGAACGTCCAATTTGATCAATTTTTGTCCGAGTTATAAGCATTTAAAAAAAAAAATTATGTAAAAAACGTGATTTTTCAAAAACCCAGATCTCTTAAATTACTTCATGAAAAAATTTGAAAAAAATCATGGAAGTTCCTTTCAACCAGCACTAAAAGAAAAAAAATATTTGAAAAAAATCGGAGATGCAAAAGTCAAAAGGTGTCCGACTTGGCGTGGAATGCCCCATAAATAATTGAATTCTGTTAAATATTGTTATTTATGAAAATAATTGAATTCTTGGGAAGAATTTTATTAAAATTGCATTTAAAGTAATTGATTTCTGTTGAACAATTTTATTAAAATATTTGAAAAAAATTTAATTCCTGTAAAAAATTTTAATATTTTTGTAAATAATGGAATTCTTTAATAGAATTTAAAAAAAAAAAAAACATTTTTTTTAATAATTGACTTTTTCGAGAAATTGAAATGAGATTTTTTAAGAATAATTACATTTTTTGAGCAATTCCTGTGAAATTTTCTATTAAATATAATAGAAATCCTGCAATGAATTTTATTATTTATAAAAATAATTGAATTCTTGCGAACGATTTTTATTAGAATTTTTTGAAATAATTGAATCTCCAAAAAGAAATTCATTACTTTTAAAATTAATTGAATTTACAAGAAAAAATGTATTATTTTAAAAAATAATTGAATTCTTGTGATGAATATTGTTATTTTTGAAAATAATTGAAATGCCTTAAAATAATTGAATTTTCGAAAATAATTTTGTTATTAATCGACATAATTGAATTTCTTTGAAGAATTATTTATGTAAATAATTGAATTCTTGGAATGAATTTTATGAAAATTGTATTTAAAATAATTGATTTCTTTCCAAAAATTTTATTAAAATATTTGAAAATAATTGGATTCCTTTGAAAAATTCTAATATTTTTGTAAATAATTGAATTCTTTCCACGAATTTTAATAAAATTTTTAAGAATAATTACATGTTTTGTACAATTCCTGTAAAATTATGATAAAAATAATTGAAATTCTGCGATGAATTTTATTGTTTATGAAAATAATTGAATAGTGGCTAAGAATTTTATTAAAATTTTCAAAAATAATTGAATTCTTGAGAAGAATTTTATTATTTATGAAAATAATTAAATTATTGCGAAAAATTTTATTAAAATGTTTAAAAAGACTTGAATTTCTGTGAAAAATTTTGTTATTTTTGAAAATAATTGAATTCTTTATAACAATTTTATAAACATTGTTTTAAATAATTAATTTTTCCGAAATATAATAAATATTTTGAAAATTGTATTTTAAATAATTAAAAGCTTATGAAAAACTTTATTTGTGAAAATAATTGAATTTTTCGATTAATTATTTTAAAATAGTATTAAAAATAATTGAAATTCTTCTATGAGTTTCATGTTTTATGAAAATAATTGAATTCTTGCTTAGAATTTTCTCAAAATTTTTTTTAATTAATTGAATTTATATTGTTATTATTAGTGAAAGTAATTAAATTATTGTGAAGAATTGTATAAAAATTTCGTTAAATAATTTATTTTTTTGAAAATGCTTAAAATAATTGAATCGTTTCAGGTGTTAGAAAGAAAAGAATGGAAAAATTTTCGTTCAATGGTTGCGTACTATCCTCATTTAAGGCAATGTGGAAAGAAATTCCCAAAATATTGTGATGTAAACAATGATAGACGAATAAATATGGCTGAATGGCTTAGTTGTCTAAACGCACAACAATTTACTCCAGGTAAATTTTGGCTTTTCTGACTTGAAAAAATAGATTACTATGTATACAATTAAAATTCTTTTAATTATTTTTAATATAATAAAAATGTTTTCAGAAACGAGCACAGAGAAAACATCCACATCAAAACCTAAAAGAATGGGACCAAATCCTCTGGATCAATTTCTAAACGATGATGATTAAAATGTGATATTTAAACGTTTTAAAACAACTGTTGCAAAGGTGCACAATTGATAAACATTTTGTAATTAACAAGTATTAACAAATTAAGTGTTATGCGAAATTTATTCGTTTTTTTGTGTCTTGAAATTATTATTTATTTAATAGTGAATTCGTTTATTTACTGATAAAGTGATCCTGCAAGGAGAAAAATTACTATGTTTGCTCTTTTCTATCCTGTTGGAGACAACAATATTCAAACGGCTAGAAAATTTAGAAGGGAAATATGTTTTCTTCTTAAATGAGCACATGGCATCCTTTTCAGTTATTTTATTTCCATTAGTTTGTAATAATTTTTTTTTCAACTTATTACTTTTTAAGAAACTAATTAATTAACTTAAGGAAACAATATTGTAGATAATGTCTTTTGTTGAAAAGGTGCACTTTCATTTTTTTGGAAAAATAATTGTTTTAAGATTTGTAAAAGAAACAAAAAAGATAGGACCACGAACTGATTGTGATAATGAAATTAAGAAGAAGTAATGAAATTTTGATGTTTATGTATAAAAAATAATTCCAACCAGTTAGTTGTTAATCAATTTAATCCAACAAGGAAGGCTTTTTCATACTCGTCAAATTCTTTAACAATTTTTCTGTTACTAAGGGTAATTTTATCCTCTTAGAATAAATATTTTTTAAAATTGTTTAAAATGATTAAGAAAAAATAAAAGTTTAATTGTTTTTAATTGCTATCACCTAACTGAATCAATTCCAAATGTTTCCAACTGTACCCAATTTTTTAATTTTATTTTTTATTTTCTGAGGATAAGCTGTTGTTTTCTAACTTTTTCAATAATTTTTCTTTTTAAATATTTTTTTCAATTTTAAAATTAATAATAATAATATAGTAATAGACTTATACTGATTAAAAAAGAATCAATTTAAGGACTAATAAATCAAGATGAAATGTACTTTAAAATTTTAGTTACGGAAAATTTGGTTTAAAACAAGTAATGTGCCAGTATTATCATCATCACATTCGCGGTATTCGAAAGTCTTATTTGTAGCACGATTTGAAGCCACTTCCTTTAATTTAACCATTCCATTATTTTGTTTCTCGATACTCCAAAAATTATTAAAATAAATTTGATAAATAACATCACATTCAGAAGAAATAGAAACACAAATATGAACCTGTTGCTGAAGAATCGCCGCACACACGTTCATCGTATCAACGAGGAGAGCACATAATCTAGCGATGTGTACTTCTTTTGTTTCCTTGACGTCCGGATCTTGAATGTAATTATCAAGATCTTCTAATATCAATACAGAAGGTTTAGAAGCGAAACGGTGTAAATCCGCCAGTTGTTCAACTAACGTCTCATAATTCGAGAGATACCTGTACAACAAAAGAAAAATTGTTATTAAAAAATTTTTAAATAAAAATAAATAAAAATAAAAAATTTAAAAATCTAACTTTTTTTTATTCATCTTTTGTATTAAGTAACAGATTTCAAAAAAGTTCCTTACATAAATTGCATGAGTTGAAAAGATTCAGAGTTTGTGGTACTTCTGTCATGATGCGATAATTGTGGAGATTCCAATCGTTTGGGCGCTATGTAAATAACACGATGACCTTCTTCAGCCCAATAAATTGCTGCCTACAAAAGTATTGTATGAATTGAATCGTAAATTTTTCAAAAACACAAATTTTAAATAATTTTTTTTTCCATTAATACCATTAAATGTCCATAATATATCAAACGGAAATGGAAACTAGAAAAGTTAAGGAAGAATCCAAACAACTATCCGAACAAAAGTTAGTCCAATATGTCATAAATTTTTCGTAGGTATTTTAAAAGAAAACGTCAAATTAAAATTTAAAATCCTTATGATAGAAGCGTAATAAATTTAATTTTCTACATTTTGAACATTTTAAAGATACATTTGAATAAAAATTATAATTTTTTGTCAATAATAAATGATTTGAGTAACATAACCTAAAATTTAAGAAATGTTTCTTATTGACAGAAAATTGTAATTTTTATTCAAATGTAACTTTCAATCGTTTTAAATCTTCAAAATTAAATTCATCGTCTTTCCACCAAAACGAATTTAAAATTTAATTTGTGTTTTTCTTTTAAATTACGAAATTAAGACATTGAACTAACTTTTGATTTGACTGGTCGTCTGATTCTTCTTTAAGCTTCTTTAATTTTCATTTTGATTTATAAATAAATAAATAAAAATCGACGGAGGGTATTTTGAGATATTAAGATTTTAACATTTAAAACAGAAATTTCTTTACGAAATTGAGAGAAATTTAAAAAAATATAAAAATAGCAATAGAAAGTTAATGAAATTCTCTTTCGAATCAGTGTATAATATGTTACAAATAATTAAATTTTTATCATTTTTATATATAATAAAATTTATTGGAAAATCACTCTCCTTGCGATTGTCTTTTGTCAGTGATACGGTTTGAAATAGAATGCCTCAAATAAATAATTGTTCCTAGTCGATTTAGATTATTCTTTTTATATAAAAAAATAAAAAGGAATTTTTCAAGAATCTATATAAAAAATAAAAAATTAGGTTAAAAAAGTAAAATGTATTTTTTTCAGTGCGCATAGGGAGCTATAGATAGCTTTTTTCTCTTTGTGTTACTTCGCCATTTTTTCACTATTTAAATGTTTATTCCACAGAAAGGTGACTGTAATAACGTAGCTTTCTTTAAACAAAAATCCCTTCTACTTTTTTTTTTCTAGAAATTTCTTTTTGGAACACTGCAGAATAATTCAACGCGCCCCGGGGCGTAATAAATATAATGATAGTGCAAATCATTATTTAGCTCAGATCTTGTTGTAAAAAAAATATAAATATAGTTTTCACTAAAGAAAATTGAAGAAAAATAAAACTACAGTTATAAACACAAAACATATTGGCTACCCCGGTTAGTCCGCGTACAAAAAAAATACCTACTGCGAAGGTTTAATATTAATAACTACATTCGACCTTCAATGTAGGTACTCTGGGTACGTTATGTTTTAATCTAAATAAAAAAATTACCTCGAACATAAGAAATGAAGTTAATTTCTTCGGGCCAACTATTATCGTTGACTCAACAGAAGACATCGTTGACATTTCCCTTTCTGTTTGGCTTGAGCCATGAAAAGGATACTGAGAGTGCAGTCCCATGCTGGTAGAATAGTGGAGTAGTGTACTAGATTTGACCAATCAAAATAAGTGTTAAAAAAATCCAGTCATCTGATTGGTCGAAACTTATTGTGGACACAACTTTGAGACAATTAACTTTTTATTGTGGAAAGACCATTTGACGGTGTGGTTGCACCTTTAAACTCATCAAAAACGCCTATGTTTTTTTGCCAGTCTTTCCAAGTTTTTCGCTAAATATATACATACACCGGGAACCAAAAAAACTTTTACGATTCAATTCTTGAAATAATTTTTTAACAATAAAAATGAGTGAAAGGTCTTATAAATACTATAAGCAATAGTCTATACAATTACCAATTTTATTGTGTATTACTTAAGTTACTTATTTTTTGACGTATGTTTATTTACATTTACCTAAGTGTATATTTTTTATTTGTCACGGACTTTTTAAATTGAACATTTACAAAAAAGTAGTTCTACTCCTACTTTGATGATATTTGTAAATACTGCCAGTCTGTATAATAATGTTAAAGTCAAAAAATTTGAATACGTATGACATGTTTTTATGTTAAAGAGGTTAGTTGAGGTTATATTACTGATTGTGTAAAACAAAAATGAAATGTAAATTTGTATCTTAACATGTGAGGAGAAAAGTTCCTGATGAGTATTTTTTAAGCAAGTAGTTTAATCTGTTTTAAAATTTGACAAAAATATAATAAATTTTTGAAAGTTCAGGTTAAATTTATACTCTTGAGCAAAGTTTAACTTTTAATGTATTGCAATTGCTCAAACTCCAATAATAGTAGATTTCTGTTCTTCTATGTTATATATAAACTTAGTAGTCTCAATTTTTCATATTTCTAGAGTTTTTAACGTTCATAAAAGCCTCGGATATAATAACTTTTTTCGACTCTTCTAAATATTGCAATATTTTTAGTATAAAATGCAACTTATTTCTAGTTTTACAGTGTGAAAATAGACAAATCTTTTAAAAATGATTTTTGAATATTTTTTCTAATTATATTTTCAAAATATACAGTTAAAAAGACTTGAAAATTTATAAAAATTTAATTTAAAATAATTAATTTTTTAAGTACTTATTTTATTAAAATTTTTTTAAAATCAACTTTAGAAGAATTACAATTTTTAATTTTTAATGTAATTAAATTCTCAAAAGTTTAATAAATTTTTGATAATGGAAATCTCAGGGAACTTCGTTTTAATATTTCTTTTACTTTTAAAGAAAAATAGTTAGCTGAAAAAATTATAGTTTTGTTTTTATAACCGTATTTTATTTTTAAAATGTAGAAAAAATAATATTTTTTAATAATTCTTTTCAGGAGACAGTGTAAGATAAGTGAAAAATGGAGCGTAGCAAAACAGGAACCGGTCGTGGAACAAAAAATAAAATCGCTCAACATCCATCAGATTTATTTGCACTCGGTTCGAAAGGTGGTCGAAATGAAAGTTCTGATTCAAAGAGACCTGGTGTTATTCACGGAAAATCCGTGCCAAGTAGTTCAAGTTCAAGTGAGAATTTTCAATATATTTTTTCTAGAAATTATTGTTAATAACACTTTCCTTCTTTTAAAAATTTCGCGTTAAAAAAATACTACTATATAAAAATTTTTATAATAAAAAGTTTACTATTCTTTAAAGGTTCAGATCGGAAGAAAGAAGCTCCGTCAGGTTCGTTGCAGTCGATGATACCTGCGAAGAAGGCAAAATTGTCGACGCACGTTACACATTCACGATCTCCGATATCGAGTGCGGAAGCGTGGGAGGTAGTTGCAATTGAATGCGATCCTCCGGACCTGGTGCCAATGGTCCTGGAAGCCAACGACAATGACGAGGGAGACAAGGTTATTGGTTTAATTTGCGGTGCAGCCAGAACTTTAAGAAATCAACGATGGAAACCAGATACTCTACTCTACATGGGTTTGATGTATCTGGCGAAAATACGTCCTTCTATTTTTTCCAACGATTGCATATTACATGCCTTGTCGTCCTTATTGAAACGAGATCAGAGTCTTAATTTTAAGAACAAAGGCAATCCACTTGTTTCTGTACTTGCTGCCAATTTACTAATGCGTGGCTTTTATGACAAGAAGAATTGGCCGGAAGTCTTTGTTAAGGTAAGAAGAAATTTCTTATTTCATTGCTTGTTCAGATTTCGCACTTAAAAGCAATTATTTTTAGAGTGAATTAAAATATTCCTTAAGGTCAGGAAAAAAGTCAAAGTTCTGTATGTAAATCAGGGGAAAAATCAAATTTTTGTGGCAACCCTGAATTTATTGTTATAAAATTTTGTTACTAAATTTGAGACACATCGTATAAAAACTATTAGAATATTTATTGATCAAATTGGGAAGTCTGCAAATTTGTTTGAAACGACCTTTTAATGAACATTTTTTTATTTTCAAGCTCTACATTGATGATGCACTCGGCGATCGTGTTTGGATAGACAATGAAGAATGTAAAGGATTCGTCGACAATATTTTAACAGGTTTTAATACGCGAATTCCGCCAAAAAGTGCACTGCAACTTGAATTGAATGTATTAAATCCAAGAGACAGTCACAGTCCCACTGCGGCAGAAGATGACGACAATGGAATTTTGTCCCTTCATCTTCCGGGTGACAAGGAGAAAAATGAATTTACAGTGAGTCCGAGATACGCTCACTGTATCGACAACATTGAGCAAATTGTTCTTGACGTCGTTAAGGAGCAACTCAATCGACGACAATTAGATTCCATTACGAGAAATTTTCTCAAACTTCTCTCGTCCACCTGTGGATTTGTCGAAATTCGAAATATCGTTGTCTCGAGACTCGAGATGTGGATGCACAATCCGAAAATATTGAAACCAGCTCAAGAGCTGTTGGTTTACGTCTGTTACAATTGTATTTCTCATACGCAACGCGATGTTGAGGTTATTAGTCAACTGGTGAAAATGAGACTCAAAAGTAAGAGTGTGATTAATCTTTATCTGAACGGAATTAAGGAGATGATTGGTTTGCATCCTGAGAATCTGTCGACAATAATGAAACACACGATTTACAACGAATTGTCAACGTCGAGGAATCCTAATAATATGCCTGTTTTGGGAGTGATGTTTCAATCGACACCGGAAGCATCGGCAAAATTACTCGCTGAAATATTTCAGGATTTGCTGATGAATCGAGACGATTACCTGCGCTCACTGCGATCATTGCTGAGGGAGATAATTCGCGTCTGCCGTCAGGATTTGAACCTCATTCCGTTTGCCAAGACGCTTATGATCGAAAGACCGGACTTGATTCAACAGATACGAGCTTTCGAATTTAAAGATCGGGTCTTTATGTCCATCATGGATTTACTTTGCGTTTGCATGCTGTTGGGAATCAGTCCGCAAGTGAAGGAAGTTGCGGTCCAAGTGCAAAGAGGCGACAAAAAGGATATCGCGGTTCTTCATCAATTCCATAAACTCGTGGCTACAATTCAGCACGAAGCCGTCCTTTGGCTACACACCACAGCGCCAAAAATGTTCGGAATGGGAAAAGAAAGTTTACTGCATTCTCTTCAAAAAATTTTATTGCTGGAATCTGCAGAACAATATTATAAATTAGACAACTGGCCACCCGAAACGGACAGGACTTTTTACATGAGACTCGTTTCTGAAATTCCTCTAATGCAGTGTACTTTGATGAAACTTTTATTCATTGGACTATCAAAAGTAAGTTCTTCAAGTATTTAAATCATTTATTAACTAGCTGTCGTATCCATCTTATTGTTAATTAAAGATTAAATAATTATCACTTTCAATATAAACTTAAAACTTTGAATAAAAAAAAAAAATAAATAATAATAATAATAAATTCAAAAATATTATTTTTCCTTTTAAATTCCAATTTATTATTTATTTATTTGGTTGTAGGAAAATGGAAACATTCACATGGAGACTTTGGACTTGGTGGACCAATTGGTTCGCAGAGCAGCGGCAAATTCGAATGAAAGTCTTCCAACTTTAGAGGCGGATAATATTAATATTATTGATTTGATTTTCAATCACTGTACGTATCAAGCACCAGAATCGATCAGTATTCCCGTTGGGTAAGTATATTTTTTCTAAAGCTTAGAAAAATGGAATGAAAGTTAAATTATTCATTTATTGTTGAATACATTTTTTACGCCAGATATCAACCACCATCTTTGGCGATTTCAAATCTCTATTGGAAGGGTTGGACGATTCTTTTAATACTCGCAGCTCATAATCCTCTGTCAATTGGAGCAGAAGCCTGGAACGAGTATCCAATTCTCCGAACTTTGATGGAAATGTGCATTACAAAGTGAGTACATACTTAATTCCCTAATAGTTGGAATAAAATAATTATTTTCAATACTTTTAATAAAAACGATTCAACAAATTTTAATAAAATTCTTTCAAACTATTCAATTATTTACAAAATGTTTTCGAAATTTAAGTATTTTTAATATCTATTATTTTAATCAAAAATTTCTCAAAGGAATTCAATAAATTAAAAAAAAACTTATAAAATTCTTTGCATATATTCAATTATTATTCATTAATATAATAAAATTTTCACAGAAATACAATTATTAAAAACAAAAGTTTCAGAAAATTTTTCGAAAAAAATCAATTATTTAAAAAGATTATTATAAAAGTCTTCGCCGCAAGAATTAAATTATTTGAAACGAATTTTAAAAAGTTCTTAATAAGAATTCAGATATTTTTTATAAATAATAAAATTCTTTTCAGAAATTCAATTATTTTTAAAAATTTTAATCAATTTTTTTGCAAGAATTCAATTATTTTCATAAATAATAAAATTCTGTTAAGGAAATCAATTATTAGATAGTAAAACTCATCACAAAATTTTAATTATTTTTAATGCAATTTTAATCGCATTTCTCGAAAAATATAATTATTCTTAAAAATGTTATTAAAATGTGTTTCTAAAGAATTCTATTATTTAAAAATTTGTTGATAAATTTCGTTATGAGAATTCAATTTCCAGAAACATTGAATTATTCAATAAATTATTTATTTTTGTATTTAAATAATTGAATTCTTATAGAATTCTGTAATAAAAGTTGATTTAAAAATGAATTTCAGTTAAAATTTTAGATAATAATTGAATATTAAAAGAATTGTAGTATAAATTTTTAGAAATAATTGAATTTTGAAAAGGTTTCAAATTAAAATCTTTGAAAATTAAAATTTTTATAGTTTCAACTAACAATTCAGTAGAATTAATTTTTTTGGAAAAGTTTAATTAATTGTTTTAAAATTATTTGAATTTCTTCGCAAGAATTTAATTATTTTCTAAAATTTTAACAAAATTTTTCAAAACAATTCAATTAGTTTTTAAAATAATAAAGACTTTGCAAAAATTCAAGTATTTTCAATAAAATTTTAAAAAAGAATTCAATTTTTTTATTAATTCGTTATAAAGTTTGTAAAAAGAGCAATTATTTTCTAAAATTTATTAAATTCTTCGAAACAATTCAATTATTTTTATAAATGGTAAAATTATTTGCAAAAATTCAATTATTTTAAATACAATTTTAATAAAATTTTATGAAAGAATGAAATTTTTAAAAAAAATTTTTTATAAATCCTGCTAAACAATTCAATTTATTGTTGTTATAAGTAGTGAAATTCATCGCAAGAATTTATTTATTTATTTTCAAAAAACATAAAAAAATTCTTCAAAAGCATTTAATTATTTACTATATTTTAATAAAATAAAATTTAATAAAATTATTTTAGAAAATTGTAATAAAATTCTAAGAATGTTATTATTTTCAAAAAATTTTTAATAGAATTTTTTAATTAAATGTTTAATTTTAATTATTAAGAAATACGATTATTTTTAATACTTGAATGAAATATTTCACATAATTCAAAGAAAGTTTTTAAAAGAATTTAATTAAGATTTTGAAAAATTGTAATAAAATTCTTGTCTTGTAATTATTTTCATAAAATAATAAAATTCTTCGAAGGAATTCAATTTTTTTCGAATTGTTTGATAAAATTCTTTGCAAGAATTTAATAATTTTCTTCATGTTTTGTGTTTTATAATAAATATTCTTATAAGTTGTAGAATTTCAAAAAAGTTTGAATTTGAAATTTTTGAAAATCTTAATTCCTATGGAAAAATAATATTGATTAAATATTAATTTAAAAATTAAGTTATTGACTTTTTTGCGTCTGAAAGTCGATGTCTGGCGCTCTAATGTTTAAAGTTTAAATAATAATAGAATGTTTAAAGTATTTGTATAAATAATAAGTTGTATAATTTTTTTAGTCACTTCTCCTATCCACCGCCAACGATGGCTCTGCCTGAAGTAATAGAGCAGGAACGATCGAAGGAACTGCAAGTCGAAGCCCTCGAGAAACAGGAAATTCTCGAGTACGAAGCTCATCTGGCTGCGGCGACGAACAGAATGCAAATATCTGAACAAACAAGTCTACTTCTTCCGCAATTAATAACAATGGATCCAAAAGGCATCGCCAGAAAGCCGCCGCCAATCGTCCTCGAACAAATTCAATCTCTGAATACAAGTCATCGTCTTGGTCATCTATTGTGTCGATCAAGGAAGCCGGATTTTCTCTTGGACATTATTCAACGACAACAGCAAAGTTCTTCTCAAAGTATGCCGTGGCTCGCCGACTTGGTTCAGAACAGCGAAGGTTCTCTAAGTCAATTGCCGGTACAGTGTCTTTGTGAATTTCTCCTATCGACGAACGCGCAGAATGCAGAAAAACAAGCGCGACAACAACAATTGCTCGCTCATCTGCAAACGCTCTTGACCGATGCCAGTGAAGATCAGCAGCACGCGTACGAAGTGCTCGAATATTTCCTCCGAAGATTGAGCAGTCAGCAGACGAGCAGTCGAATTCAAGCGATAACGGGTTTAAAAATGGTCCTGGACTCGATCCCCCTGGACGAGGAGCAAATGGACATTGACGGTCGATGCGACAACGAAGTCTGGCTCCTGCGGAAACTACCCTCGATTCCCCACTTCCTGGCAGTTCGATCCCTCGTCTCCACAGCCTTGCGAGGCGCCTGCCAAGTGGAAAACAATCCCGAACTCGTGAGAGTCTACATTCTGTATCTCGCCGTTCACACCGTCGAAGACGAACTCACCGAGCTAATTAACTTGGCCAACGAAATTTCCCAGCTAGTCGTTGAGAGAAGCACAATCGTTGCCGCGATCCTACCACAACTGGACAATGACAACCCTCAGACCAGGCAAACCCTTCACGCCTTCATGGACATCTTCTGCAATTACCTGCAAAAGGCCCGCGAACCAAGGGGAGAGGATTCTCGTGGATTTACCTGGTGTGAGAGTCAAGATTTGATTCTAGTTCAATGGAGCAATCGCGAGCAGTGTACAATGCACATACTCGTAGTTCACGCAATGATTATTCTTCTGACATACGACTCGACAGATGGGGATATTTTGTTTGCCGAACTCTTGGAAACTTGGTTTCCAGTGAATGAAGATCCACCGCGAGCATTTCTTGTCGATACAAGTGAAGAGGCACTTTTGATTCCCGATTGGCTAAAATTGAGAATGATAAGGAGTAATATTCCCCGATTGGTGAATGCTGCACTTGAGGAATTGGAACCACAACAACTTGTGTTGTTTATCCAGAGTTTTGGCATTCCCGTCACTGCAATGACAAGATTGCTGCACATTCTGGATGAGACTGTGCAACTCAATCCTGATTCTGTCGGCGAAGTTGTTCTGGATAAAATATACATGGCACAGTTAGTGAATATTCTTCATAAACGTGGAGCTTCTGGCGGTTTGGTTTTCATGCAAGTCTTGGAATTACAGGTGCCAGAACTTCCGGAAGAACATTCACTTTCCGTGGGGAAACTTGTGGAGCCATTGCCTCCTAGTGCAATGATTCAAAAGCAATCTGTCATTCAGTGCTCTGTTAAGACAGACGTTCCTCATCTTATCAATAGGTGAATATTTTTTAGAGCTTTCATTTAATTTCTAATTATAGAACTTTACAGATTTGAAATAATTTAACTCTTGAAAAACTCGAAAAATTATATTTTTCGAAAAATAATTTTGCAAATAATTTTATTTAGAACTGCAAAAAATAATTGAATTTTATAATAGTTGGGTTTTCAATTTTTATAAATAATATAAATAACTAGCAAATGTTACGCGCAAAACGCAATATTTAATTTTTAATTATTGTCTAAATTATGTAGTAAATTTTTGAATTTTCAAATATCAACTTCAATTTTTGAATAATTTCAGACTCGACATTTGAAAAAAATTCAACTTTCATAAAATTCTTTCTTCGCACGAGATTCAATTATTTTCTCTATACAAAATTTCTCAAAAGAATTCAATTATTTTTTGAAATTTACATAAAACTCAATTCAATTTGTTATTATGCAAATTAAAAAATTTTTTATTATTCAAATATGAATTTCTGAATAATTTCAGATTTGAACTTTAAAAAAAATTCAATAATTAACTACATTTACTAATTAATTACTCTAGTTTATTAATTTCAAAAATTTTAATAGAATTCATTAAAAGAATTCAATTATTTTCATAAATAATAAAATTCTTTGAAAGAATTCAATTATTTTCTTAAATAGTAAAAGCTTTTTAAAAATTCAATTATTTTCAAGAAAATTTCGCGAACAAAATCAATTTTTTTTTAATTCGTTAAAAAAAATTTCAAAAGAATTCAATTATTTTCTAAAATTTTTATAAATCCTTCAAATAATTCAATTACATTTATAATTGTAAAATTCTTGTAAAAAATTTAATTATATTTAAAATATTTTCACAAAAGAATCAAATTTTTTTAATTTTTATAAATATTTTTCGAAAAAATTCATTTATTTTGTAAAATTTTATGAAAGAATTCAATTTTTAAAAATTTTTTAATAATAATTATCAAAAAATTCAATTTTCTAAAATTTTGATAAATCCTTTGTAACAATTCAATTATATTTATAAATAGTACAATTCTTTGAAAAAATTCAATTATTTTCAAAAAAGTTCCACGAAAGAAATGAATTTTTTTCTTAATTCGTTATAAAATTTTTTAAAAGAATTTACTTTCTAAAATTTTAATAAAATTCAATAATTAAATATTTAATTTCAATTATTAGGAAAGACAATTATTTTAAAAACTTGAAAGAAATTGTTCATAAAATTCAATTATTTTCAAAAAATTTTGATAAAATTCTTCGAAAAAATGTAATTAGTTTGATTACATTTTCAATAAGAACTTTGCTAAAGATTTCAATTACCTTGAAAAGTTTAAATAAAATTCTTTATAAAAATTCAATTATTATGAATGCAATTTGAATTAAATATAAAATTCTTTGTAAAAATTCAATTATTTTCTCAAATAATATAATTTTTCACCAGATTTCAATTATTTCAAAATATTTTTATAAAATTCTTCCCGAAAATTCAATTATTTTCACAAATAATAATATTTATTGAAAAATTTCAATTATTTTCAAAAAATTTTAATTCTTTCATGGAATTCAATTTAAATTGTATAGAAAATTTAATAAGTATTTAATTAAGTAAAAAAAAATTAATTAATTTATTTATTTAATTAAGTATTTAATTAAAATTTAAAAAATAATTTAATCTTATCGTAATCAGTTATGCCAAGAATTTTATTAAATTTTTTTATAATAATTGAATTTTTGCAAATTTTTCACAGGAATTTAATTGTTTTTGAAAATTTTAATAAAATTCTTCGCAAGAATTGAATTATTTTCATAATTAATAAAACTCACCGCAGAATTTCAATTCAATTTCAATAATTTATATTTTAAATTAATCTCTTGATGTTATTTTGAATAATTTTACAATTAAAAAAATTCGTAATAGAATTGTTTTAAAATAAAATATAACATTATTATTATTCTTTTTTTTGACAGGATTTTCATCGAACCCGTACCATCGAATCAAAAGATGGACGCATTTAGAAGACTACACAAGACTCTCGTTAAAGATCTACAAAAGTCAGTTAAGGAGAGTGGATCAGTAATTTTGGCGATACAACATATTCTTAGTGTTTTAAGTTCTATGCAAGTGAAACAATTTTTATCATCTCTCGTTAACCTACCGAAATTTTCTTGTACCTTAATGAGGGTTTTATTGCTGCCACTGAAGAAACCAACGACAATGAAGCAAATTGTCGATCTCGCAAGGACCATGTGCTTGAATTTAATTTCATTAATTGGAGACGTGAAAGCGCCGATTCTCCTCATTTTACGTGACTTTGCTAATCTTCAATTGTCAAAGGTTCCAAACAAAAAAGAGTTGATTGCCTTGACGCAAACAAGAGATCCTGCTTCTATTTTGGAAAACACTGACGACCTTAATTTGGAGGAAGTTGGACGTAAGTTGTTAGATGTTTGCTTGAGGCAGCAGAAAAATGATGCGCTAGTTGAGGCGATGGAGAAACTCTTGATATCAGACAGCAATGAAAAAAACGTTAAGCCTAGAACGGGATTGTTACTTGATTGGCTCGCTTCTGTAGAACCTGAATTAATAGGGACATGTCGTAATCTGCAAATGACTCTTCTTTTTGGAAAGACGAATATTGATATTCAAATTAACGAGAGTGTTGTTAATGTTCATTCCTGTAGACCTTATTTGTTGACACTTCTCACTCATCGAGCAAGTTGGACAACGCTGTACAAATGCGTCGCTCATCTTCTGGAAAAATGTGACAAGGCGTGAGTAAAACAGCACTCATCTACTAAAATCTACTAATTACTACTTTTTTACGTTATGCTACTATTTAGGTACTTTTTTTTAGATTTCAGCTACTAAAAACTATTATTTCTGTTCTTTTTAAAATTTACTTTAAATTCGCCAATACTAGAAATCAAAAAACTATTCTCAAAAATAATAATCAAATTCTTTAAACCGATTCAATTATTTTCAAAAAATATTCGAAATTCTATTTTCAATAACTAGTATCTATTTTCATAAAATTTCACAAAAGAATTAAATTATTTTAAAAAAATTGATAAAATTAATACTCAATTCAATTATTTTCATATAATAAAATTTACACAGAAATTCAATTAATTTAGAATAGAATTTTCAAACAAATTTCGAAAAAATCAATTATTTAAATAAATTTTTATACAATTCTTCACAATAATTCAATTACTTTCACTAATAATATTTTTCATGGAAATTCAATTAGTTAAAAAAAATTTTCATAAAATTCGAAGCAAGAATTCAATTATTTTCATACATAACAAAATTATTCCAGAAAATTCAATAATTTTAAAAAATTCTAATATAATCGTCCGCAAGAATTCAATTATTTTCATAAATAATAAAATGCTTTTTAGGAATTCAATTATTTTCAAAAAAAAATTTATTAAAATGCCACACAGACATTCAATTATTTTAAAAAATTCTAATAAAATCGTTCGCAAGAATTCAATTATTTTCATAAATATATATCAAAATGCTTTTTTAGAAATTTAATTATTTTCAAAGAAAATTTAGTAAAATGCCCCACAAACATTCAATCATTCTCAAAAATTTAAATATTTTCTTTGTAAAATTTTATTTTATTTTTAAAAACTTTTCGCAATTCAATGATTTTCAATATTCACTATTTTCATAAAATTAGTCGAAAGAAATCAATTTTTTTAAAAATGTTATTAATTAGAAATTGTTTAATCAATAATTTTACTGAAATATTTCAATTTTAAAAGAGTTTCATTTTTAATTTTAATAAATAGATCAACTTCATAAGGTTTTAATTACAAATTTTTTAAAATTTCAATTTTTATTTCGCAGTAATTTAATTATTTTGTAAAAATTTTTTTTAAATTCTTGTGAAGATTTCAATTATCTTTATAAGTAGTAAAATTTTTCTCCGAAATTCAATTATTTTCAAAATATTTTAATAAAAATATTTTGACAAAATTTCAATTATTTTCAAAAATCTTCCTCAATTCAATAATTTTCAATAAGTATCAACTATTTTAATAAAATAAAATTTTTTGCAAAATTCAAATATTTTCATAAATAACAATATTCATGACAAGAATTCAATTATTTTCAAAAGTAATAAAATTCTTTTCCAAAATTCAATTATTTTCAAAACAGTTAAAAAAAACTTCGTCGAGATTTAAATTTTCTTCATTTATAGAAAAATTTTTCTCCGAAATTCGATTATTTTCAAATATTTTAATAAAAATATTTTGCCAAAATTTCAATTATTTTCAAAAAATTTCCTGAATTCAATAATTTTCAATGTCAACTATTTTAATGAAATAAAATGCTTTGCAAAATTCAAATATTTTCATAAATAACAATATTTATGACAAGAATTCAATTATTTTCATAAATAACAATATTCATGACAAGAATTCAATTATTTTTAAAAGTAATAAAATTCTTTTCCAAAATTCAATTATTTTCAAAACAGTTAAAAAAAAATCCTCGTCAAGATTTCAATTATCTTCATACATAGAAAAATTTTTCTCCGAAATTCAATTATATTTAAAAATTTGAATTAAAATTTTTAACAAAATTTCAATTACTTCTTAAATTTGATTATTTTCACATAAAATTTCCTAAAAGAATTCAATTATATATAAAAAAAATTTCCCAGGAATTCAATTATTTAAAACGGAATTAGCATAAATTTTTTCGAAAAAAATTAATTATTTAAAAATTCTTGTGAACATTTCAATTAATTAAAGGAGTAGTATTTTAATAAAAGGAGTATAAATAAAAAAATACAAGTTGAAAAAAGGCAAATATAAAATAAATAAATTTTTATAAGAATAATAGAGAATAAATTATATTAATACAATAAATGATTTTAAAATGAGTCGAAAACTACTGAATTTAGTGAAAATAGTCGAAAAAGATGTTATTCCAGACCTGTTACGTTAATAATTTATACCGATTTAAATTTATTTCAGTTATGATCCAACGGCGGTGTTGGATTTCCTTTGGGCTTTGACTTGTAATCCAAAATTGTGGCAAGGTCGCGACAAATTCACTCCGAAACATTACATTCCAGAAAATGTATTATTATTGACGGAACAACAACTTTTGAATCTTGTCGCGTACCTTGTGGAAGAAGGTGTAAATATCTGCAATCAAGGGAACAGAAATGCAGCTCTAACTCAAATGGAAACTAGACTCAATCTTCTCCTTCACTGCGTTTCAACTGAAGACCAACTCACTTCGAGAGTTGTTAATTATTTAGCAGAGCAAATGATAGCCACTGACAAAATGTATGTATGATTAAATGGAAAAAAAATATTTAATATTAAACTTGATTAATTTTTATTTTCCAGAGAACACTCTGACATGTCGCATCAATTTTTACTTCATTTGTATATGAAAATACCAAAAGTCATTTGTTTCCTCGACTCGTATGAAACGAAGAAATTCGTCGATGGCGCAAGAATCACGGAGTGGACTGGCTCAGTTTTGGATTGTATGAGTCATTCTCTTTTAACTGCATTGGCAGCAACGCCACGGCAAAAATCTTGGAATTCAAAATCTCAGGAATTTGAACTCTGCGCTAGGAAAATGGCGACAGTACATCCCATTCTCGTTTTGCGACAACTTCCAATGTTAGCATCTTCACTCACTGGCAGAACGTATCTGTCCTTCTCGCAATTTAGATCGGGTCACCATTTAAATCTTTTTAATCAAGTTATGGGCTTATTGGAACTGTTGCAGCCTCATCTCTTCAACGAAGATCACAGACCTGCTTTGGAAGATACTCTGGAAAATTATTTCCAGTGTTTCCAGGTAATTCAGTTATTTATTAATAATAGTTGCATGTCTTTGTTTTTCTGTTCCCTGATTTTTTTCATCATTTGAATTTTAAAATTTATTGAAAATTCCAATTTAATTAATAATAATAAAATAATTTCCCAAAAGAATTCAATTACTTATTTTAAAAAAATATCAAATTCTTTGCTAACATTCAATTATTTTCATAAATAAAAAATTTTTCACGAGATTTCAGTTATTTAAAACACAATTTGCATAAATTTTTTTGAAAAAATTCAATTCAGGGTTGCCACAAAAGTTTAATTTTGTTTTTCCTTGATAATTATTATTTTTTACATTTTAGAATTACATGCCAGTGAAAGACTTAGATCAGCTCTTTAATCGGTTCGTAGCTTTATTGCAAGCTTACATTTCTCAAGGTGGTCAAAGAGCTTTGAAATATCTTCAAAAACATGCACATGTTCTCTAGTGAGTATAATGCTAATAATTATTATTATAATATTAATAATTCAGTAACCGCCACGAAAGTTTATTTTCCTTTTTATTGAATACAATGTATCTATAAAGAAATTCAACATTTTATATATTAAAAAAATATTAAGTTATTTTATTTTTCTTTGTACATTAAAAGTAAAATATTTTCGATTTCAGTGAGTTACAAGGTCGCCCTGGACTAAATAGTTTACGGACTTTAATGTCAGGAATTCCAGTGCCAAGAGAAGGCGAAGATGACGACGATGCGCTGATTATAGTTGCACCTGTCATACCTCCTCCTGAACCACTGTTTACGCAACAATTTTCAGCTTCCTTACCAACGCTTAAAAAGCTTTACGGCGATGGTAAGAAATTTTCATTATTTATTTCTAAAAATAAATTTTACATCTAAAGAATTAAGAACTAAAGAATTAAGAAGTCTAGTAAAAATACATATATTAATCTAAGTAAAACATAATTACTTATAACTAAATAAATAAATCTTAAAGGTAAATTATTTCAATTTTGAAAACAATTTTCAGAAAATTATTTTCTGCAAGCAAATTTTCTGACTTTTTTTGTGAATAACGTATTTTTTATTGCTCTGGTAAATAATAAACTTTCAATCAATGTTTCAGATGTGCTTGACGTTCTTCATGAAATTGAAAGTTCATCATCTCGTAAGCCTGCGATTTTGGAGCCAATAATTGACAACATTGCAGATCTGCTGGTGTCGCCGCAAGGCAACGTCAGAGCAATGGCGCATAATTTAATAGCAAAGGTTCTGAAACATCGGCCCAGTCCAAATTTGAATATACTGGCTGCTTTTCAGAGATGTTTGGACAGCCCACGGGCCGATGTTCTTATGTCTGCTTTGGATAGGTTACCGGACATTGTCTTGTGTATGCAAGGTAAGAAAATTACGAATTACGAAAAATTATATTTTCAAAATCACCTCAATTTATTTTCAATTTTAATTTTTACAATTCTTCATACAATTGTGCGAGAGTAACTTCTCGTTCTCAGAAAGTAAAATTGATATTTTATTCAGTCACGGAAATCAGAAAAAATTAATTTATTATTAAATTATTTTTATTTCTCTTTTTCAGAACACGCTCTACCTCTAATGCAAAAAGTCTTTGAACTTGGTGTAAATTCAAATGTAAATACTGTTCCTTATATTAATAAGAGCATAGCTCTTTTGAATACACAACAAGGCTGTTAATTGTAAGGGTAAAAATCATGTTTTCAAAAAAGATTATTTAAAATTAAACTCAACGACTGATGAATATTATAGTTATACGTTAATAATAATGTTTTAATTACATTCTGCTTTCTTTTCTTTCCTAACATCTCAACATTTTCATCAAAAAGAGAGGTTCCTTTAATTTAACAATTTATTATTCAAAACTTTCAATTTTTTATTTTTTTTCATTTTGTTCCAAAAGGGAACTAAGAATTTTATTAAAAATTCGTAATTAGTAAATCAAACTCATTCTGTTCTTTTATTTTTAAAAATATATTTAAATTTTGTTAAAAAATATTGTAATTGAGAAATAGAAATGGTGCAAATTATTTTCTTAAAAATTAAATTTGAACAAAAAACTGTTTTGATCATTTTTGAATTTTTATTTTTCTTAAAAATTAGACGATTTTGAAGTCTATGCGTAATTTTGTAAAAAATATGTTTTCGAGTCAACAAAAAATTGATTTTTACAAATTTTGAAGTATTTTTTTTGAAAAAAAACTTTATCTTTCGGCTGAAAATGTTTTAAAAAACCCATTATTATTCAATTTATTTATTTGTTTATTAATTCATTTCTTTATTTTTCTAACTAATTTCAAAGGATAATTTTATAATTTTTTTATATTTATTATTTTTTATATGTAACAATTATCCAAAACAATTATCCAAAAATAGTTAGAAAAATAAACAAATGAATTATTAAATAAAAAAATTGTATAACAATTGTATTTTTTTTTTAGTATTTTCAGCCTAAAAATATTTTTTATTCAAAAAAATTTTTCAAAAATTAATCAATTTTTTCATTCTTGGAAATTTATTTTTTTTTGCTTCAAAAAAATTACGCATAGAAAAAAAACTCGATTTTTTAAAAATCCTTGACCAGAAAGTTCCCTTAAATAAATAAAATTATAAAATAGAAGATCAGGAACAATTGAATAAAATCATACTACACATCTTTTTTAAAATACAAAATTTAATACAATTTATACGCTGAATACAATTAGTGTAGATGTAATTTTTGATCTTTTTGATACAAAATAATCTAAATTTGTAATACAATTTTTTATTTCATTTACAATTTATTTCTTAAAAGTAGGTACTGTATAAAATTAAAAAAAAACCTATCACTCTTAGACAGCAAAAAACCAAACATTTATGTATAAATTCAAGAGTAGAAAAAAATTAAGTTTATTTAAAATATTCTCACATTTAATTTCTCATTCACACTTTTAAAAAATTAAGTGTAAAATTAATTGTACGATTAATACAGAAATTCTTCAATATTTAAGTAATAGAAAATATTTCTTTTTTTGTTGTTGTTGTACAAGTGTAATATTTATCATTTATTCGATATCTTTGTTTTAAGCGGTATTTAATTTTCTAACAAGTTTGAATTTTTCAATTCACTATAGACAAAATATTGTTCAGTGTTTAGTGTTTAGTTTACATGGAAAATTCGAATTTATCACCGAAATTTAATTTAACCCTTTAACTGCGGATGACGAATATTTTGGTCGTCAAATCTTCGTCATCACAGTTAAGGTGTTAATTGAATAAAAAAATAAATTTAATTACCGGAAAGCTTCGAAAGGTACTTCATTGATTGTATAAGCTTGCATGAAATTTTTAATAGTGAGTCTAATGTTCCAATTAGTTTTCTCTAAATTTTGCACACAATATTCACGTTTCATTCCCGTGAGTTCGTGAAGAAAACGTAAAAGTTGTTCCTTCTCGGTACTACTCAGCGGTACCGTCTCGTACTTCGGGGGCAATCTAATTTCCCGATCGCTACTTTGAAGCACCTTGGAATCGGACAAAACACTTTCGATATGATACTGATCGTTACAAATGCAAAATTCGTTGTCCTCCTTCGAAATGATGATAAAAGTTCTCGTAAAAGCCAAAGGCGGATGAGGCGTGTCTCGAAACGAGAAATAACCCTGAATAGCTATCGAAAAACAATTCTCCGACTGATAAATCAAATCGATCTGAAATGACCTTATATTGTGACTCGTCTTCGGTTGCCTCACGAGGGCAGAAAGAATATCCTCCGGTCCGTGTAGCAAAAATTCATGACACTTCGCGTAGTCCACAAACTTTAACAAATTTCGATTCGTAGCAAAAGACTTGACCATCTGCATGTGATTGAAATTTGTAATCGCCCCCAAGGTCATCGAAAACATTGCTCCCGTATCATACAGTCCATTCAACACCGACCTATCGTTTTGATCGTACAAACTAAAATAATGCCACACAAATTGTTTGACTAGAGAAAGTTTTGTGCCATCGCCAAGAAAGTGTCTCTGTATCGTTGGTACAAACTTTTTCTCCACACCAATCATCACCCCATCGAGGACCTGCAGATGTGGAAACACCGATTTCGCAGCTTTCACATAATCGTCAGGACGATTATACTTCGAGCAAAGTGGATTCCCATCGACCCACAATTCAATGATATTAAACTCCGAGAAATAAGCCAATTGACGAAAATCAGTCAACTTATTATTGCGAAAATCAATTTTCGTCAAGTGAAAATTGAAGAATTTCTCCTGCGGGATAAAAACCATGAACTCATTCGATCTCATCGACAGCTCACGAACGGGAAGTTTCATTTCTCGGGAATTACTCAATAGCGCACTTCTAACACACCGTAAAGCAAGATTCAAACATTTTGGCGTTGAAATCGAACAATAAACCGGTCCCAAGTGTTTATCATTCCGAAAATTGTCGAAATTCAAACTCTTTCGAAAGTGATCGTATCTTTGTTGACCGGTTCGGCAAATTACATTCTGGGGATTTAGGAGAAGTTCCGTGGACAATTGATAGCCGAGAATGATGTCTAATCGTAAATATTCCCCCGTTGTTGGCACGGGAATTCGTAAATTGTACTTGACGAGACTGTCTATCAATTGTGCTCCGCATTTCGTCAAAAATGTGATTTTTGTCTTTGTCTCCTCCTCGTAATAAACTGGAACAAGAACTTCCGGCGAGCCGGCTGAAATTATCGAATCGAGAATATCACATTTCGAGGATATTCTTGAATGGAAAATAATGAATTTATGCCAGGTGTCCTTCCGATTTGCGAGATTTATCACTTCCGAAGAGGTAAACGAAGGATTCAGATATGTCAATCTTATTGGTTCAATGGTTATTTTTGGATTTTGAGATTGATTGGTGGTACTTACGGAATTTATTACAGTTGTCGACATAATTCAATAGAATAATTGCTGTTGTTTATTTATTTTATAAATTAAAATTCCCCCTTTTGTCCTCGAGTTTTGTATTCAGCTTCGAAAGAAAGTGAGGTTATGATACATTTTATCATATTATCGAATAATCACAAGCTGTAAAATGAGTTTTTTCGTTAAATACTATAAAAATGGGGAAAGATTAAATTATTTAAAAATGTTTTCATTACCTTTGTCACACAACTTAACAATTACTTTTTTAATTTAAATGTCAGTCTTTGAGTTTTGTTGCTTGTTTACTGTATAGTGTTTTGTGTTTACTGTTTGCAGGATAGCCAACGTAGAAAAGTAGCCGGCTTTTAAATTTCAATTTTCATCTAAAAATTTACTATACTGTTTATTATTAATAATTGAATTCTGTGATAAAAATTTTATTACTTTTGAAAATAATTGAATTTTTGCAATGTAACTTCTTTAAAATTCAATTTTTTTAGTGTTTTTAACTAAAATTCTTCTATAAATCCATTATTTTTAATAATTAATTAAATATAAATTAAGATATATATTGACAAATTTAACTAATTTTAATAATTGAACATTGAAATAATAATAACATTGAAATTTTGTAAAATTTCAAATTAAAACCGTTTGAAGTTCATTTATTTATGAAAATTGTAAACGCAACTTTTTTAAAATTTATTAAAAAATTATTATTTATTAATATTGAAAAAATTGAAGGTTTTGTACTAGAATTCGTGGTAATTTTATAGTTTTAATAAAAAAGACACAAAAGTTCAAAATTTTTTTACGAATTCTAAAAATTTAATTTTCTTGATATATTCCAATTCATATTTTATTTTTATAAAAGAAATTTGAATTAGAAATTTGTACGTTTTATTAATTTTAAAATTGCTAATTTTATTTAATAAAGTGAGTAAGAAGTCAACCGCGAGCGAATTGTTGCTAGTTTTCAATAATTTTCATTTTTAAATTTACGTTTAAATATTTTTTATTATAAAATTTTTGATAATTAAATTATTTTAAAAATTTGGAATTAAAATTCTTTAAAAGTTGATTTTTAAAAATTCTAACAAAATGCATGAAAAAAATTAATTATTTTCAATTAAATTTTACAAAAATTCAATTATTCAAAATCTTTTTAATTGCGTATATTTCAAAAATTTTAATAAAAAGATAATTTCTGAAAGATTTGTTTACAGTTATTAAAAAATTTGACATTTTCTTGAAATATTTGGAAAAAAGTCGAAAAAGTCAGAATTTTTGAAAATAAGTCGAAAAGAATTTCAATTTTCTAAATTTCCCTGACAAAAATTGTATTTATTTTATTTATTTTTATTTTATTTATTTTATTTATTTTATTTATTTTATTTATTTTATTTATTTTATTTATTTTATTTATTTTATTTATTTTATTTATTTTATTTATTTTATTTATTTTATTTATTTTATTTATTTTATTTATTCCTAAGGCTAATAAGCCTTTTGTACTTTTATATTTTTTCATAGACTCCCTGAAGAGGAAATCGTTCAGAAAATTGATAAAAGAAAACAAATTTCTTTATAATTTTGCCAGTGAAAAAAGCATATTTTTAGTTTTTCATTTTAATTCTCTTTCAAATTGCCCTGTAACAGAATTAAAAATTCACATTTTATAAGAATAATAAATATAAATAAAAAGTTGATGAGTATCTTTTAAAAAAAAGAAGTACGAATACAAAAAAATTTACAAATTTATTTATATTTTACAGTAGTTTGAAATTTGATTTTGCAAAACATATCTAAAACTGTAGTTAAGTTTATAATTTAATTTTCATAAAAAGGAAACTAGCTTTACTTAATAAAAGCTTCTTTCGGAACACATCCATTTTTATACAAATATATAAAATCTTGAATTGCTTTTCTTATATCCCATCCAATATCTTCCAAATGTCTCTGACAATATTTCACATTCATAGTGGTGACATCACAAAACATATCGATCAATTCTTCCTTTTCTTTTTCACTCAAGCTCGTTGTTTGAATATCCGGAACTTCTTCGACTTCATTAAATTGTCCATAATTCGGCAGTACACTTCCCGGCTGTAGAAAATAAATATGAAGCTGATCATTCATAATATTGTACTCGTGCTCATCGCCCGGAACAATGGTAAAGGTCCTATTAAAACCATGCAGTGAATCCAAGTTCTTGAATAAACCCTCGACGCAAATCATCAAAAAGTTCGAGTCCTCGTACATCAGATCGATGAAAAAAGTTTTTCTCAAATGCTGCGATGGTGGATACCTTGAGATTCTGTCAATAATATAGTCGTGTCCTTGTATCAATCGTTTCCTGCAGACTTCGAGGTTAGGCAACTTTATTAAATTTCGATCGTCGCCGTAAAAATTGCTGAGTTCTTTACTCACGGAATTTGGAGAAATTGTAATCGAGAAAATAGCATCTTCGTGATAGATTCCACGAAGGACGGTTCTATTCCTCTGATCGTAGAGGGCGAAAAAATGAGTTACAAATTGATCGACGAGTATTTTCGTCTTCGTATGTTTCATATACGAGAGATGGAGAACCGGAGCATTAGGCAAATGGGACTGAATTACAATTCCGTCTAGTTTCACCAAATGGGGACAGAATTTCCTCATGGCTTCAACATACTTCTCAGGACTTGAATAATTTTCACAAAGTGGATTTCCATCTAACCATAGCTCCGTTAAGGGAATGTTTTTCAACGGTGCGAGGGCTTCGATCATCAGAAGGAAATTGTTCCTCAAATCAAGGGACTTTACGGAATTTAAATTCGCCACCTCCATTGGAGCCAATGTAGTCAATTCGTTTTCCCGTAAACTGAGACCAGTGATCGGAGGCAGAGAAGATTTGATAAGTTTCAAAACGTGCGAAAAAGTTCGACTTTGGGTCAAGGGGCAATAGACAGTTTTCGACAATTCCATATCCTTGTGAAAAGAATCGAGATACACGGATTTCCTCGAAGAATCGTGTCGCTTTGTCAGCAAAGAGACTAAAAGTGGTTGAATATTAATTTTAATGTCGTGAATCGAGGCGAATCCTAAAGTGACAGTCAAAACGATCGGTTGTCCTTGTAGGTCGTTAATTATTAAACTAGTCTGACACATTTTTTCGAGAGCGGCACCACAATTTCTAGCGAGAAAGAAAGAGTCTTCGCCTAGAGTTTGATACCGAACGGGAATTAAATCCGCTGGATAGACGGCACTCAAGATACTTTTAAGAATAAATTCGGCGTCGAACTTACCACCACGTGATATTTGAATTTTGTGCCAAATATCGTTGCGGCCCATTAACGCTCGTTCGTGAAACATTCCGGTACTGTTGATCACTTTCAAGGCTGTTGAAGAGTCCAAAATCTTTGGCGTAACCGGTGCATGTTGTTGTTGAACTTTCTTTTGTTTCAATTGTGCTTCACGTTCCGCTTTTAATTGCTGTTGCTGAAGAATTTTCTTTTGTTGTTGTTCGATGATATTCTGCTTTTCACGAATTTTTATCAGTTGCTGTGCTTGCATGATTGCTGGAATCTTGCCTTTCGAATTCATTTTTAATTTCTTTGAATTATTTTCGATTCGGGGTTTTTTTAATACAGAAACATTTTTTAGAATTGTTTCAATAGAAATATGAGGTTATTTGGTAAAGAACTTTTTCGTCTATAACCATTAATAGTCATCGAGAATAAACATTTGTGTAGTTATTTATTTGTAAAGATTGTATTAATAAATAATATTAAAAAACTATATTTGAAGTGCTACTGCAACACTAAATTATTTACTTATTTATTTATATTCTATATCAAAATATGTTGGATCCTTGGAGCACAAAATCAAAACATTAAGGGTGCACTTACACCTGTGACGGTAGAAAACAAATTTTTCAAGTTGAAGTCACGTTCACACTTAGTTGTAAAGGTAGTTCTACAAAAGCTAGAAACTGCATTTGATTTTTTAAGTAAATTTACATACATTCTGCATGTTCTGCATATAAATTTACGATAAATGATATAAATTTACGATTTAAAGGAAACTTATATGCAAAATATGTAATTAATAAGGGAGCATTTACACCTTCGCCAAAAAATTTCCAGAACTCATGGGCATGGAACCGCACCCTTATGGAGCATTCACACCTTCGGTCAAAATTGTCCAGAATGGAAAATCTATATTGGAGTAAGAGAGAAGGCTGTGTATCTGTCTCTCTTACTCCAATGTAGATTTTCCGATCTGGACAATTTTTACTAAAGCTGTAAATATTTCATTACATCTGTATGGAACTGCACCTTTAGGTTATAACCACAATAGATCTTTTTATGTCCTCATGTTGAGCATAACATAAAAATTAAATAAATTTTTCAATACATATTCTTAAGGCGCTTGCACACTTCCAAATTTTTAGGCGAGCAGCGAATTTTCACGGCCTTGAAATGCACATTACTAAATATGATTGGCTCTGACAAAGTACATTTTCACGCAGCTTTTTGTAGAGCCAATCATATTTAGTAATATGAGTTTCAAGGCCATGAAAATTCGCTGCTCGCCCAAAATTTTGGAAGTGTGCAAGCGCCTTTATGTTATGTTCAATAAAAGAATCTGTTGTGGACGTAGCCTTAACTAAATTATTTCATACGCAGTCCCATGGCAGCGTTTTGCGTTGCGTTGTAATGAGAGAGAATGCAGCAAACGTATATTTGCGTCTTTTTCTCTCCCATTACGACGCAACGCAAAACGCTGTCATGGGACTCCACTCTTACACGGTGTGACAGTGCCCTAAATGTGACACATATCAAAGGTTCTACACTCTGTTATTGCTCTTTGCGTTCCCAACCCTGCCTGGTAAAGCCAGACAAAAAGTATGTTTGTGTGAAAAATACCTAAAGACCAGAAGGTTTATATGATGCCAAATTGTGTTATTTTATAAATGTTTATAGAAAGATGTAAACAAAAAAGTGCAGTTCTGTGAAATAATGTATTTTCCTTTATGTGTTAATTTCTTTTATTTATAATCTCAGATAATTCCAAGTTTTTATTTGGTGAGTTGAAATTTCTTTCAAAACATAATACATGCAATATTGGCGGGTCTTCTAGGCTTGCATAAACTTTTTCCTTTTATAAACAATTATAAATGAAAATTTCCCTCATTTCACTAAAATAATGTTTTTTTATTGATAAATTCACAGGTGCATATGTGTTTTTGTATTGAAATCGTGTATTTAGAGTTATTTGAGACTTGAATTTTTTTTTTGCTAAAAACCTCGCAGTGTTGTGCAAAAAAAAAGTTGTAATTCTCAATCAAAATAGTATTTTTTACCTTAAAATTATTTATTACAAGTCGTTAAGTGACTTTAATCAGTAATGACTAGTCAAATAATGATAGGAAAAACAATAATATACTTGAAGTTCGAAATATTTTACTACTTAATTACAACATAATGTGGAATTTATTGTTATATTCAAGAAAAAATGAGATGTACAGTCAAAACAAAAGTCAGTCAAACTTTACATCATTGGGAACATTTGGGAATTCGAGTTCTTAATTAAAAGGTTTTTAGTAAAAAAAAGAGGTTAATTATATATTATTAACGCTTTAGATAATTAAAAATTGCATTTAAATAGAGAATAAAAATTGTTAATGGTAATAAATTATTGTCAAATTAAAGGTTATGTTATCTTAATATGTCAGATAATGAAAATTTTTATTCTAATTTGTAACGTATATTTTTAAAATCAATTCTTTTTTACTTAAAGGATCAATATTAAGACTTAGAGATTTTTGAAATAAAAAAAAGAAAATTTTTTCAGTCATTTTCTAACAGTGCTGGATTAATTAATGTACATATAGGTGATAAAATGAAAATATCATGTTTTGTTATACATTTTATTTTGAAATTGATCATTTTACTTTTTGCAACAGAATTAAAATTTGAGGAGAGCAATAAAAAAATATCAAGATGATGCAAAGAAGAGGAGGTAAGCGGATTCGCATGGACGATCCAGTGCCTCCAGAATATGAGCCACCAATGACTCCAATGACCCCAATGACTGATAATTCTGGAAGCGAGGCTCAAGATACAACTTACACCCCTTTCACTCCTTATCATCAATCTTCTCAAACTCCAGTTCATAATCCAACGTAAGAATTTACTCGTTCTTTAATTTATTAACACGATTTTCTGCATGCAATAACGATTATGCATTAATTTTTACATTAGTAACAATATGATATAAGTTATATAAAAAGGAAAATGAAATCATGAAAAATTCTTAAATTACTGCACTTTTAGTTAATGTTTCTTAATTTTAAACGACAAGCAAACGAAGTTGCTTACGTTTGCTAACATAATTCCATTATTTTTATAAATAATAAAACTCGTCAAAGAATTTCAATTATTTTTAATACTGTTTTAAATTAATTTATCGAAAAATTTAATTATTTTTACAAATAGTTTTTCACATTTTTTACAAAATTTTTCTCTGAAATTCAATTCTTTTTAAACATTTTAATAAAATTGGTCGCAATAATTTAATTATTTTCATAAATAATAAAGCTCTTCTCAGGAATTCAATTATTTTTGAAAATTTTAATAAAATTCTTAGCAAATATCCAAATATTTTCATAAATAATTAAATTTATCGCAGGATTTCAATTATTTTTAATACAATTTTACATGAATTGCTTGAGAATTGTAATTATTCTTAAAAATTTAATTTCAATTTCTCGAAAAAATCCATTATTTAAAAAAATGTTGTTTTTAAATTCTTTGGAAGAATTCAATTATTTACTAAAATATTAGAATTTTTCACAGGAATTTAATTATTTTCAATTATTTTTTTTTAATAAAATTGTTCGAAAGAAATTAATTATTTTAAATACAATTTTAATTAAATTTTTTTTGAAATAATTCAATTATTCTTTTAGATTTTAATAAAAAACTTCCCAAGAATACAATTATTTACATAAATAATTCTTCGAGAGAATTCAATGATTAAAGATAAATAACAAAATTATTCCCGAAAATTCAATTATTTTGAGGCATTTTAATAAAATTCTTTGTAAAATTAAATTATTTTTAAAAGTAACAAATTTCTCCTTGAAAATTCAATTATTTTCAAAAAAAATTTAATTTTTCGATAGTAAAAAATTTTCAATGGTAAAAAGTGATGAAAATTGCTTAAAATTATGTGTAATTTTATTGAAATGCAGGCCAGAGCATTATTCTTCGGAAGGGTACAGTTCGCCTGGATTATCGCAGCCTCTGTATCAGGAGCAGTCTTCGAATTTTGATAATGTAGCACAATTTGAGCAACCAATGACTCCAGTGACGCCTGCAAATATGAGGATCACTCGCAATACTCGTGCTCGACTTCGTGGTAAATATTGTCAACAATGAAAAATACTTTTTCCTTTATTTGTTCAGGATTTTTGACTACGCCTCTCTTTTTAATGACAGGTGGACCAATTCAACAACCCAAATACAAAGAAATTGATACCGACTATATTCCAACGACATCTACAAGAGGAAGAGGCGGAGGTCGTGGTCGAGGGAGACGAGTGTATCAAACACAGTCTTTGGAAGATGAAGCCAGTTTATACTTTGTTATTAAAAATAACCGTTCGTCTCTCACTGTACGTATTTTTGCAATATTTTCAATTTTTAACCCTTGCTTACCACTCATGGGTACTTGAGACCCAGACGTATTTTATCTTCGTTTCTTAGAATAATTGAACTGTCGGATCAATTACAGTTTTTTCTTAAAGCCACTAAAGTAATTTTTTCTTAGCCCCACTTGATCCACTTTTCGTTTAAGTGTCTGATAAATTTGTCGCATGTTATTTCTTATGGCTAATACTAAAAAAATTAAATTTTTAGAATTCATAAAAAAATTCACAATTTTTGTGTCTTTTTTGTTTGCCTCATAAACTATGAAATTACCACGAATCCTAATAAAAAAAAAACCTTCAAATTTTTCTATTTCTGACAATAATTTTTTTTTCAATAACTTAATTCTTGAACAAGTCTGTCTGTAAATCAGGGAAAAGTCAGAAAATAAGAAAATTATATTTTTGTGGTAACCCTGTTGGATCAATAGAAGACTCGAGGTTAATATTTTAGCCCTTAATATTAAAAAGTAAAAAAAGTTATGAATTTTTTCATAAAATTGCAATTTTAATGTGGTAATTAAGAATTATTGTTAATTATTCAGTCTGTTCAAGTTTCGAAGATTTCTAATAACTTTAATATTTATAGAATATTGTCGACGACTGGATTGAAAAGTACAAAGTGAATAGGGAAAATGCTCTTTTGATGTTGATGCAGTTTTTCATCAACGCCAGTGGTTGTAAGGGACGTATTACTTCTGACATGCAAACTTCAATGGAACATGTACAAATTATTCGAAAAATGACCGAAGAATTCGACGAAGTAAGTTACTTTTATCTAAATTGAACCATTTTTGTTATTTTAATAATTCAATTCGATTTGTTAATAATTCAAGTCGATTTGTTAATAATTAATTCCAATTTTGCTCTGACAGTTTAAACATTTTGTTCCTTCTAGGAAAGTGGAGAATACCCATTGATAATGGCAGGACAACAGTGGAAAAAGTTTCGAACGAATTTTTGCGAGTTTGTACAAATTTTAGTTCGTCAATGTCAATATTCGATAATTTATGATCAGTTTCTCATGGATAATGTGATTTCTCTTTTGACTGGTCTTTCTGATTCTCAAGTGAGAGCTTTCAGACATACTGCTACACTTGCGGGTAAATATTTAGAATCACAAAATAATAATGTGAATTAGTTTTTAATAATTTATTGATATTTAATGAGTTTTTTTCATTAATTGCAGCTATGAAGCTTATGACAGCTTTGGTGGATGTTGCCTTAACAGTGTCTATAAATTTAGACAATACACAACGACAGTACGAGGCGGAAAGACAGAAAGCAAGAGAGAAGCGTGCAGCTGACAGACTTGAATCACTCATGTCAAAGCGAAAGGAGCTCGAGGAGAATATGGACGAAATTAAAAATATGCTTACATATATGTTCAAATCTGTATTTGTTCATCGTTATCGAGATACTCTTCCTGAAATTCGGGCTATTTGCATGGCTGAAATTGGTGTTTGGATGAAGAAGTTTCATCAAAACTTTCTTGATGATTCCTATTTAAAGTACATAGGTAAGTCAGAATTTTTGTTTCTATCAATGTTTAAAATTTTTGTCTCGTATTGAAGGTAAGAATATAAATTCTTTTATACAATACGAATACTTTGTTTTTCTATTTTTAATATGTCAGGCCTCTGATATTATGAATTTTTCAACTATTTTCAAAAAATGCAATTTTTTCAACTTATTTTCAAAAATTGTGAATTTCTCGACTCTTTTCCATAAATATTGCAACAAAATATCGCATTTTTGTATAAAATGTAACTTATTTCGATTTATTCAATTTTATGCAAATTACAAAATTTTTTATTTTCAAATATAAATTTTTGAATAATTTCATAATCAACATTTTAAAAAATTACTTATTAAGCACATCATTAATTATTATTATTTATATTTTCAAAAATTTTAATATCATTCTTGACAAAAATTCAATTATTTTCATATTATTTTAATAAATTCTTCAAAGCAATTCAATTATTTTTTTAAATAATAAAATTTTAAGAAAGAATTCAATTTTTCTCTTAGTTATAAAATTTGTAAAAACAGTTTAATTATTTTTAATTTAATTTTAATAAAATTTCATGAAAAAATATTGAGTTTTTTTAAAATTTCTAATAATACTTTTTCAAAAAAATTCAATTTTCTAAAAAATTTTTATAAATCCTTCGAAACAATTCAATTGTTGTTATAAAGAGTAAAATTCATCGCAAAAATTTATTTATTTATTTATAAAACAAAAAAATTCTTCAAAAAAATTCGAAATCTTCATTTGTAATTATAAATTACTTACAAAAACTCTAATATAATTGTTTAAAAGAATTTATTTTCCTATCGACAATTTTAATTAAATTTTTATAATAAAATTATTATTAACAATTATTAACAAAATCGATTATATTCTATAAATTAAAGAAATTTCTCGAAAGAATTCTATTTATAGCAAAACCTTTTAATAAAAGTCCTGGAATAAATTACATTATTTTAAGAAATTTTTAATAAAATTCTGAGAAGAATTTAATTATTTTCTAAAAATTTTAATAAAATTCAATAATTAAAATATGTTTAATTTAAATTGTTTATAAAATTTAAAGAAATTCTTCAAAAAAATTTAATTAATATTTTTAAAAGTTTTAATAAAATTCTTCCCAAGAATTCAATTATTTTCATAAATAATAAAATTCTTTGAAGGAATTTAATTATTCTCAAATATTTTGATAAAATTCTTTGCAAGAATTTAATGATTTTCAATACATATTAATTTTATAATTGAAAATATTTAAAAAGTTAGAAAACAAAAGGAACAAAGTAAATTTAAATTTTTTTAAATTTACGTTTTTAGACTTATTAAAATTTTCGACAAATCATGTTCATAAGTATTTATAATTCAAATTCTTCAAAAATTTGAATATTTTTTTGATATTTTTGAAAAATTTAATTATTTTTAAAGATTTTATAAAATTTCAATTGTTTGAAAATTTTTTAATTGCATATTTGAAAAACTATTATCTTTCAAAGATTGTTAAAAAATATTTTTAAGAATTTCTTTATTATAATTTTTTGAAAATAAAATTATAACTTAATATTATTTTTATAATTTAATAACTCTTAAAACAAAACATTGACAGTTACAATTATTATAAAAAATTGAATTTTTGTATTAAAATAATTGAATTCTCGAAAAACTTTCGGAAAATTATTAGAAATAATTGATTTAGAGATGAAATTTAGTTGAAAATTGGAGAAAATAATTGAATTCAAAAAAAGTTGTAGTTTTTAGAGATTATTAAATTGAATTGTTTAAAATTTTGATTTCCATAAAAAAGTATTTAAATATTCATTTAACAAAGTTATTCAAGTTTTGAATGGTTTTCTTGTGGTTGAATAAAAAATAAGTATGTTTGTTTGGAAATTTTGAAATTCAAATCCATACTCAAAATTTTTAACATTGCATTGTAATGTAATGTTAAAGATTTTGAGTATGGATTTAAATTTCGAAAAACTATGACGACTGTGAATTTTAAAGTGCACCTTTGAAAATAATTAAAAAATGTATAATTTCAGGATGGACACTCCACGATAAAGTTGGAGAAGTCAGATTGAAATGTCTTCAAGCACTACAACCGCTTTATGCTTCAGAAGAATTGAAAACAAAACTAGAGCTTTTCACTAGTAAATTCAAAGATCGAATAGTGAACATGACTCTTGACAAGGAGTACGACGTAGCAGTGCAAGCGGTGAAGCTCGTGATTTCCATTCTGAAGCATCATCGTGAAATTCTCACCGACAAAGATTGCGAACACGTCTATGAACTTGTGTATTCATCGCATCGTGCAGTGGCTCAAGCAGCTGGTGAATTTTTGAATGAACGTCTGTTCACCCCAGACGATGAAGCTCTCGCTGGAATTAAAACGAAACGAGGCAAGAAGCGCTTGCCAAATACTCCCCTAATTCGAGATCTGGTTTTGTTTTTCATCGAATCTGAACTTCATGAGCACGGCGCTTATTTGGTCGATTCCCTGATCGAAACGAATCAGATGATGAAGGATTGGGAATGTATGACTGATTTGCTGCTCGAGGAGGCTGGACCCGAGGAAGAGGCGTTGGATAATCAGAAGGAAACGTCTCTTATTGAACTGATGGTTTGTTGCATAAAACAAGCAGCTACAGGTGAGGCCCCAGTTGGCAGAGGACCAACTCGTAAAATCTTGTCCGTGAAAGAATTGAAACAAGTTCAGGAGGACAAACAAAGGCTCACCGAACACTTTATTCAAACATTGCCCTTATTATTGGACAATTACAGTGCCGATCCTGAGAAACTTGCCAATCTTTTGGCTATTCCGCAATATTTTGACCTCGATATTTACACTAAATCGAGACAAGAGCAAAATTTAAATTCACTCTTGAATAAGATTCAAACAATAGTGGAAAAGGTGCATGATATTGAAGTTCTCGATACAGCTGCAAGAACGCTGGAGTACATGTGTGTTGAGGGACATGCCATATTCACAAGGTTTGATTATTATTATTTTTAATTGTATTTTCTAATTATAGGGTTCTTTTTTGAAAAGATAGAATTTTTATTGTTTATATAAAACGTGAATTTCTTTAGTTTTCTCAATATTACTGGACTGAATTACTTGATAAAAAACGAATTTCTTCCGTAGATGTGACATTGCTCGTTCCACATTGATTGATGCGATAGTAAACAAATACAAAGGGACAATTGAAGAATACAGAGCAACCGTCGATGGTAATGAAGAGCCTGATGAAGACGATTTATTTAACGTCACTCAATCCCTGAAGAAAGTTGCTACATTTTACAGTAGTCACAATATGAATCCTTGGGAAATATGGGACTCGCTTTTTAAGGACATCGTGGATGCTTTTCCAAAGTTGGTTCTATTTGACATTTTTATTATTTTTCATCATGACATAACTGTACTTTTTACTAAAATTTTATTCTTTATTGCAGAACTGATGATTCACGAAAGGGTTTACTTCCCGAAGAGGCAATTAAATATTGCATAACAGCTTGTTACTTTTCAATTCTATGGGGTCAACATCATCTCACGGAGACTATTGATTCCGGTGCTCGAGGTGAAGAGGATTGTCGGCGCTTGAAAGATCGTTTGAATTCCTTCATGGGACTGATGCGTAATTTTGTTGTTGGCCACAACAACAATGGTGTAAGTTACCAATCTGATTTTTTTCTAGTGTAGGCCTCGGATATTATAACATTTTCGACTTTTTTCGACTTATTTTCAAAAATTACGACTTTTTCGACTTTTCTTCCGAATATTGCAGTAATTTTCAGTATAAAATGCAACTTATTTTCGAAATTTACAATTGAAAAGAGTTTCAATAAATATTGAAATTTTGTAAAATTTAATTGAAAATAATTGATTTTTTTAAAAGTGTTTTATAAAAATTTTTGAAAATCAACATTTGAAGAATTTTAATTGCAAATTTTAAAAATAATTGAAATTAAATTCCTCGGAAGAATTTAATTTTTAAAACAATTTTTAATATATTTCGAATAAATTCAATTATTTTCTAAAATCTTAATAAATCCTTCGATACAATTCAATTATTTTTAGAAATTAGTAAAATTCTTCGCAAGAATTCAATTATTTTTATAAATAGTACAATTCTTTGCAGGAATTCAATTATTTTCAAAACATCTTTAATTGAATTTCTCGGAAGAATTCAAATATTTTCAAATATTTCCATAAAATTCAATTATTTCCTAAAATTTTTAATAATTTCTTCGAAACAATTCAACTATTTTTATAAATTACTTAATTTTCAAAATTTATAATAAAAAAAAGTTTCAATAATTAAAATTTTGCAAAAATTTAATTGAAAATAATTTTTAATTTGGAATTTTAATTGCAGAAATTTTAATAAAATTAGCCTCATAAATTCAATTATTTTCAAAAGTAATCAAATTCTTTGCAGAATTTCAATTATGTTTCAAACTTAATAAAAATTCTCGTCAAAATTTCAATTATCTTTATAAATAATACAATTTTTCTCCGAAATTAAATTATTTTTAAAAATTGTAATAAAATTCTTGGCAGAAGTTCACAATTTTCATCAAATTTCTCGAAAAATGAAATTATTCTTAAAAATTTTATTAAAATTCGTTGAAAGAATTGAATTATATTTAAAAATTTGTTGATAATTAATAAAAATTCTTTAATATGAAAATTTAATTTTAAGAAACATAGCATTTTTTAATAAAATATTTATTTTTGTATTTATAATTGAATTCTCGTAGCATTTTCCAATAAATATTGATTTGAAAATTCTCAAAGAACTTTTTCAAAAGTTATTTTTAAAAAATTGATTTAAAGAAGAATTTTAGTTGAAAATTCTCGAAATGAATATATATGGAATTAATTTATTATATTTATCTAAATATTTTAAAAAATATGTAATAGGTACTTTAATTTAGAATCAATATTTGTTTTCAATAGCCAATACCAGTGATTCTTCGAGAAGATGCCTACACAGTCATTTGTGATTTGCTGGTAGTGTTCTGCAATCAGTTATTATCGAATCACAATCCTTTGATGCATGAATTAGTCTACGAACCGGATCACGCGATGCAAAGCATGCTAAATAATTTCGTACAGGAATTCGTCTTTGTTGAGGAAGAAGACGGTGAGTGCAGAACAATTTAGATAACTTCCTTTATGAAAACTATTTTAAAACTATTAATATAAATTAATAATTTTAATATAATAATTGTTATGTATGAAATTTGCAGAAGAACTAGATGAACATTCAAAGATTGAAGAGCTTCATAAAAGAAGAAATTTCCTCGCTAGCTACTGTAAACTTATAGTTTATAACATGATTCCCACGAAAGCAGCTGCAGATGTTTTCAAACATTATGTAAAATACTACAATGACTACGGAGATATTATCAAAACAACTTTAGGAAAAGCAAGGGATATAAATAAAACCAACTGTGCACTTACAATGCAGCACAGTTTGAATATTCTTTACAACGAAATTATGGCCGAAAAGGGCAAGATTAACAGGAATAGCGACGAATTTACTGCAATAAAGGTAAGAAAATTTATTAATGCTGATTTTTAAGGTTTCGTGGCCTTGAGAATGAATGAATGATCATAGTCAAGCATGACTATTAATTGTTTTGTGTAATAATAAATTTTTGTTATTTCCGGAAATTAGGAATTGGCAAAACGATTTGCTTTATCTTTTGGCCTTGACGCTGTGAAGAATCGAGAAGCTATCGCCTCTCTGCACAGGGCGGGAGTTCTTTTTGCCATAACCCCTCCAGATGGTGTTGAACTGGACCCAACGGGACCACCACCAAATCTTTCTTTCCTTGAAATCCTTTCGGAATTTACGAATAAGCTGCTCAAGCAGGATAAAAGGGTTGTGTACGTATTTTTCATCCAAATAAAATATAATCAAATGTTATATTTTTTGATAATTAAATTTTAATTTTAGATTAAATTTCATGGATGGTCGTCTCCACGCTGGAATGCCTTCCTCGAAAACAGAGGACTGGCAGCCTTTGTTACTGTATAGAAACAGTTTATTACACGGTGATACTGATCAAGTGCCTGTAACTAGTAAACGTGCTTACACACGACGCAAAAAGGATCATGCAGGTAATTTTAATAATCCAATCAATTGAAACTTATTACGAAATTATCAATTATTAATATTGTTATAAATCTAATTTTTTTTTTTTTTTTGAAATTTCAGACGAAGATGAAGGTGACGATAATGACGATGGATCCGACCATGAGTTTATAGGGTAAGTTCATTGCTGAAGTAATTTTCTTCCATTCGGAATAAGTTTTGTGGATTGCAATTCTCCTCAATTTTCGCAACACTTTCAACAGTCACATTTCCTAAAACAAAAAGCATGAGATATTTGTTTACTGTTGAATTAGTTGAAAAAAAAAATGAAAGAAAAATGAAAATATCATGCATGAAATTATTTGCGTTCACATAATTTATATGGAAGTATAAAAGAAAGATACTGGCACAATTCTGCTCGTAAATTTATTTAAATCAGAAATTCAGAAGAAAGTAATTTTTCAATATTTTAATGATTTCAACACTTATTATTGATTATATTCTTATTATTTCTTTCTAATTTTATGGAAATCTTGCTTAAAAATAAAACTCATGATTCTAAAATATCGTTTCCCTAATTTTAATCGGTATTTTATAATTTATAATTGTGCCGCTATTGCTGATTTTTCTAAATTTTGAATAGGAATCTAAAAATTGAATCCTCTCCACATACTCCTAAACCCTGCAACCAATTGCAACTTGAAAGAGAAAAATATTAAGATTTCCTCAGACCAAATTGATACACTTGGGATGAGTCAAACTGGAATGTTATGTGTTTACAAATTTAGTGTTGCATTCGAGACAGAAATCGCTCGAAAAAAACGAGAATCTCGTCAAAAATACATGACAAACAAAGTTCTGTTTTGTAAATATTCTTATAAAATTATTTTATAGAAATTAAATATTTAAATGATAAGACTGCTTCAAGTGTTGACCGCAACTTCAAGCGTCAGTCTAGCCTTACGATTTTTATCTGATAAATCTGCAGCTGATTTATGGCATTTCCAAATAAAAATAGGGTTTTCGAGAAAACGGGCTTTCGGTAAAATGGTCGGGGACCCTTTTTTTCTATTCAAAACAATTTTTTTTAAACTTGATGGGTCAGGACAACGGCGACTAATTGCTTCTCCATTTCATTGGGCACCTGTCTTCTTTGAGCGAAAATCTTCACAAAAGTAAATTTTTCTTCTGCATCAGAAGTGTTTCTCCTTTCTTTCTCTTATGATAGTGGTTGAAACCTCACATACTGAGGTATAGGTACTTCGGCGACACTACATCGTTTCAATCTTTTTGGTATCAAGTTGGAATTCGATTTTTAACAGTGTAAAAAACAATATTGACTTTTTAGGCACTGTTTATTTCACACTTCTAATTTGTGACGCGCTCCCAAGAAAGATACCTAAGAAGCAAACGAATTATAAGTTATAGGTTCGTGTCAGATTTATCTTGATTAAAAGTTTATTTTAAATTATTTGAATTTGAAACCAATTTTCATTGAATATTTTAGATATAATGAGGACTTGAAGGTCAATAATTTTTAATTAATAATTGATTCTCTTTCTGTATTTTAACTAAAAAAATTAAAAACATAACCTCAAATTTTTTGCTTCTTAGGTACCTTTCTTCGGAGCGTGACACATTTGCTAAAAATGATTTTGATGCACGTGTGTTAAATTTTTATATTTTAAAACAATGGTGCTGGAAAACACTTAACTACTTTTAAGCAAACCTGATTGATTAAATTATCTTTTTCTTTTTTATACTTTATTTAAGTCTGCTATTTTAATGGTTTGAAAATGGTTTGAAATCAGTCTAGAGATTTATTTTTAACCCTAGATTTGGGAATTATGGTTAATTGGTATCTAATGGTCGTCCCAGCAATATATTCATTTTTATATTATGAGATGGTTGATATTTTGATTTTCCAAAGAAAGTTGATATGTTTAGATGATCAGGTACACAATATTTACGTCAATATTTCTATCCCTAATATTACTTTTGATTAATTTAAATTTTTTGCTTTTCACCAAATTTTTATTTAATTTATTAACGACCAAAATATCCAAAAATTTGACTTTGATCCTAACATAAGAATTATTTATTTAGGAAACATTCTTTTAACGTTAAATTTTATAATATGTATAAAGTGACAATCTTTTCATAACACTGAAATCTCAGTATGATCATTTGGTCGTGAGGTCCAAGGCACCAAGTTTTAATCTTCATTATAGGGTTCGATAGGGTTCGAATCCCGGTCGATACGAATTTTTCATTTTTCTTATTTTTAAATTTAATATACATGTATCTTAAATTTAAGTATACATAATGTATATTAAAAGTCAGTAACTGAACTATATATTTGCTTTGTACACCTGAATATTAACTTTAATACAGATTTTTCTAACAGTGTAGTGCCCTATCAGTGAATTGAATTTTTATCAAAAAAATTAAAGTTCAACCATAATTTGATTAGACCGAAATTCGTCCAATTTGCAGAGGTTAAATGATAAGTCGGTAGAAAGCAAATTTAATTGGTCATTTAACTATACCAATATTTAGAAAATATTCACGACCTAAACAACCTTTAAAATCTTCATTGAAATTTAAATGATTTGTTCACTCCATAAAATTCCACTACTTTTGCTTTAAATACTTTATCAAAAAAAAAAGTAATTTCATATTAAGAGAAAAAAAAAATCCTCTTCTAATATCCTCTCAGAACAAAAGTATTCAAAATTTATTTTTTTATTAGTGTAAGAGGAGTAAAATTAAAGAAATGCGCTAAAATGAAGATTACTTTTTTAATAGTAAACATAAAATAAAAAATGCAATTTGTGTGCCCATCCAATTATAAATAATAATAATTTACAAATAAGTAGTTAATAAGAACAGGCCTTAAGAAAGAAATATAAAAAAACAGAAACTAAAGTAATTTTTATTTCACAAATATAACAAAGCACCTATGAAATTTTAAACTTGAATTTATTAGAATGAAACACTACATTACTTTCTGCAGAACTGAATAAATTTTGAAACTTTACAACTAGATTAAAAAAGTAAATTTTGAAATTAACAATTCTTACAATGTAGATGTTTGGTGATTGGATTTGTTGTTTCCTATTATCGTTTTTTAATACTTTTTTTTAATTTTGTAAAAGGGAGGATTCTTTTTTGACAAAAAACCTTTAATTTTTCAGTTACTATTAGTGCTTTACCATTTGTGCCTACGCGACAATCATCTTCGCTCATCTTCATGCTTTGCTTATTCTTGCAAAGGGGCGTTTTGGAGAGCATTCTATAAATTATTATATAACTTCAAACACTACGACTGCTTGAGTAGTCTTTCAAAAACTGGATATATTGTTAAATACCCTGTATTTTAATCCTTCGAATATATTTGACGCTCGATAATTGATGTCGATTTTATGATGAATTTTAAAATGAAAACAAAAAACTACGATTTCTTTTGTAACTAATCTTATAATCAAAAAATAAACTCAAATTATTAAACACTTTTATTTAACTTCACTTCCTTGTTAATTCAAAGTAAATATTCTTTTCCAATTTGAATCCTTTTTCCTGTATCCAAACTTGTCGATTCTTTTTTGATAGTTTTTTTCGACTAGATTACTAAATGAATTAATTACATTTACATACGAATTGCATTTATATAAATGAACCTATTTATTGTGCACGTATTTATTAAAAACAATTTGAATTTAATACTAAAATAGAGTTTTTTTCTTAAAAACATTTTTTAATGTTACTTTTTATTTCCGACTTAAAAGTATATAATCTTTTAAATTAAAAACAGAATTCCACTTTCTTTAAAGTGTTCTTTATTAAAAGATAAAATACCTGCCGAATTAAATTATGTGAACTGCTGAAATAAACGGATTGCACTAAGTTAAGTTATTTTGAATTATTTTACTTTATTAATTTGCGATTGTCGAAAAATTTGTTTCGTATGAAATCAATGAAATAAGTGTTGAATTGCTTATAACTGTGTTTTTCTTTTAGACTAATTTAGGACTATATTATATTCAGCTTATTAACTAACTTTTTTTTATATTGCATGAGTAGTAAACTTTTTATGGCCGCTATTTCAGGCTGATTAAACTTGTTACTAATGTCACTTTAAATTAATGCTAATTTTAATATTTGGGTCTGTAGTTAAGTTTTACAATATGGGTACTCTAAATTGTTCAAAGAATAATGTTTTTGAATTATATTCCTCTTGCTGTGAAAAATTAATATTTATTAGTTAAGATATACCTGGGTAAGTAGACAATAAATATTTACTTTGCTTAAAAAGTCACTATTATTGTTTGCATTGCAACTACTAAACTTTTGCCTCTTCCAGGTTTCTTACGGATGTACTAAAACCTATATATTTACTATTTTTTTCTTTTTTTTTCAATTTGCACTACTTTAAAGTCGCTAATAGTTAAAATAAAAAAATGTATACTTCTTTTTTCAAAATAATCAGAACAGTTCTTGAGAGAGCGTTACAAATAAAAAAAACAATTTTTTACTTGATTTGATTTGGAAGATTGATAATTTTTTAAAAATATTAACTATACAATTTTTACCAAGTGACAAATTCATATAAATATTATTTTTTTTATCAAAAATGTACACCTGGACAGTTATGGGAAGGGAAGTAAAAAATTGATAAAAAATTGTCCACTTGGTATATAGACAACCACAAAAAAATTTTGAGGTACCTAATGCATTTTTTTATGAAAATAAGTGAACTTCAATGCATTCTTTATGTTTTCAGAATAAATATTCAAAATCAAATTTTTCATTACAGCAAGCCGAAGAAGAAGAGGGGACCTAGAAAAAATCAGTAAGTAACAATGAATTTTTTGTTTATTAAATATTTTATATTTTTATATTTATATAAGAAGATTGAAAGATTTTTCAATAAATTGCTTAAAAAATCTTGATGCCTTCAAAATCAGTTTTGTAAAATATTATTATAATTTTTTAAAATATTATACATAATGTAAACGCAATGCTCTTAATATTTTGAAATTTTGTTTTCAGATTATCGGGGACAAAATCAATTCTACCACGTGGTATTAAATTGTCTAATTATTTTGAAACGAATGATTCACATGGAAAAGAAAATGAGAATTCTCCCACACATTCAATTGAAGATTCGCCATCAAATCCGTCTCAAGAAATAGATAATAGGCTTAAAAGTTTGCACATTCAGCCTAGAACGTAAGTATAAATTTGAGACAATCAGCAAAATCATTTCACTAAATGCGATAAAGTTTAAAAAATAAATAATAAAATAATCACAAACTTGTAGTATTTAAGCGATATTTTATGTCTTTTATCAATTTTTACCTATTTATACTCAGAATTGTAAAATTCAAAATGGCGGAACCAATATGGCTGACGAATTTTTTAAAAACTCAACGGATTCGCTTAAAACTAATTTTTTTTTTTTTTTTGCTTTCTGACCAAAATTTTTATTATTATATATTATTTTTATTTTATAGGCGAAAAAGTGCAGATCAGGCGGAACCCAGGGAACTGAGAAGGACAGCTAGAAATTCGGGCCGCTACGTCCAAGGTCAATATATGGTTAGTAAAATTAAAATATTTACTAGTTTATTTTATGTAATTATAGAAGATGTAATATTATATTTAAGAAAAAAATATCAATTAAAATGAATGAATTTATTTTCCAGGAGTCAGATTCTGAATGAGAATAGAAAAAGGTTCTACATTTACGCTAACAAGAGACTGACTGTATCAAAGAGTGAAGAGCGCTTTTTTCTTTATAAAGCAAAATACAAAAAATTCTGGTTGCACAAATCTCCTTTTAAATGTGATTTAATATTAGGATAAAAACTAAACTTCCATATTTCTTTAATACAATTTTTAAAAAGTTTAATAGACCTTACGTGTGCAATCGGATGCGAAGAATTCGTTTTAGTTTGTTCTTTTTTTTTTGTTACATATGTTTATTCGTATTAGCTTTTTTTATTATACGATAAGGTTACATTTTAAATTATAATTAAAAACAAAAGATATTATTAGTAAGTTCTAAGCCATTACATATTGTGTAAAGATTTTTTTTTCATTACAAAATAATCACTTTGTAACACTGTTATCATCGACTATTGTTTATAAAACTAACTCGACTATAATGTGTAATATTTAAGTATCTCAATAATTTCTACTTTAAATTATTATAAATTCTTACAGGAGAAAAATTATATCTTTCAAAATATTTCTAACATAAATATTAATCTTTCTTTTCGAAAATTATGTTTCGTGGACAGTTTCAAGGAAATCCTCCTTTTTTTTCTTCTTATGCACTCTTTATTTGTAGTTTTATGGATAAGTTACGAAATTTTATAATCCGCTTGTTTTCCATAGCCAATGTATGGTGCATAGAGTGTAATATATTTTAATTAAGTCAATGGCTAATGAAACTCTGCAATTTTCAAAATTGATTTTATAAAAGTAAATTAGTTTTTATTTTAATGGAGAATTTTGTGCGGAGTTTTAGTTCCCAGGGACTCAATTAATTTATAACTAAATTTAAGGTGAGATCGAGATTTTGTTTTATACTTATTTTAAATTTATCTTATAGTTATTATTTATTTTATAATTGTGAAACGCAATTGTATGTTTAGAGAAAACGTAATAACCGAATGATTCAAAATATTCGTTTTTTTTCGATAGAATCAAAGAAAGGAGCATTTCATTTATTTATATTCTTAACTACTTTGGTTGTGATATGATTACTTTTCTTAATCAGTCCATTTTCAATATTTCAATAAAAAGCTCTTAAAAATGTTGATTACCTTGATATTATCCTAGTTTAATTTTTTAGAATTAAGAAAATTAAAAAACAATTTAATTCTTAAATTTAATATACAGGTAAATACTGTAAAAAATTTTCAACATGAGACACTTGTAAATATTAAAAAAATTACAGTATTAATAAAATTTCATTTTTGTCTGTACATAATTGTTTCAAATTAATCTTTTCGTGACAACATGCTAAGTATCAATCAATAAATAAACACATTTTTGAAATAAAAAGCGGACTAAATCCGAGAAATCAAAAATCTTCCGGCATTGCTAACTAGCTACAATCCCTCAATGGAAAAGTTCGTTATTTAGCCAAAATAAATAAATATCCGAAATATTCAGAAAATTAAATCAATTAAATTCCAAAGAAATTAACAATTTGTTCAATAAATTAGAATTTTGAAATAATCCAAATATTATTATGATTCTATATAATTCAAAACGATAATTGACAATTTTGAGGTTAATCAACAGTAAAAATAATAATGTATTAATTTTCGACAGTTTATGAATTCAACAAATATTTAATTTGATAAAAAAAATAGAATAAGGATTCTTTATCAATTCGAGATATAGAATTTTTAGGCTAAATGGGTAAATTACAATATATTGACAAAATCGAATTAATAAAATGAAATTAATGTTATAGGGTAGATGTACCAGTTGTGGCCACTTTAAGCTGTTAGTCGTCTTTTAGTAAGAAAATAGATTTATTAAAGTACTGAATTTTATTATAATTTTTTTATATCATATTTATTGGAGTCAATTATATTGATTTTCAAACTTAATAAAGTTTTTTAGCTATATTTGCTATTAAAAAATAAACAAATTGCTTCAAAAAACCTGTTTCACCAGTAGTGGCCACACCAGCACCACTTGTGGCCACCACTGTCCCAGTTGTGGCCACTGCTTAAAAAAGTGTTATCAGGATATTGAGGAATTATATTTTTTTAATAAATAATTAGAATTAGTAAATCTAACTTGTACAGTAATTAAGTACATTTATAAAAGAAATTAATTAAATTCCATAAATCTTTAATTTATTTAAAATCACAGTTTACTTTTTTAACATGCACTGGATTTTTTTTAAATCTTCCTTCTTCCTTTTATTAACATTTTTGCCTTTAAGAAAAAAAAAGTTTTGTTATTTTACCCACACTTTTAATATAATAATTATAGCATAATTCAAATTAAAAAACTAATTAATTAACTATTACAGAGGATAAATAATTAGAAAATACAACAGCAAGAAATGTATTACTTAAACGTGAAATTATTATTTTTATTCAGTTATTAATTCAATGGAAGTAAAATAAATACTGTCATACTTCAAATTATTTTTCGAAATGAATTCATTTATTAAGATAATTATAATATGAAAACTACTATTAATCAAACTAAAATCATGATAATTTTGCCGATAAAATATATAGTGTGGCCAAAAACGGTGCTTTTATATTTTTGCTGTACCGTTTTTGGACACGGGCTTTTTTACAAATATTTGAGGTTATTATTTTAAAAGCATTGTTTTTATATAAATATTTATCCCCTAGAAATATTGTATAAAAAGAAAAATATGAAAATATTGATATTAATGTCGAAAAACAATCATTTACTTCCCAGTGATATTTCAACTCATCTACTAAAAATTGTACTTATTCGCCACTGTCAAAATATTTGTACAGTTATGTGTGTTTTTTTAAATTAAATCAGCTGAATTTCTGTCAAAAACAAGTGAACACAGTGTTGCCTACTTATTTTAGAATTTTATGAAAGTATTTATAATTCACTAGTTGAGTCTGGCTTAGACCGTTCTCGTGTTAACATATCTGTACTTAAGTGTAACTATAAGTGAGGACATCACCTCACTAAGAGTCTTATAATTGATAGTGAATCTAAACTGTAAAGTTAATACAAAGAGTGTATAAAAAGTTGTCTGTTTCTGTTGAAATTATTTGATTAATTGACGCCACATTCTGACACGCTTTCTTTTGGTCGTTGGACACACCGAGCTGGATCTGTTCACTCGTATATCACCATCAACGCAATCTAACATCATCTAGTTGCCTCCATATCTGGTCAGGTCTTGCCCGACAGCACAAAATTGATGCGACAATTTGGAAGGAAGACAATTGATCAAAATTATAAAATCGGCAACAAATTTACAGGCAACTGAATTTGATACAATCTAACTGAGTTCAGCTAACTACAATTCAAAAACGGATTTTAACAATAACCTATAAGGTCAGACAAAGAAATAAACAAGAAGGTATAGTCATTCCTATAAATATATATATCAACACACTATACCCATTACAATTCCCATTCACTTCCTCTTGGTCTGCTAATTTAAGTAAATGCAAATTTAATAATATTTAAAATTTCTCAAAATAATTAAACCTCTAATTCAAATTATATTATATATTAAAATCTATACTCAATATTTGCCTACTTCGGTTGCTTACACTCGAATTAAAATCGTATTTGCGAATGTATAGAGGTTAGGTAAGGTCAAGCTGAATCGAAGCAATAATAGAATAAGTAATTACAAATAATACATTATATACTCTATTCTTGACACTTCTCACATTCATTAGATAATTATATTATATTTTTTACTAGTTCCTATAACAGCAACAAACTGAATATACCTAAGAGGAAGCCATTTAATTTAATTTTTGTTTTACCAATACACTCAAACAAATTAATTACATAAATTGAACATAGTCTTTAAACGCTGTACAAATTTGTTTTCCGTCTGACTAATAGTAATTAGAATTTGAAATAAGTCACATAAATTTTGCATAAGTAATAAATTGAAGCAATACATAAATAAAACCTAAATATAAACAAAAAGTAATAATATATAATATTACTAGAGCGGAATATACAGCTTTCAAGGACTACACATCAATCTAAACTAAACTAAAGTAACTCATTTGAGATATTTTCGGCATCCGAGACAGTCGCGAGATCCATTTACTTCCTAGAGTTCTTTTTTAGATAAAAATGGCTCCAACTCCACCGCGCAATTCGAAAAACTCCATCGCTCCGCTCCAGCCGGGGCCACGGACCACAGCTGCATTCAAAATCAACTCATCACGTGGTAGAGGATATGTAAATAGCTCCAGAAATATTGCAAATCGGCTTAATCACAAACCAGGGTTGGCTACTGCAATGAAGGGTAACCTTCTAAATATAAAGGTAGAGAATCCTTCCACAGATTCCAGCCAGCAGATATTACAAAACACAAACACCTTTCCTGCATCTGACAATAATACATACCCAGAGAATAATACATTACAGACCCCTGTGAACCCTACTAACTCGACCGACGTCATGACAGAGAACTCCCCGCCTTCCTGCTCTGATGTTGGTCAGGCGGACTCTCCATTGGAGTCTGACTTGTCGGTAGCGACAAATAACCATCCTCAGGGATCTGTAGGGAATAATTCTACAGCTTTAGTCGTGGAATCTAACCGCAATAGTCCCCCTATATTGCTTAACGAGAATCCCACCCCCTACCAGCTTACCTGGCATAACAGCAATTATAAGAATGATGCAAGATTTCTATCAACTTCACCACTACCCTACACCATCTTGATTGAGTCGACAATGCCCAATAAAAAAATTGGGAAATACAATAGAATCGCGTTTGCAGACTTTCTAGAATCAATTATAAGTGATCCACAAAGGAAAATTATTTCGAATGGCCTGAACCAACTTAGAATAACATCTTCAACATGGTCTCTGGCCAATGATCTATTGAATTCCAATACAATTGTAGAGAGGGGCTATCGCGCATTTATTCCCACTTCATTGGTCAGCAGAAAAGCCTTAATGCATGATGTGGACACAAATCTTTCCCCACTTACAATTAGCAATAGATTGGAGCCAGAGATCAGGGACTCAATTATTTCAATTCGTAGGAGAACAATTGACAAAAGCGAAGTTTCCAACTTGTTGGAATTTGTGTTCTCAGGTGTTTCATTTCCTCCTTCTATTTATATTTCAGGTGTTCTATTTAAACTTTCCCTCATAGTGACTCCCCCAAAAAGGTGCTTCAAATGCCAACGTTTTAGGCATTTGTCGGACCAATGTAAATCCACTCACTTTACATGTGAGTTTTGCGCTGGCCCACATGTTGAGAAAAATGCCCTCATCGCAACCGATCTGCACAATGTTCTAATTGTGCAGGTAAGCACGCGGCATCATCTCGAACCTGCCCTTACTACCTGTATGAGTTCGAAATCATGAGATGCAGATTGGAAGAAAATGTAAGCTATGAGGAAGCAGAAACCTTACTAATTAACCAGGGCATAGCTAGACCTGGATTTGAGGTGGTATGGGAGGGCTCTGAGGAGGGAGAAAACGAGATCGAAACTAATTCACCTACAACATCAGGTGCAGTTGATATCTCACACCGTGAAAAACACACACAAAATCAACTGGAATCCGATAACATATCAAATCAACATGAATCTCATGCCTCATCATTCGATAAGGAAATGTCTGTTGAGGATGCCGATTCAGAAAATCTTTGATTGGCTGAAAATAATTTAATCTATTTATCCAACAGCCTGTAGGACTCATTTATTTATTTATTCCAAAGTTTAGATTTTTGACTGACTTGCTTATTTATTTTATACATAATTTGACTTGTTTCGTTTATTTGATTTAAATCGATAATTCGTTATATAATATTTATTTAATTTGTTTGTTTTATATTTTACTATATTGACTATTTAACCCTGCTCGGATTTGAATATTTAGTTATTAAATACCGATTAAAATAGACTAGTTCATTTACATAATTTGTTTAGACTCTTCCAACTGAAGTTCAAAACTAAACTAAACTAATATAACATATATACACGTCACATAAATACTCGGGAAGCTAAGACGAAAATAAGTTACTGAACCATGACAAACGAAACTAGACCCATACATAAGTCTCTCACTCTGGTGCTTTGGAATGCAAGAAGCATTATACCGAAAAAACCAGAGTTGGAGATTTTGTTATGGAAATACAATCCGGACGTGGTCTGTGTGACTGAGTCCTGGCTAACGTCAAGAACTGCATTTGAAATTTATAATTACATATCAGTTAGACAGGACCGGCCCAATGGTAGAGGAGGGGGGGTACTACTGCTAATACGTAAGGAAATCTCCTTTCAAATTACAAATCTTTTCTCTTATAACTTAGATAATATAACAATAGACATAGCATCCATAACGATAAACACTTTATTTGGACACACACAAATTACATGCATTTATGCTCCACCAGGTAGAGACATTTCCCCACAGACTTGGACAGATATTTTTGATACCTTACCAGCACATAATAATCACATTTTCTGTGGAGACTTTAATGCCCACCATACATGTTGGGGAGAAAATGATACAGACTTACGGGGTTCCTCCCTCATGACATTTAGTTTGGAAAGGGATATATATATAACTAACTCCACCCAGCCGACTAGATTCAGGGATGCGAATGTTCCAGGAAGTAACCTGGACTTGATTTTCGTTTCCCCACCTATACTTCAGGCATCTTCGATAGATGTTATGGAGGAATCCTTTGCCTCGGATCATTATCCGGTGCTCCTTAAAGCAGATGTTGCTCCGGGACTGACAGCTCCCTCCGAAAATAATTTTTGCTTTAAAGCAATTAGGTGGGGTGATTTCAGAGGAAAAATGGAGGAAGGGGCCATGGAATTCACAAACATATTTAACGCAAATATAGAACCCAGCGTGATCTACGAGGAGTACATTTCACTCCTAAAGGAAAAGCTGCTGGAAGCAGGAGCCTATATTCCTAGGAAGGGCCCACTACGTCCTTTCACCAAGCCACTCTGGTGGAATGCCCGCTGCGATGAGCTGTTAACAGAAAGGAGAAACAACTACAGATGGTATGAGGCGAACCAATCGGCTGAGAACAGAAACGAGTTCCATAGGAGGGAAATCGAAATTAAAAGGGCTCTCAGAGAGCAGAAGACAATGGCCTTCAAGGACTTCTGTCAAAATATGTCACCAGCCAAAGGTATCTCTACCCTTTGGCGTACGCTGAAGGCCCTTTCTACACGCTCCGCTCAACCTCACACAAATGTCTCTACAGACACTAATACCCCGGAGATGACGAAATTTAGGGATGATTTAATACAAGCTAATGTTCCACCGGTGGATATTCCGTATTTAGAGACACCAGTTAGGTTGGATGACCCAAATTTTCCCCCATTTACTGAAAATGAACTCAGCGCTGCGGTGATTCATTGTAAACCCAAGTCATCTCCTGGATTGGACGGTATAACCGGGGAGGTCCTTAAGCAACTGGGTCCAGTTGCTAAGGGACTTCTCCTTTTGATCTTTAATAGAATGTTTCTGACTTCGTCGTACCCGGATTCATGGAGAGACACCAAGGTCATAGCACTTCCAAAACCGGGAGGTTCAGGATTTAGACCGATAGCCTTGACTTCGGTTATTTCCAAAATCTTCGAAAGGCTGGTGCATAGGAGATTGGAGCATGAGATTGAGTCGAGGGGACTCATTCCACAGGAGCAGTTCGGCTTTCGCAAGGGAAGATCAGCAGTGGATTGTGTTGCAACTTTCGTTGTAGATACTACAACGGGATTTCTTAGATCACTCGACACCCTGGCCCTTTCTATTGACATCAAAGGGGCGTTCAACAATGTCAGGCCACAAATCCTGAATAAGATGTTGGTTGAATTGGGAATACATCCGTGTACGACAAACTTTATAAATTACATGACTGCGAGGAGACACATCTTCTTCGGGACCTCGAGCGCCGTTCCAAGGGAATGTGGGGTTGGGGTCCCGCAGGGGGGTGTCCTCTCTCCTCTTTTGTTCAATCTTTATCTTAGAGACCTCCCTAGACTGCTACCACCTAACATGAAATTTGTAATGTACGCAGACGATCTCCTCCTTTACATAAAGTTCAATAGTGGGGTCGATGTAGAGAGAGTCGTTAATCGTTCAATCAGAAGACTCGTGAAATGGCTTAAAAAAATGGGCATGGATGTAGCTCCGCACAAAACAACTTGCTGTATTTTTTCTAGATCAAGGAGAAATTTTGATCATATAGGAATATACATAGGAGACTCACAAATTAGTTGCGAGGACAAGATGAAACACCTGGGAATTATCCTTGATAAAAAACTCTCCTGGTCCCAACACATAAAATATATATCGGATAAAGCCATTAGGGCACTAGGAATATTGCGGATAGTATCTAGGGCTTCTTGGGGTACTTCCCCTATATTAGCTCTTATGGTGTACCGGAATTTGATTCGTGCTATTCTTGATTGGGGTGCACCCTTATATACAAATTCAGCCCCTACAACCTTGAAAAGTCTGGACAGAGTCCAGTCGTCAGCATTGAGAGCAGCTTTGGGATGTTTAAGGTCAACCCCAATTCCGGTTTTGCTCGCGGAGGCGGACGAACCAACTCTATCCTTCAGAAGAACCTATCTTTCGAATTTCTTTATTTTGCGCAACTCTCAATGGTCCGAAAACCCTCTTATATTATTATTACAGACTCTAAAGGACACCACTAAACTTTTTCCTCGTAAGATCAGGTTGGACAAGATCCCTCTTTTAGATTCGCTTGAAAGGACCTTCCCTTTAATTGCTTTCGGTAAAAGAACACTAAAACCGGCATGTTTTGACTGGAGATGGCAGTCAATGATTTTTTCTCCCAATTGTAACATTAACTCAGGACAGGCTTTGAAGTTCAGCGAAAATCCAGAGCGAGACTTCCGCGAGATACTGTCGGACCAATATCAGGGCTTTAGAATAATCTATACAGACGGCTCTTTGAACCCCATCAATGGAATGGCTTCCTCTGCATTCTACGATGAGACAAGCTCATACTCGGGAGGAGTCCCACTTCAACCTTTCACTTCTATACTAACGGCAGAATTACTTGCCATACATAGGGCAATTCTTTACGCACACAATAATAGACTTTCCAAAATCCTTATAGTCACAGACTCACTCTCTTCTGTATACCGTCTAAGCAACTGCTACCTGTACAAGGACAACTCCTACTTAATACATGACATTTTGGACCTTCTTTTCCCTCAGTTTCCTTTAGTTCCCAAAACTGTGGTTGGATTCCTATGGGTGCCGGCACACTCGGGAATAAGAGGCAACGAACATGTTGACTCTATATGCAAAGAAGTTAATAAACAAAATAAAAGAATATATTTTGGACCACCTTTGAGTGACATCACGCGGGACGTCCTACTTCCGGATCGATCTGCAAACTGGGTGCACATGTGGCCATTTTCGGATCGAAATCTGGAGGGGCATAGGTACTTCTCGCGTGTGTCGCCGAAGACTAGTAGACCTTGGTTTGGAGATTCCCTGCACCCTAGAAAATGGATCAATACCATTACTAGACTCAGAACAGGTCACACCTTTACCTATGAACTATTTCAAAGAATAAATTGGAATGTGGCGGTGAGATGTGGCTGCGGCGAGGAGCGGAGAACTCTACAACACGTGTTGAATGTTTGTCCCAACCTGGCATTGGCCAGAGTTGGTTTATATAATTTCTTGAATAAAAGATATCCGGGTGTGGATCCGGCGGCTGTCTCGATCGATGATTTGATCTTTCCACCAGATAGTGAAACTGTGAGAGAGTTGGGCGGTTTTTTCGCTCATTCTGAGCAACTGATTTGAGATCCTATTATTGCTTTTGTCGTTTTAGCTTGAACACCTTGAGTATGTACTTTTGCACCTCTTTTGATCTAGCTTGGCTTCTCGTGGCGACTGTAAATGTTGGTACGAGTGTGAGTGGACCAAGTGGATCCTAGCAGATTTGGGTACATGTAAGGGTAAAATTCACAAAAAACTGATTTGCATTTTCTATGTAGTCCTGCTCATGACATCCTTATCTGCTTGCCTGCCCAAGAACATTCCTACCTTAGACTATAACTTCGAAATCGGATCTGAATGTGAATCACGGAAAATCTGGAGGGAGATGATCAACTCAACACTCTCATTGCCTATGCTCAAGATCAATACCAAAACTTTACAATACAGATACAACTTATAACAATAGTTACACTCTACTTCTTTATCATTTTATAGTTCTGTCAGTCGGCTAAGCCAGAAGACATCAAAGAAGAAGAAGAAGAAGAAATAATTCACTAGTAACTATAAAAACTTCAATAATGCCAAAATAAATCTGAAAGTGGCCACAACCGGTGCAGTGGCCACAAACGGTACATCTACCCTATCTCAATAAAAATCAAGAATTTAAATTATTCAGTTAAATCAAAACAAATAAAAAGAATTCAGGTAGGTATTGAAAATCAAGATAAAATTAATTTTGAGATATCATACATAAAATAATAATCAAATTTATATCAGATAAAAATGTAAACTGATGCGGTCAACGAATTGTTATAGTGAAACAGGTCTTCTCAAGATTTCCAAATGGTTTTAGACTTTTCTCTCAAATTATTCACAAAATAAAGAAAAATATAATTAATGAGGGCTTTCCTTCAATGATTTCACGGATTTCACAAAAAGAAATGGCGTCAAATGGCGTTGTTTGTTGATCACCTAGGAAATTCGTTGCCAACGTAAAAAAAGAAAGTTCCTTTACGCTGATTGGCTGGTTCAAATGGAAAGGGAATTCAAATATCCAAAAGATGATCTTTTGGTGCGAAGACTCACTGTCTTTTTTAAGGTAAATCAGAAAAATTACTTTGCTTTGGCTCAAATTTTTTAATAAATTAAAAATTGTACATTAATACAAAGTCATGCGTAACTCTTATAGAGAGACTTGAAACTTAATTTACAATTTACAATTGTTGCTCTTTGCATTTTATTAAATACTTAAAATTTATCTCTTAGACTTTATCTTTTTGAGCTTTCTGTGAATCGTATAAAGTCTTTAACTTATTAATATATATTTCTGGATCTGAATTGCTGACAGACTGTGGTTGTGCCCCTGGGACATTTACCACATTTATTCCAGAATTAAATTTTTTTGGTTCTTTCGAGAGTTTTTCCTTTTCTTCTATAACTTTGATTCTAATTGGTCCCTGAAAAATTTAAGAAATTCAATAAATATTTTTAAAAATTAATATTTTTCGGTCTTAGTTTTAAAAAGTGGTCAAGCTTTAGAATTAGTTAGTTATTTGTTTTTTGAAGTTTTGTTAGTTAAAAAAATTCTCTTCATTTGTATTTAAGAAAATACCTATATTAACTTTAAAGTAGGTACTATTATTTATTTTTATTTTTTGAAATATTTTAAAATAAATGTTTACTTTTCCTTTGGAGGCATTGTGAATTCTTTTGACGTTCTCATAATTTTTATTGTTATTCACAAGTGTAGGTACAACTTTTCCTGATTTACGTTGTATCTGATACTCAGCAATACTTTGCGCCCATGGACCCATGTCTCCATTCATTGCAGCATTTAAAATTATCTAGTTTAAAAAATTTTATATTTTATTATATTACAGGAAAATTTCAAGTGGAATTGCCCATATTTCTATAAATATGGGCAATTCCACGTGAAATTTTCATATGATATTTTAAAATCGGTTAAACATATTTTTTTCTCGTTCTTTATAGAAAAATATTAAATATACGTATTTTTTTATTTTTATATAATTGCCCAAATTTTCGAGTTATGAATTTTTGAAATTTTGGATTTTTAAAAGTAGCTATTTTCAGTATAGCTTATAAATCCTAGTTGAACCAAAAAAAAGATAATATAAATACTATACTCACATCTCTTCTTCTTTTCGATTCTTCAGGATTTCCGATAGGTTCTGTTTCCGATTGTGGACCCAGTTCTAGAATAACTTGAAAATCAGCATGTTCTCCTAAACTAAAGCCAACACCAAATCTAGAATCAGTTCCTATACAAACAAAATTTTTGTTAATTATATTTTTAAAAGTACAACCCAATACAAATTAAATTTTCATGTAACTCACCTTTTTTAATTGGTGGAATATTGGAATAAATTAGAGAGAGTATTGTAGGAACCTCCTCTGGTATAATTAAACATGCAGTACCTAAAACAGTGTAACAATATATAATCCAAAATATTCAATAAAAACTGTTTTTAAATTTACCTAATTTACCTAATTTTTGTTGAAAAAACATTCTTTTTTTTATAGAAAATAAAATTTAATTATATATAGAACTTACATTTTAAATAGAGAAAAACAATAAGAAGCACATTCATAGTCCTCATTTTAAACACGTTAGGATTTACAATTTTTTTACAAATTATGTCCTTCGTTTACATTGTTTTCTTGTTCAACAAAATTAATCTAAAACATAAAACAAGTTTGAAAGTTTTTAATTTTATAGCTTTCGAAAAAAATAAGTTTTGCTAATTGATGCAACTTACATTCTGCTGAACTGTCTGGAAAATAAAATTTTACATGAATTCCTTTTAATAGTTTACATAAATTTGCCAATATCTCTATTTTAAAATGCAAAGTGGCAAAATAAAAAATTCAAGATGGCGGATGAAGGGACATAAAAAAGCTGGAATTTGCTTCAAACTTGTCACTCGGGAGTTTTAGGGTCGCTGTACACAAAGCTGATATCAGATTTATATTTATAAAATTTTATATTCAAAATGGCGGATCCAATATGCATTTTTTTATGTACTTCGTCCGCCATTTTGAATCCGCCATCTTGAATTTTTTATTCTGTCACTTTGCATTTTTAAGTAGATATAATGATATATAGATGATTTTTTTCTTCCGTTGTTGAAGTTTGTAAATCCTTTTTTATTCGATTATCGGAAGAGTGATAAATGAAACAATGTTACATTAGTTGTGCAACGTTTCGGTGTTTTGGTTTGACACCATCATCAGGCCACTAGTCATTTTACAAAATTAGTTTAAAAAAATTATTCAAATAAATAATTTGTTAATAGATATAATGATTTTCCTTGACCTGTGTGAATCCTAATAATTTACATTCAAATTGAATTTTAATACATATGATATGTATGGGGTATCTATAAATATCTTAATTACCATAAATTAAAAAAAAACAAAAAATATTTGAAGGACAATAATTTTTATTTGTTCTAATACAAATGTCCCACTTCCATTAATTATTATTCTTTAAGCATTGGTATTTGTCTGAGCATGAGTTAATACATGATGCGGCAATCTTAAGATTGGCATTCATTTTTTAATAAAAAAATAACACTTACCGCAGTTATTCCGTTTGAGGACAGAAGTAATCCTATTCGGATCCTAATAATTGGAGAAAATTTCAGTTAAAATTATTTTTCTGATGATAGAGTTGATTTAAAACTGATAACTAATTACAACTTTTAAAAAATTAATCATTTATATCGTATAAATAAGATTTTCTATAAGTAATTTTTCTTATAAGTTGTTTTTTTTAATTTTAAATAAGAAAAGTTTAGTCCTTAATTTCAGAAAAAAATTCCTAAAAAGAAAGTAAGAATTTATTGCAATATCTTGAAAAATATTTCGAAACTTTCTGATTTACTAAAAAAAGCATGTTCGATTCGAAAAATAAAATTTAAATATTTGAAGTTTAATTATAATTATTAATTTATATAAGCTAATTAAATGCAAAAAAAGCGCAACTTTCAAAAATATATGATAATCGTATGATTATTTACTTTTGAGAATAATTTTCTGTTTGTTAAAGTATAAAACTTTGTAGTGGCGCAAAGCAGCGCAAAGTACGCAAGTGAAGAAAAAGAGAAAATTTGCGTCCAAAGATCAAAAATAGAATATAAAATAAAATCACTGTGCAAAAAATGTCAGTGAATTTCAATTTTAATTCGTAATTCACGATCTAAAATATTTCTTGCCAAATAAATAATCTTTCGTTTATAAAGGTAATTGTAAATAAATATACACTGCAATATTATAATTTAAAAAGAAACCGGTTTAACGAATAATGATTATTATTATTATTAATTATGTATTGAATTTAATATGGATTATTAAATTAAAATAAGAGTAAAATGGGATTTAAAAAAATGAAACCAACCTAAATACAAAGATAACGGGCAGCGACTTTAAATGAACTGACGTTCTGTTTGATTGCTGATTCTAGCTTCAGAGTCTTTCGAGAAGTTTAACCGAAGTTTTATAGTGAAAGGAGTTCCCGTCTTATCCAGGTCGGTGACATATGTCTGATTCAATATATTAACTCTCTCCAGTTCCGACCTTCCCATTACTATTAAAGATGGACTTTTCCCTATAGAGTAATATGCATAGAAATTGAAAGTTGTCATATTATCGGAGCGGATGACGACCTCGTGCTATTAATCTTTATTCATCTTGGAAAACAAATACGAGCATAATAATCAGATATTTACAATCTAGATTCAAATGCGAAAATTATCGTAGTTTTTAAAATTCACAATTAAAATCAGTCTATCGTTTGAGAGGACTGATATTAGGTGTCAAATTTTTTAGGCTAGATCGAAACAAGTATTTACTTTTACTTTTCTTTCCATTTCAAGACCTTAGGAACTCAAAAATTAAATTTTAAAAAAGGACATTTACAAGTTTCATACAATTCAAAATATAAGGAATAAGGAGAAACAATGACTCAATTCGGAAATGTAATTAGTAATATTAATAAAATCAATCAATATTAAAACTTTAGTTATAAATTTTAAAATCAATCAGCGTACCCCAAAAACCCCCGAGTAAAAAGTTTCAAGGAAATCTGAACAATTTTTTTTTTAAATCCACCATTTTTATTTTTTTTTATATATTCAATTCTTATGTTATTAAAGTCACTGAATTAAAAAAAACATTCAGAAGAAGCAAAAATTCAGCTTTATTTATAGAAATTAAGTAAATTCCCATAAAAATCAGTTTCTCAAACTTCACCCCCCCCCCCAAGCCTGTAAAAAGAGAATACGAACTAACTTTTAGGTCGGACAATGTTTTTCTCTTTAGATACACCTTAAGGAAGAAAACCTACCACATGGCAGTCCAAATTTTTTTTTTGTGCCGGTGTAATTGGTCTTGATCCTTTGGGACATGATACTATTTTATCTTCTTCAATCTTGATTGAATTGATTTTATTTTTCTTCAAGTTTCTAGTACTTTTTGAGACGAATCTCTTTTGACTCACAAATGAACATTTTTCAAATATTTTGATTAAAGTTATCGGCATTTTGAAAATTAGAAATTTTGAAAAAAATAACTTTTTGTGGTTGATTTATAACAAAGTATGATAATTTTTTAAACATAAAAATCTTGAAGTTAATAGAAGAAAAATATAAATGTTTTCGCTCGCACTTGAGACACTTAATAAAATCCAACAAGGATGGAGATAGTATAACCCCTTCCCATACATCCCTGCTATTGAGTGCGACATCTCTGTGAAAATGAAGAACTATACCTAAATTCGTCTGCTTTAAATGTGCTTTAAATTTCACGTAAAGTATTTTCATTTACTGTAATTGTATTTATTAGTCGATTATTTTTACTATTACTCAATTTTAGAAGAATACAGGACAACGTATAACTAGAGGGTACGTATGAAAATTTATTGTATCATTAAAAAATAATATAGCAGAAGAACTTAATATATTTAAAATGAATTTATATTTTTTGTTTTAGTTTGTTATTTTTTTTTGAATTGGAAAAGTAATCGTGATATTAAAAGGAAAAATGTCCAGTTCAAAAGAAAAACTTACATTTGAAATCTGTAAGAAAAATTTTGAAAAATCACAATTACCTTCTGATAGGTGGTGTCACTTGGCGGAATATGAAAACTTTGTCGGCTTTGTGAAATTAGAAGAAGACTTCAATATTAAAAGGAAAGTTATCATTATGAAAGATTTGAGTACAAAAATTTTTTTCAATGACAAACTTTATCCTTTTTCTGAGTTTATGCATCTGAATAATATTGACGAACTTGTAAACCTGTTGCAAATTGTTGATACGATGAAAATATAAATTGTAAATTGTAAAACTTACGTTTTAGGTTTATGCATTTACTGTATCAGTAAATTAATATTTAACTTCTTTATACAATATTATAAGGTATATCAATTATATAAATTAGAAATAATCTACAACATAATAATGAACTGTGTTATAAAGAGAAATAAATAATTTTCTACAATGATGGCTTAATTTACTGTTTGATTAAATTAAACAGAATCATTTTTTATTGTAAAATACAAAACATGTCTTCTTATATATACAAATGCAGCCTAACATTTATTCCTTATGAAAAATGCAATATTTTCATTAAGAAATAGAAGATAGTTGAGGAAATGGATTTTGTTTTGAAATAACCAACTTTTTATGCTGATGGGAGATGTAGCCTTTGATTTTCTTTTCATTGATTAAATTAGCAACGAGACATTCTGTCTCGTCCATGTCAATATTTTCGACTCCATACATTTCGAGAGCAGTGAGTAGACTTTGAATGGGTATTTGATGAGTATTCAATACTAAATATACTTTCTTGAATAAATTTCTGTAGGCTATTATTTTCAGTTTCTCGACAATCAAATAAATTCCAGCTTCAATGAAAAATGACTCATGCTTATTCATAACTTCTTCTAAACTGCGTAAATTTCCCTTTTTCACGGCCTCCATCAATTCCCAAAATTGGAGTAAATTATACTTCTCCAAGACAAATTTTTTAGGCATGTGTCCCAATAACATTTTCACCGGCACCAAATAAGTGAGGATTAATCTTTTATTCTTGATGGATTGCTTGTGGCAATGCTCAAAGGCATACGTTAAATATTCGTCAGCTGAAAACAATTCAAAAAGTGGAAAAACGAAAAAAGACATAAAACACAGTAATACGGGAAGAAAGAAGAACTTACCAGTTTTATAATCACTATCGAACATGGCAGTACGTCCAACGAAGAACTTGTAAGTAATTTGTTGCGCCAGTGCAAAATGATCTTTATAAGCTGAGGATTCAATTGCCCTTATCAAAGGTTTACAAAGATGTAACTTATTAATTTTAAAGTAAACCTTTAACAGCTGGTTCACAAGTGCCAACATTCCCCATCGCTTTGTATCCTCCTCAGAGCTTCGATTGTCCGCCGCACAAACCCGAAAGCAACCCATTAAACATTCTGCACATTTTTCCAGAACTTCGCCAGGTTTTTGAGATTTGTTAAGCTTGGAATTTTCAGCTCGCACAGCGAGTAATCTCAATTCAAGGCACATCATATTCATCACAGGCAGCATCCAATTCTCTTCTTTTTGTAATTGTAAAATTTTCGTTAATGACTGAACTGCTAAACTCTGATTATTGTACGTTAACAATGGATCATCTTTGCTTACTGAAGCTAGTGTTCTGTAATTATGGAAAATTAGAGAAACTAAAAAGTGTTTGCGATTCATGATTTTTCATTATTTTTTATAAAGTTAGACTTCGGATTGACTTTTTTAAAATTCCACAAAAAGTCGTTTTAGTCGATTAAAAATAAGAAAAAAGTTACTTTTTCAATTCAGGGCTCTCATAAAAATATGTTTACGTGACTCTTCCTTAATTTCTAGAAAAGTTTTTAACTTTTCCCTTTATTCTGATACTAACCATCAATTTTAAGTTTTTGTAAAATTCAATTCATAACATTTTCGTGTATTGATCAAGGACCGATATTGAAACGAAACTAAATTAAAATTTACGTAAATTTACCTTTAAACATTGCAACCGCAATTCCTCCAAAATTTAATTATTTCTAAAAATTTCTACTCCAACTTCTTCAAAATTCAATTATTTTTATTTTTTAATCAAATTATCTTCTACAGCAATAATTATTAATAAATTTAAGAACATTCTTTGAAACGTAATTTTGATTAGAAAGTTTTTCAATTTAATAAAATATGTTGAAAAAGTGCAAAAAAAAAAAAAAGAAACAAGTGAATTAATAATAAATGAGAAATTTCAGAAAAATTTCAATCACAATTTTTAAAAAAATTAAATATTTGAAGGTTGAACAACATTTAAGTATATAAAAAATAATAATACAAAACTATATTTTTATGTATTTTTCTATGGATAATGTAAATCTTGGCTTTCAATAAATAACTTTAATTTTTCAACACAATCCGATGCCTGTGAAACTGTAGGGATTTCCTTATTTTCTATTACACCTGATTCTTTTTCATCTGAGGACTCATCTGAACAAATTTTCTTATTTAAAAATTCAGCAACAATCTCATTATCAGTCATTCTTCAGAACGTAAAGAAATTTTCATCAACAAATATTCATTGTATGATACGTTTTTTGAAATTATGGAAAATTTCGTATTATCGAGCGATTTTAACATTGCCAATCATATACATGCGCCTGTTTGAAAATCTTCAAAATATCGAGAGTTCTAAAATTTTAATTTCGAATTAACGAGACTTTTGTTTTTAAAAGGTGAAGAAAAAATTCGCATTTTTTTTGTAAATAGTGGAAAAAGTCCAAGGCCTGTAAAGTGAGAGAGAAAATAATTGATGATAATTGAAAGATAAGAAAATTACCTTAAATGACAAACTACAAGATCATCGAACGGAACATTTAAATTGTCCGTTGCCTTATGTATTGCCAATTCCGAGCTTATTTGGGGAATGTTAATGTGGTTGTGACGCAACGATAAAAGATCCTGAAAATATAAAAATTGATTTTAGTATTCAAAAAAAATAAATTAAAAATTTTTATTATTAAAAACTTTGAATGAAACTCTCAAAAGAAGAATATCTTACCGCTAAGGTATCTCCATCCTCATTGCTCCACATCCGACGAAGCTAGACAAAGTAAAGAGAATTATTTAATTTTGAACTAATTATTCAGACCAATAGTAGAAAAAAAAATTCACAATATTTTGACATATTTTGTATTTTTTAAACATTTTAATTGCATCTTCTGAAAATAAAGTTTAAGCAAAAAAAGCAAAAAATTAAATGCCCACAAATAGACTAATAGTCGAAAATTTTCCCCATTTCAACTATAAAATTGAAAGAATTACAAATATTAATACGAAACAACAAACAGAGATAGCTTTTCAGATATGAAAAGAAATCATCTTTAGCATGAGAGAAACAAAAAATTACAATTAAAAATTGCTTTAAATAATTATAGTTAATATAACAACTATTGTCAAGCATTATTGTTGCAAGACTTTTGTTTACTTTATTTGATAAAAATTTACCTGCGAAATATACGAATCCATTTGTTTCTATATTTGTCGTCTTCTTTGTAGGTTTATAAAAACACTAGATATTAAAAAATAAAATTAATCTTTGAATATTTAAAGCATTCGATTCAGTTCAAAAGCATGATACTCTGTGTATCATTTTATTTATAAACAAACCGCACTGTTGGGAAGGAAGAGTGAAATCGACACTAGTATCAATAAAGCCCGATAGAGGGCTAATACACATGAATTAAAGGTGCATTTTCACCTTCAGTAAAAAATTAAAAATTGTCCAGAACGAAAATCCACATTGGAGTAAGAGAGACAGATATATAGCCTGTCTCTCTTAGTTTAATATAGATTTTCTATTTTGGACAATTTTTAGTTTACCGAAGGTGTGAATGCACCATAAGAGTGCGTCTCGCACACACATCAGGTTACTTCTGCAATACTTTTCTCAATAAAGGGCCCAAGAAAAGGATAGAAATGTCTTTTGTCCTTTTTTAGAGTAAGATAAATGATACTTCATTCCTTTTCACTCTCATGTAAAAATTACGATATGCGATAACATTAAAATTATTTTACTAATTAATAATTAATAAATTATTTAAGTTGTATTCAATGAATAATTTAATTTCTAAATATTATAGTTACTTTTGGCCAATATTTTCCTTTGCGTAATATTGAAATTAATACATTTAAATGCATTTTAGAAACCAAAATATTTTATTAGTTTAAAATACTTGTTTGTTAATTGAAAAAAAACTAGAATTTTTAATTTCTATTATTTTTCCTTAATTAACTCTTAATATGTATAAACAACTAATATTAAAATCTTCGTTACAACAAAAATAATAAATAAAAATTAATTTTGGTTTTTGGAATTAAAGGTAAAAAAAATCGAATAAACATTTTTATAAAAATGTATTATCATTAACTGTATACAAAATTTGGAAAAATTATTTAGAATATAGTTTTTACAAATAATAAATTTATCTTACATCAAACTAAAATAATGCACTGCATAAGAATGTCTTATTTTAATTATTATTATTATAATAGTATTTCGCGGATTGGTAAAATAAAATTCGCAAAACATATGTAATACAGAGGACAGAAAAACATATTTTCGGACCAATATTGTTAAGCACAGACAGTGGAAACATTTTTACAAGTTGCTATTAAATATCATGACAAGAAACTAAATATATATTTTTAGTTATGGCATTAAAATTACATGTATATGTAAATTTTATTAATTGAGTTTTGTGTTAATCATCTTTCATTCACGTAAAATCGAATAATTCGTTCTTTTCCAAAAGAATACTAGTTTAGGAAAATAACTTTTTTTTTAGTTATTCTCAGGTACATCTTTTTCACTATTCTAAGTAAATGCATCAGCTTTTTTTCTCATTCAATTTAAAAGTAGCATAGCAAGACTGATACAAGACCTTTTTGCTATTATCGATTAACAGTCACTCTCGATATACTGCATAGACATTTTTTTCATTAACTACTCGAATTTTATAAAGTTACTTACACTTAACCATATTTCATAAAATTTATCTTTTTTTCTGCAGAATGTCTTATATTCTCATCCAAAAATTTATGTCAATCAGGTAACAAAAAATTTCTAACGAATAATAAAAAAATAATTTCATGGAAGACAACACGCATATTATCATCTTTTGAAGCTGATTACATAAAGTTATAAAATAGAAAAAAAATTTTAGACTTTCGCTTTTAAAGCTAAATTTTGATACAGACAGCACTTAATATTTTTTTTTAATCCATCATACAACTTGACTTCATGGAAAAGTTTTTCTTATTTGGACAACTAATTCTCAGTGCTTTAGAATGCTTTAGTACGTACACTTATATCACAGTATCAAGCATTTATCTTCTTGTTTTTTCAGAAACGTAATTAATTTTGAATAAAATTAACTTTGCTCATATAAACGTAAACTTCAAACTGCAGGAAATAATTCTTCTCGGCGTTTATTGTTATATATTCTTTGACAATTTCGTAAAAAAAAATTAACGATATGTTTTATATTTAAAAAAAAACGTAAATGATGTAGAATAGAATATATTACACTCTCCAAACCTGAGAAAGTCTTTGGCACTTAAAAACTGTTTTACAAAAGCCGCTGTTATGGGTTATTTGCGATTCGCATGATGTGCTCCTGAAATGAAAATAATATCATGATATTGTTAAAGACTCAGTGGGTTAATCCATTATAATAAATTATATTAACTAAACTAAACTAAAGAATTTTCAACTAAAATTCTTCTTTAAATCAATTATTTTTAATAATTATTAAAAAAAAAGTTCTTTGAGAATTTTCAAATCCATTTGTTTGCAATTCAATTTTACGAAATATCGACTATTCGGAAATTCTGCAATTAAATATTATGTTAGAAAATAAAAACTAGAAATAATTTCAAAAGAAAATTCAAATTATACTTTTTCAAAATAATTAATTCTATACAGAATTGTTAATTAAAAGTAGGAAAAATTCAAATTTTGAAAGATTTTAATTCGAAACCTTTTTAAAATTCAATTTTTTTTTAAATTCATGCTATGCTTTTAATATTTAATTATTGTCTAGAATTTTAACTAAAATTAAAATTTAAATCAATTTTTATTAGAAAATTCAACCAGAATTCAATTATTTAAATACAAAAATAGATAATTGATTGAATAATTGAATGCTTCTTAAAATTGAATTCTCATAAAGAATTTTACCCAACAAAGTTTTAAATAATTGAATTATTTCGACGAATTTTACAAACATTTTTAAGAATAATTACATTTTTCGAGGAATTCGATTAAAATTGTATTAAAAACAATTTAAATTCTGCGATGTTTTCATTAGAATTTATAAAAATAGTTAAATCCTTAAAATAAATTTTATTAAATTTAAGAAAATAATTGAATCACAGCGAATTAATTTTTTAAAAATTTGTTAATTGAATTCTTCTGAAATTTTTATTGTTTTTGAAAATAATTGAATTTTTGGAAAGAATATTATAAAAAAAATTTTTTAAATAATTGAATTCTTTTGGAAAATTTTATTAAAATAGTTGATATTGGAAATCATTAAATTGAGGAAAATTTTTGAAAATAATTGAAATTTTGAATAATTGAAATTTTAATTCTTTCAAGAAATTTCAATAAAAATGGATTGAAAATAATTATTAAAGTCTAATAAACCAATTGTATTAAATTTTTTTTAAATTAAAATTTTTTGAAGAATTTTAATAACATTTTTAAGAATAATTGAATTTCTCGAAGAATTTATTTAAAATTGCATTAAAAGAAATAGAAATTCAGCGATAAATTTCATTAGTTTCAAAAGTAATTAAATTCTTGCCACGAATTTTATTAAATTTTTTAAAAATAATTGAATCTCTGTAAAAAATCTTATTATTTATGAAAATAATCGAATTATTGCGAAGAAATTTATAAAAAAATTTGTAAATAATTGAATTCCTGTGAAATTTTTATTATTTTTTGAAAAATAATTAAAAGTTTGTGTAGAATTTTATTAAATTTTTTTTTAAATAATTGAATTTCGGAGAAGAATTTAATTATTTCTAAAAAATAATTGAAATTTTAAAGAGAATTTAAAAAAATTTTTGAACATAATTGAACTTCTGCAAAAAATTTTATTACGTTTGAAAATAATTGAATTTCTGTGATCATTTCTTACTTTTTCAAAATTTCCAAAATTATATCGTACGATTTGTGAACTTTTAATATTTTTTTAAATTAAATTACGGACTTTACGGATCTTTTTTCCAAAAAAACGGACTTTTACAGACTTCAAGGAAAGTTACGAATTTTTACGGGATTTAAGGACCTAGTTCGAGTATTGAAAAAAGCAGTATAAATTACTCACAGGAATTACATCCGCATTTGGAATATCATTATGCGGTCCTCTCGTTTTGGGCGGCAATGCAGGCAATATAGATTCAGCAGTTAACTTTAAGTTGGGATTCTTCTTTCGTAATTCATTTTCCGTCACCTCTGCTATTTTCCGTACCGCTTCGGCATTCATACGCCTGTTATCGCTCCACAATGGACACCTAGAGGGAAATTAAAATGTTTTTAGTATTTAGCTTTCGATAGACATGCTAAAAAAAATTGAACACCAGATGACTTTTTATGGAACAATACTTGAAAATTGTTTACTAACAATTCAGAATTGGATGATCCTTGACCGTTGAAGTGCTTATAATCTCCGTTTTTAAGAGGCGTGGAACACAAGTAGCACATCGAGGCGCCGCAAACACACGTCATCTTATTACAGCCTTCTTCTTTGAAAAAGGGCTTTTGGCACTTGTAACAATTTCTCACCAGAGCTTTTGTCATTTTCTCCTCGAGCTTAAGGCGGGCTTCATCTTCCTTCATGACTTCGTCGCATCTTAAAGGGACGTGATTTAATTCCTTGCAAGACCTAAAGATAAAATTAAGTTTAAGTTTCCACATTCTTATTTATAAGAATTTTTCAAAATAATATAATGTAAAAATTTTTAATTCAAATTTTTTTCCATAAAAATAAAAAATGAATTGGAATATAGTTTTAATATTATTACAATAATGATTAATTAATTATTATTACAATAATCATATATTCTGTCACAGGGAATTCAGGGAAAACTCAGAGAATTTATCTTTAAAGTGTGGAGAGACAGAAAAATGAAGGAAAGAAAGAATACGAAGATTATTATAGTTTCAGTAAATAAAATATTGACTCTTAAATTTGAAATTGAATTGAAACTCACATGCACGTCTCCTTCATACAGTCAGGATTGAGGCATTTAAAGACTTTCGTCTCCGGTGGTGGTATCGACGCAAAGTGGCAGAATGGACATGACACCAGTCCTTCCAGGCCAGCGGCCATTACTTCCGCTTCCTGTCTCTTCTGCAGAAGAATGCTGAACGTCGTGGGAGGCAAAACGATTTGAAGCACCGAGAGGCTGAACTCTCGTTCGCACTCCGCAAAACAGTCTATGTGGTTTTGTCCATCTCCAATTTTGCTCTCAGAACCCCTTAGGACGCAAGTGTGACAGAAGACGTGTCCGTCTTCACAGGTCACGCACTTCTTGGGCAGACATTCCTCGTTGAAGCAGCACTGGCACTCGAGTAGTGCTCCTTGCTCCTATAAAACAAAGCCAATCAATTATTAGATTATTGAAAGATTTTTATTATTTCGGTCATTTTCATTGAACACGTGAATACAGGTCTTAGATGAGTTTTTAAAAGAAGAAAAAGAACCTCTACTTTTTCTATGACTATTAAATAATACATTTGAAAAATATAATAATTAAAATTTTTTCCCTCTTATTTCGATAACTATCTGTCGTACCCTTCTTCGACGGGTTTTAGTTTCTACCAATACATTTAACAATGTTTCTACCAATCTGGAAAATCAGAAAATAGCCGGGAATTTAATTTCACCGGAAAATTAATAATTAGTTACCATTAGCTATTTCGGTAGTATAATATTACTATTTGAATAGTCTCCACCCTTTAGCAAAAAATCAAAAATTATGAAAATTTCGAAAAACCGAATTTCTTAAAATTCAACATTTTTCCTTCTCTTTTATGGGATTAATCTTCATTATTTTTGTGCTTTTGGAAAATACTTTACTTATTTAATAGTCTCGACTCTTTGGTAAAAAATCTAAAATTATCAAAAATTTTCAAAAATTCAAAAATCCGAATTTCTTAAAATTCAACATTTTTCCTTCTTTTTTATGGCATTTAGCTTCATTATTTTTGTGCTCTTCAAAATAGTATATTAAGCAACAAGAGGAGAAAGGCAGCCATTTCTTTACGGTGATTTTTGTGACACGAGTGGAGGTCGAGGGCGCCGTAGGCGCCCCGAGACCTCCACTCGTGTCACAAAAATCATCGTAAAGAAATTGGCTGCCTTTATTCTCGTGTTACTTACGATATTTTTTATTCCTAATGCACAAAAGCGGCGATTTCAGATAGCAGACGACAGGGAGTAAAAGTCATTCACTTGTTCGATTTGTATGAAAATGGCGGCCGATTTCTCCCTTGGGCAAGAAAAATGCATGTGAACAGCTAATTTTCTTGCCCTTGGGAGAACACGGCCGCCATTTTCATACGGTCGAAGAAATGAATGACTTTCCTCCCTGTCGGCTGCTATCAGAAAGCGCCGTTTTTGTGCATGTGGGATAAAAATACTTTACTTATTTAATAGTCTCCACTTTTTGGTAAAAAATCTAAAATTTTCAAAAATTCAAAAATCCGAATTTCTTAAAATTCAACATTTTTCCTTCTTTTTTATGGCATTTAGCTTCATTATTTTTGTGCTCTTTAAAAATACTTTACTTATTTAATAGTCTCCACTTTTTGGTAAAAAATCTAAAATTTTCAAAAATTCAAAAATCCGAATTTCTTAAAATTCAACATTTTTCCTTCTTTTTTATGGCATTTAGCTTCATTATTTTTGTGCTCTTCAAAAATACTTTACTTATTTAATAGTCTCCACTTTTTGGTAAAAAATCTAAAATTTTCAAAAATTCAAAAATCCGAATTTCTTAAAATTCAACATTTTTCCTTCTTTTTTATAGCATTTAGCTTCATTATTTTTGTGCTTTTGGAAAATACTTTACTTATTTAATAGTCTCGAATCTTTGGTAAAAAATCTAAAATTATCAAAAATTCGAAAAAATTCAAAAATCCGAATTTCTTAAAATTCAACATTTTTTCTTCTCTTTTATGGGATTTAGCTTCATTATTTTTGTGCTTTTGGAAAATACTTTACTTATTTAATAGTCTCGAAACTTTGGTAAAAAATCTAAAATTATCAAAAATTCGAAAAAATTCAAAAATCCGAATTTCTTAAAATTCAACATTTTTTCTTCTCTTTTAAAGGGATTTAGCTTCATTATTTTTGTGCTTTTGGAAAATACTTTACTTATTTAATAGTCTCGACCCTTTGGTAAAAAATCTAAAATTATCAAAAATTCGAAAAAATTCAAAAATCCGAATGTCTTAAAATTCAACATTTTTTCTTCTCCTTTATGGCATTTAGCTTCATTACTTTTGTCTAATGTAGCAAATTTCTTACTTTACATACTGATCTTTAGATAAAAAACTTTAATAACTTTTCCTGAAAAGCTTGCATAAAGATTAAATATCACTATTTTTTTTAGGAAAAAGTGTAACAAAAAAACGAAAAAAAATTTCAAAATACGTCTTTTTAAAAATTTTATTGTAGAAATGGGTTGTATTTATCTGAAAAAGTTAGCTAAGGATAGTTTTGCATTCATTTTACAAAAAATAAAAAATTTGCATTTTTGTGATTTTTTGAATTTTTTGGAAAAATGTCATAACTTTCGTTCAAGTCAATATTTTTTAATCGGATAAAGCTGTGATTTTAAGTTAAGCCTAATAGACTGCCAAATTTCACTTTAATTGGTTAAACCTTTTTCAATTCATGCGCGAACAAAATTTTCCATACAAGCAGACAGACAGACATAAATTTTTTTTTTACATTTTTCGAATTCTAATGTCTCAAAACGAAAAAATATATAAAAATTTTCAAGTTTGGAGCACTGTACAAACAGAAGTCTGATTTTATTAATATAGATAGATATTATGAAAATTTTATTTTAAATCATTGAATTTTTGTGGAAACTTTATTTATGAAAATTATTGTATTTTTCGATTAATTAATTTAAAATAGTATTAAAAATAATTGAAATTCTTCGATGAGTTTTATTATTTACGAAAAAAATTGAATTATTGTGAAGAATTGTATAAAAATGTTGTTAAATAATTAATTTCTTCGAAATTTTTTTGAAAATACTATTCTAAATTGATTGAATCCCTGTGAAAATTTTATTCATGAAAATAATTTAATTATGGATGAATTTTATCAATTCTTTTTTGAATAATTGAATTCCTTTGCAAAATTTTGTGAAAATACTATAGATATTGAAAATAATTGAATCGTTTTAAAGAATTTGATTATAATTTTTGAGAATAATTTTTTTGATATATAAAATTTACGTATTCAGTGAAAATGACTGGAAATATTGATAAAACTAACCTTCAACTTTATGAAATCTTCCATTTCCTTCTTCTTAATATTCTCAATGTATGCTACAATTTCGGTCTTGTGTCTAATGTACGCCATTTCCTGAAGCAAGGGAATGTCCTGCGTCGGCATTTCGTAGTTGCTTCGCTTCCCTTTCATATCAGCACAAAGACTTCTTAAATCATTTGCCGCAAGACTTAAATGGTGATTTCTTCTTCTGTAAATTTGACTTATCGTTGCAACCTGGAATCAAAGACAGTAACAATTAAAAAAAAATTAAATTTGACGACTATTAACTTCCTTTCTTATCCTGTTCTATATAGGGCAAAATTTCTGCAATAATTTATAACTTTCCTAAAATTAAAATTTTTTTCGTGTTTCTAACTACAATTCTATAAATTCTAAAAATTCTATAAATGCATTATTTTTAATATTTTGTGAAAGACTTCTTTAAGAATTTTTAAATTCATTTGCTTACAATTCAATTTTACAAAACTTCAATTATTCGTAAATTCTTCAATTAAATATAAATTAGAAAATAAAAACTTGAAATAATTTTTAAAAAAATTCGCAATTAAACTTTCTCAAAAAAAAAAAAAAAATGAATTCCACAGAATTGTCAGTTAAAAATATGAAAAATTCAGATTTGCTAAGATTTTAATTTAAAACCTTTTCAAAATTCAATTATTTTTACAAATTCATGCTTTAATCCTTTTAATATTCAATTATAATCTAAAATTTTAACTGAAATCCATTTTTAAATCAATTTTTATTAGAAAATTCTACTAGAATTCAATTATTTAAATACAAAAAAAACAATTTTTTGAATAATTGTATGATTTATAAAATTGAATTCTCATTAAGAATTTTACCAACAAAGTTTTAAATAATTGAATTATTTCGACGAATACAAACATTTTTAAGAATAATTACATTTTTCGAGGAATTCGATTAAAATTGCATTAAAAGCAATTTAAATTCTGCGATGTTTTCATTACAATTTATAAAAATAATTGTATACTTAAAATAAATTTTATTACTTAAGAAAATAATTGAAACACAGCGAATTAATTTTTTAAAAATTTGTTAATTGAATTCTTGTGAAATTTTTATTATTTTTGAAAATAATTGAATTTTTGGAAAGAATTTTATAAAAAAATTTTTTTAAATAATTGAATACTTTTAGAAAATTTTATTATAATTTTCAATTCATTTTTTAAAAATTCGTTATTTGAATTTCTGTGAAATTCTTATTAAGTATTTTTGAAGATAATTGGATTTTTACGAAGAATTTTATCAATATTTTTTTTTTCATAATTGAATTATTTTGGAAACTTTTACTAAAATAATAAATATTGAAAATCATTTTAAATTGAGGAAAATTTTTTTAAATACAAATTGAAATTTTGACAAGAATTAAAAAAATTTTTTTGAAAATAATTGAATTTTGCCAAAGAATTTTATAATTCTTCTAAAAATAATTGAATTTTAGTGGTGAATTGAAATTTATTGAAATTCCTAAAAATAATTTAATTCCTGTGAAGGATTTCGATATTTATCATCAGAATAATTGAATTCTTTCGATAAATTACTTTTTTGCTATTTATGAAAATAAATCAAATTTAAAAAGATAGGGAAAAATCCGAGGCTGAGCCAATGACTAAAAATGTTGTTTACTAACCTTATGCTTACGGAAGATTTCCTTCAGAAATTCATTGGCAATCGGCTTATACGTGCAGTTTCTCGCCGGATTTTCAAAATGCTCGACCGGATTCGGAAAAATTTGCAAAAATTTCTCAATTTTGAAATTTGTCGTATAGTCCTTGATCTGTTGGTTGATTTTAATTTTCTCCAAATATTGTGCTCTCGTTGGATATTCAGGACGCTCCAAGTTCTGCTGTATAAAAGATTTCAAACTATCCGGATTCTTGTAGTTATCATCGACAAATTTTCGTAAATATTCCGGATCCGCTTCGGGGAATATTCCCAATAGCGTCTCATATTGTTCGTCCTTGTTTCCAATTATGTCCTCCGGATCGTCTTTAATTTCATGCGCGATTGGATGATTTGACCCATCGGCCAATAGTACTTCGACGAACATTTGTAGCTGTTGTTCTTTGCCGAGTCCCGTTCTATTAAAAGGAGGATTTATACATTTTTCCCTTATGAAAGTAGGATCAGTATTTGGAAACATGCTCCGAAGTTTGTAATAAGTGTCTTTGCAGTAAAGCTCATCAGTTTTTGAAGAGCTTGGACTGGGGTCAGTTAAAGGAATGGGTGATATTCTTTGTAGCTGTTTTTGATGATTTAGTGGACTTCCGGTGCTTGTCGATGGTAGTGAAGTTTGTTGGAGTGATTGAGTTGTTGGCATTTTGTAGAATTGAATTTGTTGATTTGGTTTCATGTACTCGAGTTTTAAGGGAGGTTTCTTTTTTTGAGCAGAAATTGCGACGGGATCAGTAAGTATTTTCGAACTTGAACTACTTTTTGAGGACGAATTGCTATTTTCGAGATTCTCGGGATCGAGATCAATGTCAAAAGGAGGGAAAGCAAATTTCGACCAAATTTCGTAATTTTCTTTTAGTGTTTCAGACATATCCATGCTTCTTGGTCTCTTACTAGAAGCTGAACTGTCTAAATTACTGTTAATTTTCTTCGGATTCGGCAAATAGAGTTTTTGTAGTCGAGTTGCATCAGCTGGGGAATTTATACTCGAAGCAGAAGTGTCTTTCTTCTGATTCGGCAAATAGAGACTTTGTAGACGATTTGCATCCGCCAGCGAATTACTACCCAAAGCAGCACTGTCTAGATTAATTTTCATTTTCTTCTGATGGAGATTTTGTACCCTTGCATTCGCCAGCGTATTCATATTATCACTTCCTTCGGAAATAAAACCCTCTTCGGAAATTTCTCTCGTTAGTTGCGATGATATTTTCCGTTTAGCTGACGGGTTCGACTGGTTCGACTGTTCAGTATTTAAAATAAGCTTAGGTGCGGAAATAATATTTTTCTTCCTAATAACAATCTCAGTTGGTTTTCCTCCAATCATATTCGAGTGAAATGAAAATTGAGCTGGTTTTATTACTTCCTTCTTCTTCTCTCTGTCGATCGATTCCTTCTCTTGAACATTTTCCGTAGAATTCGACGAACAATCAAAAGTTTCAGCTTTCTCGTTGCTTCTCACGACTTCCTGTATTCTAATCATTGTCTTGTCGTCGATTTTCGACGAGGCGAACGAATTCCCATTCTTTTTCGCTCTAATAGGACACGGTTCGTTTTCCCCTTTTCGTTTCCTGGCCTTTTCCGGAATGTTCGGTTCGGGTTTGTCCCTTGGCAGCAAATCCCACAAAACTATTGTCACCCTGTTCGAAGCCTTTCGGTACTTGTCGAGCATTGAAAAAATCGCATCTCCACTTATATCGGGAAACAATTGATTGATCGCTTCTGTTTCCTGTAACAACTTTTCATAGTCCACTTGAAAAGAAACTTGAGTCTCGAGTTCCTCTACTTCGCTATCGGATTCTTCTAGTTGAATAACATTACTGCAACTCGGTTGTGAATCTTCGATCGACATTATAATCTCAGTCACTGATCTCTCGGCTTCCGTTTCGTTAAAATCTCGACTACAACCCGCCACTGGACTCTGCGGTCGAATTTGTTCGCTTACTTGAATTTCCTCCAAATTATTATTATTATTAGGATCGTTGTTATTTTCTTCGAAAATTTCCAGATTCTCAGCTTCTCTGATGTTTGCAAATGAAGGCTCGGTGGGTAACTCTGGCAAAATAAGATTTTCCGATAAATCTTTCAATATACTTAAAATTGGAGGAGGTGATTCAGTTTTCGATTTCTTCTCCTCTGGTTCTTCATCTTCATCGTAGTCCGAATTTGTATAATAATTATCAACGTCGGTATCGTTAGATGCCTCATTTTGGAAAATATCTTCGAAACTATCCTCTGCTAGCAATTCACAGGAATTATTACTATTTTCACCTTTTGATTCTTTTTTCAAAACACTTTTTTCTGGGACCTTCGTCAAATCAACTGTTATTTGACTTTTCGTCTCATTTTTTAATTCATCGAGAACCTGAATGTCATTTCCGTTCTGATTATTTTTGAAATTACTCGAAGTTAATAAAAGATCAATTTCTGAATCTGCATTCGTTGATGAACTTCCATCAGTACATTCTTTCGATTCCAAGAATATCTGCGATACAATTGTTGGTGATTTTAAAATTTCTAATAGATTAAATATTTTTGTTGGAGGAATGTCACTTCTTCCGGCTTTTTTCAATTCGTCCTTCACTTTTTGCACGTCGTTAAAAATTTCCTCATACATTTTGGATGATCAAAAATCTCCTAAAATAAATAAATAAATATATAAAATATTTTAATATTAGTTCTTAATTAATTATACAATGTGGCTCGATTTGAAAATGATTAAATTTGAGTCAAATAAGCGAACATTTTACTTAAAACTATAAATTAAATTTTTCATAATTCTATAAAACATGAAAATATCAATCACTCTGAGTCTTCGATTTCTTCATGTTTTATAATAATTAAAGATGACCCAGTAATAAAAAATTGAAAATGAAAATGCATTGAAAATAACTGAAATTGTGGCGAAGAATTTTATTAAAATTTTTAAAAAATAATTGAATTCCCTGCGAAGAATTTTATTATTGAGGAAAATAATTCCATTTTTTTAAAACAATCTAATTTTTTAATAATTGAAAATCATCATTTAATTATTGAATCTTATTAAAATTTAAAAAAAAATAAAATTCCTCTCAAAATTTTATTAAGATTTTTAAAAATAATTGAATTCCTTGCGAAGAATTTTATTATTGGCGAAAATAATTCATTTTTTTAAAAATAATGAAGTTTCTTTAATAATTTTAATTGGAAATTTTCAAAGTGCTTGAATTTCATGAAGAATTTCTTTCAAGATTTTAAAATAATCGTATTTTTTAATAATTGAAATTAAACATTTAATTATTGAATTTTATTAAAATTTTAAAGAAAATAATTTAATTCCTCTTAAAATTTTATTACAATTTTTAAAAATATTGTAATTCTCTGCGAAGAATTTTATTATTGACGAAAATTCAATTCAATTCAATTTTTTAAAAATAATTAAGTTTCTTAAATAATTTTAAATGGAAATTTTCAAAGTGCTTGAATTTCATGAAGAATTTCTTTCAAGTTTTTTTTTTTAAAATCGTATTTTTTAATAATTGAAATTAATAAATATTGAATTTTATTAAAATTTTAAAGAAAATAATTAAATTTCTCTCAAAATTTTATTACAATCTTTAAAAATATTTTAATTCATTCAAAGAATTTTACTAAAATATGGAAAATAATTTAATTCTTTTAAACAATTTTATTAGTTTTTCTAAATAATTAAATTCTTTTTAAGAATTTCTTTAAGTTTTTTTTAAAAATAAATGTAGTTTTTTTAAATAATTTTAGTTGTAAACTTTGAAAATAATTAAATTAAACAATGTTCTTCAACTTTTTAAAATTATTCTGTTTGTTAATAATTATAATTAAAAATTTAGAACTAAATAATTAAAAAAACGACAATTAAATTTATTCAAAAAAGTTAATTCCACTGAATTGTTAGTAAAAAATTTGCAAAATTCAAATTTTCAAAGATTTTAATTTGAAACCATTTCAAATTCAATTATTTCTAAAATTTTAACTGAAATTTATTTTTAAATCAATTTTTAATAGAAAATTCAAGAAATTCAATTATTTAAATATAAAATTGAATAATTTATTGAATAATTGAAAGATTCTTAAAATTGAATTCTAATAAACAAATTATATCAATAAATTATTAAATAATTGAATTCTTTTGACAAATTTTAATAAAATTTTTTAAGAATAATAACATTTTTCGAGGAATTTAATTAAAATTGTATTAAAAATAATTGAAATTCTGCAATGAGTTTTTATTATTTGTGAAAATAATTTAATTCCTAAAAAGAATTTTATTATTTACGAGAGTAATTAAATCTTCTAAAAATTTTATTATTTATGAAAATAATTATTTTCTTTATTAATTATTGTGAAGAAATTAAAAAAAAAATTGTAAATAATTGAATTCCTTATCACCAGTTAGTGATAAGTTTATTATTTATTGTTTCTTTTTTTAATATCATATCTAAGAAATTAATTTTATTATCAACTTCTAGCTCATGAGTAAATTGTAAGTTAACCCTTAGGACTGTTTTACTTTCTCTTGATGTTAGTTCACTTTTTACTAACATTTCCTATTATATATTTTATAATAAAAAAAAGTCTTGAAATAAGCTTCGAAAAAAGGCCCCCTGTAAATATAACGTTGCAAAAATGATTTGTATAATATTATGAATTGGAAACATTTTTATCTTCTTCAAATGCAAGCCAAGCAAAATTTTGCAACGTTACAACAGAATTCCAAACTACCCACACTCCCTCTTGTTGCAAACATTTGCATTTAAAATAATTGTATTAAGAAATGTAACCCTAAATATAATTTCACCTAAATACAAAAAAGTAAACACACATTAAAAATAAATATTGAAACAAAATAATTTCATACCAATCAGATAAATTCGTATTTAAATTCATAATTTACATTTAATTCAATATTTAATCAAGTCAAACAATAAATATTTAAGAAAATTAAATATTTACCAAATAATAAATAAAACGAATGAGCAAATAAAGTGCGACTATTCTTAATTTTTAATTTTGTTTTGTTTCGTTTGCAATGACCTTATTAATTTCTCAAAATTGTACTCGAAGCTTAAACAAATACTAATTAGAGTTAACTAACAATCTTAATATCAGAAAGATTATTTTTATTTGAAAAATATCAATCTAATAGCGTCCAAAATTCTTACTTCGGTCAATAAATAATTTTTCATCACGAAGAAAGTCTCTTTTCGTCCACATAACCTTAGATTTCTTGTTATTAAAAAAAAATTACCTCACTGTAATAAAGACATATGTTATTGAAAAAATAAGAAAAAGAAGTACCTTTTCGTAGAGGAATAAATATCAACAAGCCAAGAGAGGAACGATGAAAATAGCAAATTGAAAAACAACAAAATACTTTCAATGTAAAAGAAATGTATTCGGCTGGATAATTTTCATAACTAGCAAAGCCATCAAAAATTTTACATTAAACTATCAAACATTTTACGTTCAAATCATCAATTAATCCAGTTCAAAACTAAAAAATATTATCTTTTACGAGCATATTTTTGTACAATAGTAGACATTATAATTATCATAATCAACATTAATGTAACTGTTTTCAATATGCCGAAACTGATACCGCCAGGCGATCTGAGTCACCAAAGTTCGTGTATAAACTTGTTTTAAACGATTTTGAATTTTTAGTGGTGGGATTTTAAGTGTGTTTCTACAATAGTTCTCATTGTCAATAAGGGAGCATTTACACCTTCGGTAAAATAAAAATTTCCCGTTCTGGACAATTTTTACCCTAAGGGTGCATTTACACCTCTGTTGGTGGGAAAAAAAATACCGAAAATTTAAGGGAGCATTTACACCTTCGGTAAGAATTTCCAGAACGGAAAATTTTTCATTGGAGTAAGAGAGACAGACTGTGTATCTTACTCTCTTACTCCAATGCAAATTTTCCTTTCTGGACAATTTTTACAGAAGGTGTAAACGCTCTATAAAAAACTCGCATTCACACCTAACTCTAAAGGTGTTCCTACAATAAACAAGAAAATGCATTTGATTCTAAGAAATTGCATGTTCTGCATATAAGTTTACTTTAAATCAGCAAATTATCAAAAATTTATATGCAGAGAATAGGAATTTACTTTTAATCATAGTATCATACATAATAAATAATGCATTTACAAGATATTGTAGAAACACCTTTACAACAGGGTGAACGCGATTTCGATATTTTTTCGATAAATGTTTTTTCTTCCAACAGAGGTGTAAATGCACCCTTAAGAATGAAGAGAGACAGTTCATAATTATCTTGTGCAGATGGCTCTGACAAAACCAAAAATATGTAGTGAGAGTGTGGGTCATGGTTCAATGTATTCTATGACAACACACCACTTTTATTTACTGCTTTATCATTTACTCGATATAGTTGAGTGTATACAAATAAATTTAATCGAAAAAGAATATTTATTCACTCTTTATTAAAAATGGCAGAAAAAACTGATAAATCAAAAGTTGACCTAGGACTTCTCGAAGAGGATGATGAGTTCGAAGAATTTCCAGCTGAAGGTAAAAAATTTAAAATAAAAATATTTTTTTGAAATAAACGAATTATTCTTACTTTAAGATAATTACTAATTTACTTAAATTATTTTATCATACTTCCCAAGTAAAAATATTAATAATAATTATGTTTAATTCTTTTTCTCTTTATCTATTAAGTATACATTTTATTTTGCAAGTAGTTATGGTCGATTCTCCTGAAAGAGACCCGTTTTTGTTTAAAATACCTACCAAACAATAAAATTATTAATTTTAAAATTTTCTTTTCATTAATAAGTTTTAAGGATGTTTAAAAATAAAAAAATACAAGTTGCGCAAAATTAATTTCCAGAAATACGACCTCTAGTAATATTTTATTATCATGTGTTCTAGAGGTTAAGTACAATTAATGATTATGTTTAAAACATTTAAAAACATGGTAGGTATTAATTAAAAAACGAGGCGAATTTGTCGATTTTTTAAAAAATATGTCCGCCATGTTGTATTTTTAAAAATCTCACACCGGAATCCTAATAAACGACCCGAAAAACCCCCGAGTTTTTGTTACTTTTATATATAAGTTTGATATCATTTAATAAAAAAATTATTTACGTTTTAAATTAATTATAATTATTCTGCAGATTGGACTGCAAAGGATGAAGATAATAGTGATATTAGCGTGAGTGTGTGGGAAGATAATTGGGATGATGACGATGTTGAAGACGACTTTAACCAACAATTAAGGTATTTATTCTCCTCCTTTAAGTACTGCTTTAAAATTAGTGTCGTCCTTTGAGAAAAGGACATAGAGCAAAAGAAAAATTAAACTTTGGATTATGCTGGGGTTTTTCTAAGAATTATATTGATTTTATTGCAGAGCACAACTCGAGAAACAAAAAACGCAGTCTGAGTTTACAAAGGATGCATAACTAAATATTTAAGTCGACGAAAAAATTATTTAAATAGATTATTGTTTTTTTTATTTTTTCTCCAATTCATTTTCTTTTCCACAAATTTAATAATTTGAAATAATAAAGAGCTACGTTTCTAGAAAAAAAAATACTTTCATTTAATTACATTCTTTAAAGTTATTTTCAATTAATGACCTATGACCTATATAATTAATGATCTATGTGACAATAGTTCAGAAGGTAAAAAAACGCTTTTTGGCAAAATTTCAAATTTACAGTTTTTGCTTTAGAATAAAAATGAGGGAAAAAATAAATGCAAATATTTCTTAATATAAATGTCAAATAATTTTATTTAAAAATTTTTATGAATATTTTTAATTAGTACAATGATTGTAGAATATAGCGGTTCAATTTTGTTTATAATGTAGAGAAATTGAAAGAATATAAAAATGCCTCAAAACTATCTATGGGCAAGTAACAGTGACTTTCGTGCGATCCTCTTTTGCGCAAAGATAGGTCGATACTGCGATGGTGCAGTTTTCTGATTCGGCATTTGGTTTCTGTGCGCAATTAGTTTTCTGCCCCTTAGCGCAATTGGTTTCTCCAAATGTAACATTTATTTTGTAGATTTTTTGTGCCACTGTTTCTCCCGTGGCACTGTTAATTTTGCCAATAACTGGTTTATAGGACTTGTTCGCCGCGTATTTTTCAAGACCAAGAGATGCGTACATCAGAATTTTTGAATTATCTACATCAATGTCAGTTACGCCAGTTTGAATACTCTGCAAGTGTTTTAAAAATATTTTGTCAGATTAAAATTTTTTTAATTCATTTTTAAATTTTTAAATTGTTTTTAAAATTTTTTAATTTATTTTAAAATTGATTTTTAAATTTTAAAATTGATTTTAAAATTTTTAAATTGATTATTAAATTTAAAAATTGATTTTTAATATTGATTGAGGTTTCAAAAAGATTTACTCATACAAGGAAATTAATATTTCCACCAATAAAATCCGGATGAATATTTACTAAAATTCATAAAATAAATAAGTAAACAGACCTTCAATAAATTAATTATTATCGAGCAGTTGGAATGAATTTTAATAAATTAGATAACAAGGCTTGAAAAAAAAGATATTTAAATGGAAATCATAATTTGTGACGTTCCACGGTGAAAGGGAATCCCAAACATAAATTTTATAAGTAAACACATTAGAAGTTGAGCCTCTCAAACTTTTATATTATTCTTCACTCAGTGATCACTTTTACTTCCCCACTGTTTTCTAATTAATAATTCTTTAAAAATTATTTTCAAATCTGCTTCAAACTTTTGCACAATTAATCTTCACTACGTTCTTTAGTAATATCGTAACCGAAAAAAATTTCTTTTTTCAAAAATTAATGATAAATGAAGATTTTCTTTTTGCTGTGTATAATATAATATCGATTTAAAATTCTCAAAATTAATAAAAGACAAAAGATTGTTTAAAAGAATAACTTACTGTTTCTTCATCATTCAGAGAACATACTGAGATTGTTTTTTGATACGAGCGTGCCGAAGACATTCCAATAACTAAGAGTAGTAGAAAAGTGCAGGTTGAAACCTGAAGATGGTTAAACGAGAACATTTTCTTAGTTTCTTCTTCACTCAAAGATTCACAATGACAATCTCTTCAAAACTCTGCCTACTATATATATACCGAAAATCACTAACTTTTTTCATAACAGGTTTATAATGGGAGAATTTCGAAATAGAAAAGATAATTTTATCAATTTTGTTTCTAATAATTACCTCTAAAAATAAATATATGTAAATGAAAATAAAATAGAATAATAATTATTTCCTACTTTCAGTAGTTTCAAAATTTTTTTATTTACCGCTTACTCAAAATTTTGGTCGTTATTAACCGATTAAGATAATTTTTTTTGGAAAATACTCATAATAAGAACCACTTTAAAGAAAAAATAAATGAAAAAAAAATTGTTTTTTGTCCAAAAAAAATTTTTTAAAAACTACCTCTTTGATTTAAACATTTTTTTTGTAGTTATTGTCTATAAAGCTCGTAATTATTATTAAGTTTCTGGTATTTTGAAATTTTAAAAAACTTTTAAGAGCCAAAACTATGTTATCAGGCCAGGAATTTTTTTTTAATTTTTGACTAGAATTTCATAAGTATTCAACTGGAAAAAGCTTGGATATACATTTATTGTTTTGTGGCAACCATGAAATTATTTACAAATTATTTTCATAAATTATTATTCAACGATTTTCATAAACAATAACATTTTTTACAGAGATTCAATTATTTTCATAAAATACCTACATAATAAAACTCATCGCAAATAACTTTCAATTATTTTTCATTTTTATAATACAATTTTAATGGAATTTCTCGAAAAATGTAATTATTCTAAAAAATTTTATTTTTCATAAAATTTTCATGAAATTCATTGTAGAAATTTAATTAATTTCAAAAATTTGGCAAAATTGAATTATTTCAAAAAATTTCACATAAGAATTCAATTATTTAATTAAAGAAATTTTAATAGAATTCGTCTCAAGAATTCAATTATATTTCCAAAAGTATTATAATTCTTCGCAAAAATCCAATTATTTTCAAAAATTTACAAAAAATCTCGTCAAAGTTACAATTATCTTTATAAAGAATAAAATTCCTCTCCGAAATTCAATTATTTTCAAAAATTATAATAAAATTCTTGGCCGAATTTCAATTATTTTTAATACAATTTACATCAAATTTCTTGAAAAATGAAATTATTTTTAAAAAATGTTATTAAATTTTGTCAACAGAATTGAATTATTTAAAAATTTTGTTGATAAAATTCCTAAATAAAATTCAATTTTAAGAAACATTTAATTATTACAGAGGGTGTCCAGCTACCTTGAAAAGTACTTAAATTTTTTTTGCTCCTTGAAAACCTTGAAAACACCTTGAATTTTATGACAATAGCTTGAAAAATTAAAATTCTTAAAAATGAGATTTATTTCTTTGACGTTTTAAGTTGAATTCTCTTCAATATTTCAATTATCTTTATAAATATAAAAATTCTTCGACGAAATTCAATTATATTCAGGAATTAAATTATTAATTATTAATTATTATTAATTAATTATATTATTATTATTATTATTAATTATTTATTATTATTATTATTATTATTATTATTATTATTATTATTATTATTTTTATTATTATTATTATTATTATTATTAATTATTCAATTATATTCAGGAAATTATATTCAGGAATAAAATTCATTGCAAAATACAATTATTTTCATAAATAACATTATTCACCACAAGAATTCAATTATTTTAAAAATTTTAATAAAAATCATGGCAAAAATTCAATTATTTTCAAAAATTTTAATAAAATTCATTGCAAAATTAAAATATTTTCATAAATAACATTATTCACCACAAGAATTCAATTATTTTAAAAATTTTAATAAAAATCATGGCAAAAAGTTAATTATTTTCAAAAGTAATAAAATTCATTGCAAATTTTCAATAATTATTTTCAAAATTTTTTTCCTAATTCAATAATTTGTATATCAATTATTTTAATATAAATTCTCAAAAGAATTAAATTATTTAAAATCAATTTTGATTGATGTTTCTTAAATCGATGTTCTTTATATTTTTAATATTTTATCAATAAATTATATTTAAAATTATTTATGAATAACTGTTGTATGTAGAAATTATAAAATTCACTAAAAAAAATAGTAGAAATGATTATTTATTAGTAAAGTTTACTAATTCAAAAGCAAAAAGTCAGTTACTAAATAAAATTAGTAATTATTTTTACTAATTGAAATTTAGACAGTAAGTAAAAATTTAATTGAAATACACTATTGAATTCTCGTATAATTTTTTAATAAATGTAACGCGATCTGAAGAAAGGGACCTTCGAAGCAAATCACTTTAAGGTTATGTTAGTGTTAGTTTTTCGTTAATTGAAAGTTACTTTCTACTTATTGCAAATTAAAATCAGTATTTATTAAATATTTTAGTTGTAATAAAAACTTAAACATTAATGACTTACATTGACAGTTGGTCCTTTTTTTGTATTTTCAGTTCAAAAATTTCAAACATAACCTATATTTTTTTGCTTCTAAGGTCTCTTTCTTCAGATCGCGTCATAAATATTGATTTAAAAATGAATTCCAGTTAAAATTTTAGATTATAATTGATTATTAAAAGCACTATATTATAGCGTGGATTTTTAGAAATAATTGAATTTTCCGAAGGTTTCAAATTAAAATCTTTGAAAATTTGAACTTCTCATATTTTTAATTATAAGAATTCTATAGTATTAATTTTTTTCAAAAAGTTTAATGGAATTTTTTTTTTTAATTATTTAAAGTCTTTAATTTCTAATATATTTAATTGAGAAATGTCAGAATAATCGAAATTTCATAAAACTAAATTGTAAATAAAAGAATTTGAAAATTCTCAAAGAACTTTTTCAAAAATTATTTTTAAAAAATTGACCAAAAGAAGAATTTTAGTTGAAAATTCTAGAAATTAATAATCTTAATGCTGAAAATAATTTTTGAAGAACTTACAGTAGCAAAGTAGCAAGTTTTAATTATTATAAGTTATTATTAAATTTCAAATTTTTGAAATAAAAAAAAAAATTTCAAATTTTTGAAATTTTTAATTTTTATATGAAAAAATAATAATGATTAAATATTTATTTAAAAATGAAATTATTGATGTTTTCGAATAATTTTCGTCCTAAAAACCTGGAAAAATTCTGTTTTTGAACCTGGAAAACATGGAAAAGTGAGGAAAAAATAAATGCAAAATATTTTTGAAAACGTCAAGTAATTTTATTTAAAATTTTTGTTTAATATAATAAAATATTAGTATAATGATAGTAGAATATAATAATTAATTTGTTTCAAACGTAGAAAATTTTTTCTGAACACAGCTTCTCGATGATGATTAAAGTGAACTGAAAAGAAGATAAGTTGTATTCCATATTACATATCAATTCAGTAGAAGGTGATTGTTAGAAAATTGAAAAATAAAATAGAAAAGTTTACAGAAGTTAGTTTGAACTATTGTAAAGACAATATTCAAGATAAATGCCGAGAAAATAAACATACCTCAAATCTATCTATGGACAAATAACAGTAATTTTCGCCTGATCTATCCAAGTTTGGGACAATGCTTCGACGATGCAGGTTTCAGATTTGCCATTTTCTTTCAGTTCGCAATTAGTTTCCTGTCCCTTGGCGCAATTGGTTTCTCCAAATGTAACATTTATTTTGAAGAGCAATCCTGCCACATGTTGTACCCTAGCACTATTAATTTTTACAATAATTGGTTTATAGGACTTGTCCATTGCGTATTTTGCAAGACCACGATGTGCGAACTGTTCAATGTAAGGATGATTTACTTTAAATTCAGTTTCGCTTAATATAGCAGGTCCTGTCTGCAAGTGTTTTGAAAATATTTTGTCAATTTTAAATTTCAGATCGTATTGATTTTTAATATTAAATCAGCATTCAAAAAGATTTACTCATACACAAGAAAACTAATATTTCCGCCAATAAAATCCGGATGTATAATTATTTATAAAAATTCATATAAATAGGTAACAAAAACTTTCAATAAATTAATTATCGATCAGTACGAATGAATTTTAATAAATTATATATAACCAGCATAGAAAAATAAGATATTTAACCTTAGGTCACAAAGTTCTTTAACTTCTATTTTATATGGATGATACTTTACTCAGTGGTCACTTTTGTTGTTTCCTATTTAATAACTTTAAAAATTATTTTCGAATCTACTTTAAACTTGTGAACAATTATAATCTTCACTATGTCCTTTAGTAATATCATGCATTCCGTACACAATAAAAAGAAAGTTTTGTTTTAATGACAGTAAGGAGGTCTTAAAAAAAGACAAACTATTTTTAAGAAAACCTTACTATTCCTTCATTACTCACAACGCTTCTCTTCGTCTGTTCTTTTCTTAACGAGAGTGCCGAAGACATACCAATAATTAAAAGCACTAGAAAAGTACAGGTTGAAACCTGAAGATGGTTAAACGAGAACATTTTCTTATAGTTTTTTCTTCACACAAAGATTCACAATGACAATCTTGAAAACTCTATCTATTATATATACCGAAAATCACTAACTTTTTACATAACAGGTTTATAAAAAGTGAGAATTTCATAATAGAAAAGATAGTTTTATTAATTTCGTTTGTAATATTTACCTCTAAAAATAAATATATATGTACATTAAAATAAAATAGAATAATAATTACTTCCTACTTAACTTAGGGCCAGTTTCATCAATATCGATTAAATGTTAATCAATGATTAAATCCTCATTCAACCAATCATGTGCCGTTAAAATGGCTTTAATCATTGCATTGATTAAATTTTAATTGAGGTTAGTGAAATTAACCTTTAGGGCCAGTTTCACCAACTCCGATTAAAAATTAATCAATATGATTAAAGTCAGTTTAACCGCCCGTGATTGGTCGGTTAAGAATTTATGTAATTAAGAAAACAAAAAGATTTAGAAATTTGTTTGTAATACCTAATTGTTTATATTTCTGTTTTTCTTTTTAATTCTACACAGTAAATTAAGAGGTATAAAAAACAGTTGCAGCTTAAAATTACTCCAAAGAGGATTAAATCAATCAATTTTTGGATTAATTTTTATCCAGGAAAAAATGTATATAAATCAAAACCAACTCATTTTTGAAACATTTTGAAAAAATAATTCTTCGACGGATTATTTTAATTCTTGATGGATTGAATGCGGAAATACTCCCGATAAACTCCGCACAGTTTCCGCAAATTTTTATTTTTTGTATATTAGTATATTGACTAGCAACAATTCAGGCGGCTAAAATTCTTAACAAAAGTTTTAATGAAATTCTTCGTAAAAATTCAATCATTTTTAAAAAAATTTAATAAAATTTTTCATAGGAATTTATTTAACTTTTCAAAAATTTTCTTCAAATCAATTATTTTCAATATCTACCTACTATATTTCAATAAAAATTTTCAGAAGAATTCAGTTATTTAAAAAAAATGTTTAAAAAATTCTACTCACATATTTAATTATTTTCATATAACTAAGAAAAATTTTACAAGAATACAATTATAATTGAATTTTATAATTTCAGTTCAAATTTTAGATTATAATTTAAAATTAAAATCACTATATAGCGAGAATTTTTGTAAATAATTAAATTTTGAAAAGTTTCTCGAGTTAAAATCTTTTAAAATTTGAATTTTTCATACTTTTAACTGACAATTACGTGTATACAAGTAACTATTTTTTAAAGTTATTGAAGTTTTCGAATAATTTTATAATTAAAGAAATTGGTAAATAAATGTAATAGACCATTTTTTAAGTAAAATTTTTTATTTTATTTTCTAAAAATTCAAAAATTTGGAATTTAATTTCCAATTAAAATTTGCATTTGACAAATAGAATTTATAAACATTTTTTTCCTTTACTTTTAAAAAACTTTGAATTTTATTAAGAGAATTGTAATTAAGTAATAGAAATGATGTAAATTAAAAATTTTTTTTTTTTACTTATGAAAATTGAGAATTTTGTACAAAAATATTAAGAAACGGGAATATGTAACGTTTTTTTCCAAAAAGAAAAGAATAATTTTGTGAACAAATAATATTGTTATTATAATAATAAATAAAAGTTACCTATGCATCAAATGGGTACATTTCGTATTTCTTAATCATAATTTTTTAACAATTAACAATTTTCTAATATTTTTTATATATAAAAAGGAAAAAATATTTTTATACTAATTATCTTAAAATTTACATTTTGTAAAAAGTGCAATTAACCATATCTTCCTGAATGTCCGGGAAAGATAGAGAGTATACGAGAGAGTTGACCATTAAAAATTTTTTCTATTCTTTTGTGCCATTTGGCTTCAATATTTTTGTGTTCTTCAAAAATACTTGACTTATTTAAAAATCTCCAACCTTAGGTAAAAAATTTATAAATTTTCAAAATTATCAAAAATTCGAAAATCCTAATTTCTTAAAATTCAACATTTTTTCTTCTCTTTTATGGCATTTAGCTTCAATATTTTTGTGCTCTTTAAAAATACTTTACTTATTTAAAAGTTTCCACCCTTTGAAAAAAATGTAAAGTTTTTCAAAATAAATTATCAAAAATTCGAAAAACCGAATTTCTTAATATTCAACATTTTTTCTATTCTTTTGTGCCAATTGGCTTCAATATTTTTGTGCTTTTCAAAAATAGATTACTTATTTGAAAATCTCCACCCTTTAGAAAAAATTTAAAATTTTTCAAAATTATGAAAAATTTGAAAAACCGAATATCTTAATATTCAACATTTTTTTTTCTTTTGTGCCAATTGGCTTTAATATTTTTGTGCTTTTTAAAAATAGTTTACTCATTTAAAAATCTCCAACCTTTGGAAAAAATTTACAGTTTTTCAAAATTATCAAAAATTCGAAAAACCGAATTTCTTAATTTTCAACATTTTTTCTATTCTTTTGAGCCATTTGGCTTCAATATTTTTGTGCTCTTGGAAAATACTTTACTTATTTGAAAATCTCTACCCTTTGGAAAAAATTTAAAATTTTTCAAAATTATGAAAAATTTTGAAAAACCGAATTTCTTAATATTCAACATTTTTTCTTTTCTTTTGTGCTATTTGGCTTTAATATTTTTGTGCTCTTAAAAAATACTTTACTTATTTAGTAGTCTCCACTTTTTGGTAAAAAATCTAAAATTTTCAAAAATTATCAAAATTTCGAAAAACCGATTTTCTTAAAATTCAACATTTTTTCGTCTGTTTTATTTCATTTAGCTTCAATATTTTTGTGCTTCTCAAAAATAGTTTACTTATTTGAAAATCTCCACCCATTGGAAAAAATTTAAAATTATTAAAAATTATGAAAAATTTAAAAAACCGAATTTATTAAAATTCAATTTCTTCTTTTCTTTTGTGCAGGCCTCGAACTGAGTACATAAATTAAGGAAAAGTACGTAATTTTGAATTTGGTACCTAAAAGTACGTAATTTTGACAAAAGGTCCGTAAAGTACGTAATTTTGACCATTTCGACTAAAAATCAAAATATGTATACAGATTGTGTATAAATATTTAGTTATGCCTTCTCTATTTTTATTCACATTCACTTTCCGATCAATCCGCTGACGGTGATCATTTTCAGAAACAATGATCGGTCGAAAACGAAAGTCATATTTTGTTAATAAAGGGTTCATACCACTATACATGCCTCAAAATTTAGCTTTTTTGTAGAATTTTTTTACGATCCATGTAAATTTTATTGATCTAGGTCTTTTATATCTAGGTATTTTTAAAAAAATTTTTTTCTTTTAACAAAGACACTCTCTAACTATATAGAAAACGTCGTTTCATTAAAAAAAATATTGTTTAATTATTTAAAATTTAACAATAGAATACACAACATGAAAAAATGTGAATTGAGTTACTGATAATATAAAAATTTACTGATTCAACTAGTAACTATGTAAGTACATAGCCTTTGTACGCGTTCAAATGTCACCTAAAATAATATATTTAAAGTGCTGAGATCTTTCTAAAATTTTACACAACATTTTTGAGATATTCTACTATACTTTCAAAATCCGTAAAAAAATTTAATTTTTTGAAGTTGACAAAGTGGTATGAACCCTTAAAGAATTTCAAAAACTTCTTAATTTACAGTTCTTAAGTAAAATTTTATCATAAGAACATATAAAATATTATTTCAATTTTAAGATTTTCTAAACTAATAAAAATATGTTGATTGAAATCCATGTAATTATTTAAACTATATCATTCTATTTTGCGATTTAAAGTCGGCACTTTAAATAAAAAATTACAAATTTTGGTACGTAAATTGGTCACTAATTTTTCCTTTTTTGGTACGTAAAGTACGTAATTTTCAGTGCCAAAGGCAGTTCGAGGCCTGTTTGTGGCATTTAGCTTCAATACGTAAAAGAAAATATCAACTTTTAAGTTTTTTATTTGGATTAATTCTCATCGTGAAAAGTATTTTAGCCTATTTGGGTCCCCTGAAGATGTACCTAAAGGTATTTGCTAATTATTATCAGTCAGATTTTGTATATTTGTTGTTAAAGCCAAAAACGCACTCTGGGGCCAAATGTTTAATATAATATAGGTGGGTCTAAATGTTAAGTGTATTTTTTTTCATTTTTTGTGTTTTTCGGGTATTTATGTTTAAAAATTATTTATTTAACATCAGGCAAGTACACGGTCAAATAATAAGACCGCTCACGTGAAATAAACCCAAAAAAATTTTGTTTTTAATTTTGAAATTTTAATTTATTAACTCTATAACTGTTCTAAAGGTATATAGTTAAATAAACGCAGTTGTTTTATTAACTAAATTTCTTGCTTTACGTATACTTTAACTTATCTCCTACTTAACACGAGGTTAAATGTTAAAAAAAACAAAATTTTGGAAAAAGAACAAAACAAGTATTTTACGCGAAAATATCAGAAACTTTTTTTATTGAAAGTTGTTGAGGACAAGTTGCCCTACAATATTGATCTATACATTATTATTTGCATCTAAGCGAATAATATTGTTTTTAAAAAAAATCATTTATGCAAAATTTAACATTTAGCCCTGGTCTTCCCTATATTTTACGAATATTTTTCTGGGGAATGTGAAAAAAATTTCAAAACTGTAGGTTGGGTTTTGACAAAATATTTCTACAACCTAAAGGATATACTTAATAAATTTTCAGAATTCACAATTATTGAACAAATGAAAATTAAGTGCTTGGTATAACGCAATTATTATAACACCCTATATGCAAAGAGAAAACATAATCTTAATATTAGGTTTCAGTCTATAAAGTTATTACAAACTGACATCCATTTCTACAAAAATTCGATTAAAATGAATTCAAATTAATTTTAAATTAACATTTCGAAAACTGGAAAAAAATTTAAATGAGGAAAAAATAAATTGCAAATATTTTTGAAAATAAGCGTGAAATAATTTTATTTAAAATTTTTGTTCAACATAATAAAATTTTAGTACAATTATCGTGGAATGTAGCAGTTAATTTGTTTCCAACGTAGAGAAATTTCTTCTGAACATAGCTTCTCGATGATGAATAAAGTGAGCTGAAAAGAAGATAAGTTGTATTCCATATTGCATATCAATAATTAAGTAGAAGATTAACAGAAATTAAACTTAGAACTATTTTAAAGAAGCCAAGAAAATAGAAATACCTCAAATCTATCTCTAGCAAGTAACAGTGGCATCCGGATGACCGTTATCTATCCAAGGTTGGGACACTAATTCGACGGTACAGGTTTCAAATTTGCCATTTTCTTTCAGTGCGCAATTAGTTTCCTGTCCCTTGGCGCAATTGGTTTCTCCAAATGTAACATTTATTTTGAAGAGCAATCCTGCCACATGTTGTACCCTAGCACTATTAATTTTTACAATAATTGGTTTATAGGACTTGTCCATTGCGTATTTTTCAAGACCAAAAGGTGCGTACAGTAGAACGTCTGGATGATTTACTTCAATATTAAATTCGGCTCCATGAAGAGTTCTTGTCTGCAAGTGTTTTTAAAATATTTTGTCAGTTTAAAATTTCAGATCGTATTGATTTTTATAATATTAAATCAGCATTCGAAAATTATGAAAATAATTAAATTCCTGAGAAATTTTAGTTATTTATGAAAATAATTAAATGTTTGCGTAAAATTTTAACAAAAATTTTGTTTAATAATTGAATTCTTTTGGTAAATTTATTTATTTTTTTTTTTTTTTATTGAAGTTAGTAGATATTAAAAATCATTGAATTGAGGAAAGTTTTTGAAAATAATTGAATTTCTGAGAAAAATTTTACTACTTTTGAAAATAATTGAATTTCTGACGAAAATTTTTGTAAAGTTTTTAAAATAATTGAAATACTGCGAAGAATTATATTACTTTTGAGAATAATTGAATTTTTGAGACGAATTTTATTAAAATTTCTTTTTAAATAATTGAATTCTTTTGTAAAATTTTATTGAAATAGTAGATATTAAAAATAAATGGATTTTAACAAGTTTTTGAAATTAATTGAATTTCTACGAAGAATTTAAAAAAAAAAATTTGAAAATAATACTTAAATTCTAATATAAAAATGGTAGCAAAGGTTTTTAAAATACCTGAATTTTTTTGATGAATTTTAATAAAATTTTTAAGAATAATTACATTTTTCGAGAAATTAAATTAAAATTAAATTAAATTTAAAAGTAATTGAAAGTTCTAATTAAATTCATTGAAAATTGAAATTTACAAAATTTCAAACTAAAATTGTTTGAATGAAGTTCATTTACTTATGAAAATTGTAAACGCAACTCTGAAAATTGAATTAATTTTGAAATATTTATATATGAAGTAGAATTTATCACTCGGTCGAAATTTATATATGTGAGAAGAAATCATTCTTTCCGAGTCAAATAAATTGACTCGGAAATAATTTGACTCGGAAAGAATGATTTCTTTTTTGAAATATTTAGTTTGTAAAAATTTTCAAAGTTTATAAAAGACGATAAAAAAATAACTTACTTTTCTTTCATTACTCAGAACACTTGACTCTGTCTCTTCTTTTTGTAACGAGAGAGCCGAAGACATGCCAATAATTAAAAGCACTAGATAAGTACAGGTGTTAAACGAGAACATTTTGTTATAATTTTTTCTTCACTCAAAGATTCGCAATGACAATCTTGAAAACTCTGCCTATTATATATACCGAAAATCATTAACTTTTTACGCACGTAACAGGCTTATAATGCGAGAATTTCGTAATTGAAAAAATAATTTTATCAATTTTGTTTAGGATGTTTACCTCTAAAACTAAATGTACATTAAAATGTAATAGAATAATAATAACTTTCTAAACCTGACTTAATGTCTCAACTGTGAATATAGTGATATACATTATAGTAAAATTGTAAATTCCAAAATATTGTCAATAGAATTTCCGCTTATACACGGAGAGAAAAATCAAGCGTTTGTAGTATGGACAGTTAAGCTTATTTCGTAAAAGAATGCACATGCGCAATATGCGTAAAACTTCTGCTGTATTTGTATAAATTTCTACGTTATCAGCATAAAAGTTCTACCTGTAACGCATGGGACGTCAGTATACTACGATTGCAAGAGATCCATGCTTTTTTAGTATATGTTTCATGCAACTGAGGTATAAAAACATGCCTCTTTAGCAGGACGTTTATACAAAATTAGCATAGGAAGTCTCCATACTACAAACGCTTGATTTTTCTCTCCGTGTATACGTAATAAAAGAAGCAAAACAAGATTGTTGTGTTGAAGTATTTCGAAATGTGTTCATAACACCTAATGGTTTATATTTTTGTTTTTAATTCTTAACACTAAACTAACAAGTATTAATAAGAGTTGCGCAACTTAAACCTTACTCCAAAAAAAGATTAAAACTATCAATTTTTGGATTAATTTTGTTTTTTTTTCTTTAAAAAATATTGTTTGACAAATCGAAAATATGCCGGTATTATTTCATGATTTATAATAAAATCAAATAAAATAATATTACAAATTAGAAAGTTTTAAACAAATTTTGATTAAGAAGTAATAATATTTTTCTAAAAAATTCTTAATTTTTATAAGAAAACAATTTGCATCATTTCTATTTCAATCTCTATTTTGTTTCAATGAAATTCAAAGTTTTTTAAAAGTAAAGAAAATGAAAATGTTTATAATTCACATTTGTCAATTAGAAAATTTAATTGAAAATTTTTGAATTTTTAGATTATTCAATAATAATATTCAATATTCAATTGTGTTCAAAAAATTTTTTTAATTCTCGTCAAAATTTTAGTTATTTTTATAGATAATAAAATTCTTCTCCGGAAATTTGTATAATTTTCCAAAATTTTAATTAAATTCTTGGCAAAATTTCAATTTTCTTTTTTTTTATTATAAAATATTCTGTTTGTTTATAAAACGCCTTTGGAGAACGTTCCTTCCTCTACGCACTGGTATAAAATTTTATAAGTACATAGTTTAAAAGTAAACAAAGATATTTATAATCTAATATTTTGTGCCTTAGTAGTACTACTAACAATATTTTTGCAACAATTTATGAATTGTAAAGTTTACATTAATTTAACTTTCTTCTTGTAAAATCTTTTCAAATTAAAATTTAACAAAGTAAGGTCTTACTGCAATAGTAGAAATCGTCATTCTTAACATTAATTTTAATTTTAATTTTATAAAAAAATTTTTTATTAAAAATTTTATTTTAAAAAAGAAAGCATTAAATGCAATTCTTCAGTCTTTTAAAATATAACAATACAAAAATATGAACAAGTTTTCTGGATAATTATTCATATCTGAAAAATCAATTTCTATGTAATAACAATAATAACAAGAATTTAGTTTATCGCATTTAGGCGAAATGTCATTTCTACTAAATTTTGAGGAGTAGAATCTTGATAGCAAACATAGACTTCTTTCTCCCTTGGATGAGAAAGTATTCTTCCTACCACCCAGTATGTTTGATTGTTCCATACAAATAATGTTCCATACTCTTTGGTTGATACCAAACTTTTGTTAACTACACTCTTTTCAACGTCTTGATTTGCAATTTTTCTATATCGCAAAGTATTTTGCAAGCATGTGTGCATCATTTGTACACAACTAGAAAATTTGCTAATTACTTCTGAATTTTTCGTGGCACATTTGTCAGAGAATGATGATATTAAAATACCTTCGCACAAATCTAAATGTAAATAATGAAGTAAATAATTTCCTTCTCCCACCGTCAATACATGAGATGAAATATATTCTGCTTCGCATAAAAGGCTGTCTCTGATACTGGAAATGTCCATGTTGTTCCCTTGCTTCTCATTCTATGGATTAAGGATAATTTTAATTCATGAAGTTTACAATTTTCATAAATAGATCAACTTCAACAGGTTTTAATTTTAAATTTTACAAAATTTCAATTTTTAATGAATTTTATTGGAAATTATAATGAAGTTTGATTTTTAAAAAATTTTAATAATTCAAATTCTGAAATTAAAATTTTTAAAAAAATTCTTGGGAAAATTTCAACTATTTTCATACCAAAGAATTCAATTATTAAAAAATTTGTTTGATAAAATTCTGTATGAGAATTCAATTTTAACAAACATTCAATTATTCAATAAATTATTGATTTTTTAATTTAAATAATTGAATTCTTCTAGAATTTTCTAATAAAAATTGATTTAAAAATGAGTTACCGAATAATCGATTTATTATTTATGAAAATAATTGAATTCTTGCAACAAATTTTATTACATATTTTTGAGAAATTTTACTACTTGTAAAAATAAATGAATTCTTGTGAAGGATTTTATTAAGATTTCCGTAAATAATTAATTTTTTTTTTGAAAAATTGTATGGCCTAATTTAAATTATTATAATCATGAAGATATCGATCACTCCGAGTCGGAGTCTCGGAGTTTATAATAAAATTTTGATAAATTGTTAATTTTAATAGGTTTGAATTACAAATTTTTTAAAATCTTAATTTCTATGGAAAAATAATAATGATTAAATATTTATTTTTAATAAAAATATTGACGTTTTCGAATAATTTTACAATTATTGAAATTTGTAAATAAATGTAATAGAATTTTGAGAATCTAATAATTTTTAAAGTGAATCAGAATATTCTTTAGGGTGAGGGAAAAAGTCAAAATTGTGTCTCGAAATCAGGAAAAAACAAAATTAAATATTTGTGGCAACCCTGTGAAAAATGGTACTAATGGAATGATATTTATAAAATTCAAACTTACTTTATAAATATCCACATCGGAGTCACTATCCTCTGAATATTTTAAAGCAATATTTATTTTTTCTCTAATTGCTCGACGACCTAGAATAGGAACAGCTTCATCACTCATTTCGCTAACGACTCCTGTTCCTTGACTCTGAGAATCATCCGATGCTTGTAAGGAATAAACTGAACAAAATAATAATTCTCAGTGTTATAATTTAGCTCGGTTAAACTAGCGACCCGCCGGCCGCCACCCATCAGAAGAATCCATAGGCGCCGACACACATATAGTAGCGCGGTGGCCCTATACGGTTCAATCAACGCAAAAAAAACGTACGCTAGCTATCACAGTTTATTAAAAAAATTTCAATTGTCACATTTTGAAGAGCAATAATCCCTCTTACATTTGCAACCAAGAATCAAAGATTTGGTCTAAAATTGTTCGAGTTATGAATTTTTTTCCGATTTTTTTCCCAATTTTCGTTTTTCTGATACGGGCGGGTGGGGACGCTGGCTATCGAAAATTTTTTAAATAAATTCTTATTGGTCACATTTTAAGGACCATTAATCCCTCTTTAATTTCTGACCAAGAAATAAGCATTTGGTCTAAAATTGTTCGAGTTATGAATTTTTTTCCGATTTTTTTCCCAATTTTCGTTTTTCTGATACGGGCGGGTGGGGACGCTGACTATCAAAAATTTTTTAAATAAATTCTTATTGTTCACATTTTAAAAAGGATTAATCGCTCTTTAATTTGCGACCAAGAAACAAAGAATTGGTTAAAAATTATTCGAGTTATGAATTTTTTTCCGATTTTTTTCCCAATTTTCGTTTTTCTGATACGGGCGGGTGGGGACGCTGGCTATCAAAAATTTTTTAAATAAATTCTTATTGGTCACATTTTAAGGACCATTAATCCCTCTTTAATTTCTGACCAAGAAATAAGCATTTGGTCTAAAATTGTTCGAGTTATGAATTTTTTTCCGATTTTTTTCCCAATTTTCGTTTTTCTGATACGGGCGGGTGGGGACGCTGGCTATCAAAAATTTTTTAAATAAATTCTTATTGGTCACATTTTAAGGACCATTAATCCCTCTTTAATTTCTGACCAAGAAATAAGCATTTGGTCTAAAATTGTTCGAGTTATGAATTTTTTTCCGATTTTTTTCCCAATTTTCGTTTTTCTGATACGGGCTGGTGGGGACGCTGGCTATCAAAAGTTTATTAAAAATATTTTCAATTGTCACATTTTGAAGAGCAATAATCCCTCTTTAATTTGCGACCAAGAAACAAAGAATTGGTCAAAAATTGTTCGAGTTATGAATTTTTTTCCGATTTTTTTCCCAATTTTCGTTTTTCTGATACGGGCGGGTGGGGACGCTGGCTATCAAAAGTTTATTAAAAATATTTTCAATTGTCACATTTTGAAGAGCAATAATCCCTCTTTAATTTGCGACCAAGAAACAAAGAATTGGTCAAAAATTGTTCGAGTTATGAATTTTTTTCCGATTTTTTTCCCAATTTTCGTTTTTCTGATACGGGCGGGTGGGGACGCTGGCTATCAAAAGTTTATTAAAAATATTTTCAATTGTCACATTTTGAAGAGCAATAATCCCTCTTTAATTTGCGACCAAGAAACAAAGAATTGGTTAAAAATTATTCGAGTTATGAATTTTTTTCCGATTTTTTTCCCAATTTTCGTTTTTCTGATACGGGCGGGTGGGGACGCTGACTATCAAAAATTTTTTAAATAAATTCTTATTGGTCACATTTTAAGGACCATTAATCCCTCTTTAATTTCTGACCAAGAAATAAGCATTTGGTCTAAAATTGTTCGAGTTATGAATTTTTTTCCGATTTTTTTCCCAATTTTCGTTTTTCTGATACGGGCGGGTGGGGACGCTGGCTATCAAAAATTTTTTAAATAAATTCTTATTGGTCACATTTTAAGGACCATTAATCCCTCTTTAATTTCTGACCAAGAAACAAAGAATTGGTTAAAAATTATTCGAGTTATGAATTTTTTTCCGATTTTTTTCCCAATTTTCGATTTTCTGATACGGGCGGGTGGGGACGCTGACTATCAAAAATTTTTTAAATAAATTCTTATTGGTCACATTTTAAGGACCATTAATCCCTCTTTAATTTCTGACCAAGAAATAAGCATTTGGTCTAAAATTGTTCGAGTTATGAATTTTTTTCCGATTTTTTTCCCAATTTTCGATTTTCTGATACGGGCGGGTGGGGACGCTGACTATCAAAAATTTTTTAAATAAATTCTTATTGGTCACATTTTAAGGACCATTAATCCCTCTTTAATTTCTGACCAAGAAATAAGCATTTGGTCTAAAATTGTTCGAGTTATGAATTTTTTTCCGATTTTTTTCCCAATTTTCGATTTTCTGATACGGGCGGGTGGGGACGCTGGCTATCAAAAGTTTATTAAAAATATTTTCAATTGTCACATTTTGAAGAGCAATAATCCCTCTTTAATTTGCGACCAAGAAACAAAGAATTGGTTAAAAATTATTCGAGTTATGAATTTTTTTCCGATTTTTTTCCCAATTTTCGTTTTTCTGATACGGGCGGGTGGGGACGCTGGCTATCAAAAATTTTTTAAATAAATTCTTATTGGTCACATTTTAAGGACCATTAATCCCTCTTTAATTTCTGACCAAGAAACAAAGAATTGGTTAAAAATTATTCGAGTTATGAATTTTTTTCCGATTTTTTTCCCAATTTTCGTTTTTCTGATACGGGCGGGTGGGGACGCTGGCTATCAAAAATTTTTTAAATAAATTCTTATTGGTCACATTTTAAGGACCATTAATCCCTCTTTAATTTCTGACCAAGAAACAAAGAATTGGTTAAAAATTATTCGAGTTATGAATTTTTTTCCGATTTTTTTCCCAATTTTCGTTTTCCTGATACGGGCGGGTGGGGACGCTGACTATCAAAAATTTTTAAAATAAATTCTTATTGTTCACATTTTAAAAAGGATTAATCGCTCTTTAATTTGCGACCAAGAAACAAAGAATTGGTTAAAAATTATTCGAGTTATGAATTTTTTTCCGATTTTTTTCCCAATTTTCGATTTTCTGATACGGGCGGGTGGGGACGCTGACTATCAAAAATTTTTTAAATAAATTCTTATTGGTCACATTTTAAGGACCATTAATCCCTCTTTAATTTCTGACCAAGAAATAAGCATTTGGTCTAAAATTGTTCGAGTTATGAATTTTTTTCCGATTTTTTTCCCAATTTTCGTTTTTCTGATACGGGCTGGTGGGGACGCTGGCTATCAAAAGTTTATTAAAAATATTTTCAATTGTCACATTTTGAAGAGCAATAATCCCTCTTTAATTTCTGACCAAGAAATAAGCATTTGGTCTAAAATTGTTCGAGTTATGAATTTTTTTCCGATTTTTTTCCCAATTTTCGATTTTCTGATACGGGCGGGTGGGGACGCTGACGATCAAAAATTTTTTAAATAAATTCTTATTGGTCACATTTTAAGGACCATTAATCCCTCTTTAATTTCTGACCAAGAAATAAGCATTTGGTCTAAAATTGTTCGAGTTATGAATTTTTTTCCGATTTTTTTCCCAATTTTCGTTTTTCTGATACGGGCGGGTGGGGACGCTGGCTATCAAAAATTTTTTAAATAAATTCTTATTGGTCACATTTTAAGGACCATTAATCCCTCTTTAATTTCTGACCAAGAAATAAGCATTTGGTCTAAAATTGTTCGAGTTATGAATTTTTTTCCGATTTTTTTCCCAATTTTCGTTTTTCTGATACGGGCTGGTGGGGACGCTGGCTATCAAAAATTTTTTAAATAAATTCTTATTGGTCACATTTTAAGGACCATTAATCCCTCTTTAATTTCTGACCAAGAAACAAAGAATTGGTTAAAAATTATTCGAGTTATGAATTTTTTTCCGATTTTTTTCCCAATTTTCGTTTTTCTGATACGGGCGGGTGGGGACGCTGGCTATCAAAAATTTTTTAAATAAATTCTTATTGGTCACATTTTAAGGACCATTAATCCCTCTTTAATTTCTGACCAAGAAACAAAGAATTGGTTAAAAATTATTCGAGTTATGAATTTTTTTCCGATTTTTTTCCCAATTTTCGTTTTTCTGATACGGGCGGGTGGGGACGCTGACTATCAAAAAATTTTAAATAAATTCTTATTGGTCACATTTTAAGGACCATTAATCCCTCTTTAATTTCTGACCAAGAAATAAGCATTTGGTCTAAAATTGTTCGAGTTATGAATTTTTTTCCGATTTTTTTCCCAATTTTCGTTTTTCTGATACGGGCGGGTGGGGACGCTGACTATCAAAAATTTTTTAAATAAATTCTTATTGTTCACATTTTAAAAAGGATTAATCGCTCTTTAATTTGCGACCAAGAAACAAAGAATTGGTTAAAAATTATTCGAGTTATGAATTTTTTTCCGATTTTTTTCCCAATTTTCGTTTTTCTGATACGGGCGGGTGGGGACGCTGGCTATCAAAAATTTTTTAAATAAATTCTTATTGGTCACATTTTAAGGACCATTAATCCCTCTTTAATTTCTGACCAAGAAATAAGCATTTGGTCTAAAATTGTTCGAGTTATGAATTTTTTTCCGATTTTTTTCCCAATTTTCGATTTTCTGATACGGGCGGGTGGGGACGCTGGCTATCAAAAGTTTATTAAAAATATTTTCAATTGTCACATTTTGAAGAGCAATAATCCCTCTTTAATTTGCGACCAAGAAATAAGCATTTGGTCTAAAATTGTTCGAGTTATGAATTTTTTTCCGATTTTTTTCCCAATTTTCGATTTTCTGATACGGGCGGGTGGGGACGCTGACTATCAAAAATTTTTTAAATAAATTCTTATTGGTCACATTTTAAGGACCATTAATCCCTCTTTAATTTCTGACCAAGAAATAAGCATTTGGTCTAAAATTGTTCGAGTTATGAATTTTTTTCCGATTTTTTTCCCAATTTTCGTTTTTCTGATACGGGCGGGTGGGGACGCTGGCTATCAAAAATTCGAACAATTTTAGACCAAATTTTTATTTTTTGGTCACAAATTTAAGGGGGATTATTGCTCTTTAAAATGTGACTATTGCATTTTTTTCTATAAACTGTAATAGCTAGCGTACGTTGTTTTTGCGTTGATTGAACCGTTTAGGGCCACCGCGCTACTATGTGTGTCGGCGCCTATGGATTTTTCTGATGGCTGGCGGCCGGCGGGTCGCTAGTTTCACCGAGCCAAACAATAAATATAATAAATAATAAATATAAATTGAAAAAAAGAAAAACTAACTTCAAATTGCGGACAGAAAAAATGAATCAATGCGATTATTATATGTCATAGTTACCTGATCCAGAAGCCATAGTATTATCCTCACTATTGTGTTTAGTAGAAAGTATTTCTTGCATTTTTTTACACGATGATATAGAATTAGTTTTATCAGAAGAATTTTGCATATCAGAAGATTTAATGAATCCAAAGATATTTTCTGCAATGCTAGTGGATGATCTTAAAGAAGTTTGTTCCTTATTTAATGCGTCTACCATAGTATTAACTAAAATCCATTTTTCCGCCAATGTTGTTATTCCAATTTTTTGTATATGTTGCAATGTCTCTTGAGCTTCTTCTACATAAAATGGATTTGGACCAACGTTTTCTTCAATTCTAATCGATTTAAAAAAAATGGTATTAATTAAATTGAAGTTTCTCCTTTTTCTCTGTCGAATGCATTTCTAGTAAAGATATAAACTAAATAATGAAATGAATAAATTAAACTTCTTACTTTGCAGTACATCCTCCAGATTCAAAAATAACAGCCAACAAATCATTCTTAAATCCAACAATAAGTAAAAAATACTGATTCTGAGGAAATGCAGATGCCTTGGAATTGTTTAAAAATTCTTCTGTAGGCAAGGAAGGGTAAACTTTTTTCCATATAATTAATGCTTTTAGGGATTCATTCGTAACCAAATTTAGTAGTCCATAATTCCGTAGGAATGAATTCACATTAATTAGATTATCGTGTGGTAGATGAGATCCTATCAAGTAACTTTTATGATACAAACAACTACCAATCACTGTATATAGACGCTGACAGTTCATTGGATCTTCATTCTGTAACAAACAATTTTATCAACAAAATCATTAAATAATTAAATTCTTTCGACGAATTTTAATAAAAAATTTTTAAAATAATTCCATTTTTCAAGAAATTTGATTTTAATTTGAAACCTTTTCAAAATTCAATTATTTCTAAAAATCCACGCTATATCGCTTTTAATATTCAATTATAATCTAAAATTTTAACTGAAATTCATATCATTATGAAATGAAAATCAATTTTTATTAGAAAATTTCACGAGAATTCCATTATTTAAATATAAAAGTAAATAATTTATTAAATAATATTGAATGTTTCTCAAAATTGAATTCTCCTAAAGAATTTTATCAAAAATTTTTTAAATAATTGAATTTTTTCGACGAAATTTATTAAAACTTGCATGAAAATAATTACTTTTTTCAAGGAATTATGAAAAAAAAGTAAAGTGCCGTCAACTGGGGCTATTTTGTGCATTCGGGGGCTATTTTGTGCACGCGAGTTTTTTAATGAAAAAAATTATTAAAATGAATTATTTTAATCTGCTATTTTGTAAAATGAAAGTTTGATTACATGACAATAGAGAGCACTAAATGTTATTATTTAATTCTTTGGCAATTAAGAGAAAAAAATTCCTAAAAACGGAAAATTTGTTTAAAAAATTTTGAAAGTTCGGAAAAATTATACCAGATCTTCTAGAGTTTTAATGTGTCTCATAAACTGTGTTAGATATTTGTTTTCAATTGTGTTGTGATGATACATACGTAATGCGCTAACTTTTTATTCATTATTTTAAGAGAAAAGTGGAAAAAACTGAAAAACCAGGATTCCATGGGGCTATTTTGTGCACTTAAAAAAATCAAATATTTTTCATAAATATTTTATTTAGTAAGTAAAGAAGATTCTGTTTATCATTTTTATACATTTTTGTCTTACTTTTCTGTCAAAAAACTGTAAATACGTTAATTAAAATCATTAAAACGATTAAAAGCTCTACCGGTGCACAACGTAACCTCAAAAAATGAACTTTAATTAATATTTATAAGTTTTTCAAATTAGTTTTAAAACTATTTTCTCGTTTCTCTTAAAATAACTTGAAAATCATATTAGATATTAAATTGTTATCTATTTAACCTTAAAAATATTTATTTCAAGTTTTTTAAAAATATCATTCAAAACCATTAAAAAAGCTCCTATTGAAATGATGTTTTAAAGTTATTTATAAGTGTTTAAACGATCATTTTATAATTATATTAGTATATTATTATAAAATATATATTAAAAAAGAAGAAAATTTTATTTACTATCTGCGTAATATACAATTTAAAGAAAGATTGTTAATTTTTAGTAAATCCAGATTTTAGCAAAATTTTAGTGCTTTATTTTACATTTTTTGTATAATATATCTACAAAAAAAATTTTACTAGGTCATTCTTTTTTTAATTTACTCTCAAATATATACACAAAAGATTTCATGAAGCAGAAACGATTAAAAAAATTGTTTACGCAACATTATAGAAAAACAAAGTTCGATGCACAAAATAGCCCCATCCCGGGAGTTATTGTGTTCACGACTTTCAATGACTATAACTAAGACAAAAAAAATTTTTTCTTTGCAAAATTTAAAGGAAACCTTCAGAAGGATGTCCACAACATATTTCAAAAGTTGATTTTCTTTATTCTCTTAATTCTGAATTTAAATAAATCTTTGAATAAAAAAAAAGCTATTTGGTGCACAAAATAGCCCCGGTTGACGGTATGAAAAATAAATTGAAATTTCGCGATGAGTTTTATTATTAGTAAAAATAATTGAATCCTTGAGAAGAATTTTATTACTCTTGAAAAATAATTGAATTTCTGCAATAATTTGTAACTTCTTCCAAAATTAAATTTTCTTTTAGTGTTTTTAAATAAAATTCTTCTATAAATTCATTATTTTTAATAATTTTTGAAAAAGTTATTTAAGAATTTTCAAATTCATTATTTTGAATAATTTTTGAAAAAGATCTTTGACAATTTTCAAATTCATTTGTTTACAATTCAATTTTACAAAATTTCAATTATTCGGAAATTCTTCAATTAAATATTATATTAGAAAATAAAAACTAGAAATAATTTTTTAAAAAAATTCAAATTAAACTTTTTCAAAATAATTACATAATTTCTACAGAATTGCTTTGTTAAAAATATGAAAAATTCCAATTTTCAAAGATTTTAATTTGAAACCTATTCAAAATTCAATTATTTCTAAAAATCCACGTTATAATGCTTTTAATATTTAATTATAATCTAAAATTTTAACTGAAATTCATTTGTAAAACAATTTATATTAGCAAATTCTATGAGAATTCAATTATTTAAATACAAATAAAATGCAAATAAATAATTTATTTAATAATTAAATGTTTCTTGAAATTCAACTCCCATAAAGAATTTTATCAACAAATTTTTAAATAATTAAATTATTTGGACGAATTTTAATAAAAATTTTAAGAATAATTACATTTTTCGAGGAATTCGATGAAAATTGCATTAAAAATAATTAAAATTCTGCAATGAATTTAATAATATAATTCTTTTGGAAAATTTTATTAAAATAGTAGATATTGAAAATTATTGAATTTGAGAAAACTATTGAAAATAATTGAATTTCGAAGAAGAATTTTATTATTTATAAAGATATTTGAAATTTTGATGAGAATTTAAAAAAATTTTTGAACATAATTGAAGTTTTGCGAAGAATTTTATTACTTTTGAAAATAATTGAATTTTTGCAATCATTTTTAATTTCTCTAAAATTCTCCAAATTATATTGTATAATTTACGAACTTTTCGTCTTTTCTCAATTAAATTACGGACTTTACGGATCTAGTTTGAGCCGTATGTTCTCTATAGTAAAATTAATTCTTACCCAATCTCGATAATCCATAGCTTCCATTTCATTTAAAGCCGAGTCTATTTGTATATGTGCTTCTTTCGGCAAACGAATTAATTGAGCGGCAGGTAAAATAGTTTCAAAATTACATGAATCTGCTGTATCGTTTGATGAGTCAGTGGATTTTTTTAATTGAATCCGTTGGCAAATGAGAAAAAGTAAATGATTCAATGATGAGTGATTTTCTAATGATGTGAAACATTGGGTCAAATTCCCATATAGAAATTCGAGCATTCGAACGATATCGGAATTTATTTCCACAGCTTGATGTTCGTCGCAACTGGAAAAAGTACAGTAAGATATAAACTGATAATATTTTTTCAAAATGCTTATATCAACTTTTTAAAAACCTACCAATTACTGGGTAGAGATATTAGTAGTAAATTATCCTCTCGAGCAGTGTACGACACGTAAACTTTTTGCTTTTTGCAAAGTATGGTAGAACTGAAACAAGAAAGACTTTTTATTTTGAAATAACTCCTTAAAGCTAAATTAATTAAAATTTGCATTTAATAGAAAGAGCGACTCAAATTTCCTTTAAATTTCGACCTTTTCTCGTAACGTCTCTTTTAGGAAAGAAAAAAAAAGATGTGGATTACCTTATTGAATTGGGTCCTAATATATCAGTTATCATGTGATTTAATGTGACAAACGCTCCTCTTGTTACAGAAAGTAATGTTTCTTGCATCATATCTTCTATTTTGGGAAAAGCGTATATAATATCTTGCGACTCAGGTACCACTTCAGCCAGATTTGTAGCTTTCACAAACATAATTCCAAAGGAATCTTTCGACATATTTTCCATGTGAGATTTACATTTGCTTTGATCGACAATATGTTTAACTAATGGAGATTGCTAAAAATAAGAATAACTTTAATGGAAACAATTTTAGTGATTCTAATTTTAGTCCATAATTATTTATGTTGAACTAGAATATTTTTTATTTATTAAGATTTAAACTTCATTTATATTCAAGCAGAAAGTTTCCTTATAATGCAACTTAAATTCGTTAGTAGAATGTATTTAATAATTACATTTTTAATTTCAAATAATTTCGTTAAATAAAAAGTGAAATAGAAGATAGTTAAATAAAATTTTTACCGTTGGAGTATTCATAGTAGGAAAATTTTCCGTTTTATTGATCGTGATTCGCTGAAATTCCAATAGTACCTATAATAAAAACAATATAAACTTTAATTCACAATAATATGAAAATAATGTGATGGAAACATTTCGAAGTCATTTAAAATTTTTTGAATTTTGATTCAATTGAAGATTTGGATTCATTCTGACATTTTAAGATTCGTATATTTTAAAATTTTTACTTACATCGGTAGCAGAGACAATATTTAAAAGAATACTATTCAGATTCTCGAATGTAACACTCGTCGAGTTGATACGTTGCAAATAATCACCTTCCTTTATACATTGTGATTTTATTGCTTCTCCATGCGGAACAAAACCAGTGACTACAACTTTTGTTCCATCCGATGATATTCCGGGTATTATACCCAAAAAAGCTTCGCATTTAGAAGCTCTTCTTCCTAAATTTTGTTTCTTTTCTGGATCCACAGTTAGTGTAACTTCATAAGTCTTATTTCTCTACGAAAACATTAAAAGTGTAACAGACTATAAAATAAGCTGCGCATTGACAATTATAGAATTCAATTGTTAAATATAAAATCCAAAAGGAGCATAATACTTACCATAATGTTCTTTACAGAAGAATTTTTATTTTTACTTGAAGCTTTATCAAGATTTAATGAAATATTCTGGTGAGTTTTATTTCGAGTACTACAACGACTGCTTTCACGTTGTTTAATAAAACGCATAAACCTTCCAGACGTATTTTTTCGTCTGGAAAATTGAGTTGACTTAAATTGATTCTCATTTTCCGGTAATTTTTCATTGATAACAACAAAATCTGGGTAAGATTCAATGTAGAATACTTCGCCAGTTGGACTAATTTCAGCTTCCCAATCAGCAATAGAACTATATAAAATAAAGTAGTATTGGTTAATGCTATTTAACATTATGTCAAAGAAATTTATTAATAATTTTGTAAATAATTGAATACCTGTTAAAATTTCCCAAGAATTTTATGAAAATTTTTCTAAAATAGTTGAATTTCGATGAAGAATTTTATTATTTATAAAGATAATTGAAATTTTTACGAGAATTTTTTTTTTAATTTTTGAACATGATTGAAATTCTGCGAAGAATTTTTATAACTTTTGAAAATAATTGAATTTTTTTAACCATTTGTATCTAATTTTTCCAAAATTTAATTTTTTTTTAGTATTTCTAACTAAATGAGAACAAGTTTAAATAATTGACTTTATTGTTAATACCAACCTGCTAGAGTCAGGGCTGTAAGATCCAGTGCTTGAAGTGCTTTCACTTGCCCACCAAATGTTTTCATCATCCTCGCACTTCCTATTAACATTGTTAGAGAATTCTGTGCCTTGCTTTGTTTCAATGTTTAATAACATTTTTGTATCCATTTCATTCATTTTAATTATTACAAAGATTGGTGATAACGATAAAGATCCATTTCACAGCTGAAAATAAGCGCATGTTCATTTTTATGGTTTCTATAAAAAAACAAAATTTTTTTTGTAGTTTATATTTTTTTACATCACATAGGTATTATTTCGTTTGTGAAATTTTATTTTCACCTTTATTAAACTGACATGCAGGTAAGTAACTAAATTTTTTTTATTTGGATTTTTCGGTTTAAATTGTTTGACAATCTGTTATTTTTTTGAATTTTGTCATTAATATTTTTTGTTTTTAATAAACACTTGTTGAGTATTACAAACATATAAAATTATCAGATTCTATAAATTATTATTTCCGAATTTTGCATATGTAATTATAAAATATAAAACGTGTATTAAATTAAATGCTATAAAATATATAAAATCAAAAAATACACACTTGAAACATCGACATATAATCAGAATCCAATTCGGTTACAAATAAAAATGTTTTGCAATGTTTTGATTTTGTTAAAAGTTTGTTTGCTTGGTTTGCTTTAAAATACCATGTGAGTTGGAGCAGGCATAAACTATGAAGTAGTAAATAGATAAGCACCCCAATTAAATCTTAAGGATCTTTCTACAACAATTTGTCCCATTGTTGTATAAAGGCGTCTACACACCTCCATCAGGCGAGCGCTCAATTTTCACATCCGTCAAAATTCACGTCACTAAATATAATTGGCTTAAAAAAGTTGCGTGAAAATGAACTTTTGTCTGAGTCAATCAAATTTAATAACATTAATTTCTACGACCTTGAATTTTGGCGTTCGTCCAAAAATTTTGAAGTGTCACCTTGAAACTGAAAGCGGACAACGTTAAACCCAACGCAGAATGAATACGGATACGGGAACAGGACATTGAAAAGAAAAGGACCTGTAATTTACAGTAAATTACAGTAATATGCAGTAATTATGCAGTAATATTACAGTAATTACCGTAGAAAACTCGAAGTTACGCGTAATGGTGTAATAGATTCGCGAACGTGATGCATGAGATAGAAAAGGACACAAACATATCTCTGCCCTTTTCTAACTCATGTGTTGCGTTCACGAATGACGTTCGCGCTGTTGTGCATTGACCTTCATAAACCTACGTATTGTGTATTTGCCTTTAGTATTCTTCATAGAACAGCCAACAGTTCGCACTGATTTTTTTTTGCTAAAAACATGATTGCGCTGTAAACAAGAGATCATTCAATAACAAACAAAAAAATATATTTTCGGACTACAAAAGAGTCTGTTGTATACAGAAATTTGATTTACGGGAAAATTTATGAAGGTAAGATTTATATATATTTTCTAGCAAATTAAGATTTCTTGACTTTCATCTATTTTTAATTCTATTTGTTCGTTATTTTTTGAAATAATAATCATTCAAGAATGGAAACGAGGAAACAGTTTTCATTAAAAACATAATTTTATTTGCTTGCATTTTTTAAGCTCTTTTGTAAATATTTAAATAGAAACAATTATTTTGTTAAAATTTTCCGAAAAGAATATACTTACACGCACTACAAACTATGACATATTTTTTGAAACGTACAAATTTAATATAGATATATAGTTTTAGACTTTCCCTGTACGTAATACGAATAGTAAACCGTCATTCCTTTATCAGTACAGAAAAACTATATACTACTTTATGCAATAATGATCAGTTTTAACTATTAATTCCAAGAATCGATCCAATTCTAACCTAGTGAAAAACAAAATTTATTAGTTTTATGCTCTGATGACAAAAAATTTGTTTTCTTTTGGATTAATCATTTACTTTAAGGAAACCAATAGTAATTATAGTATAATATATGAGTATATCTAATATAATATTTAATCATATAGTTATAAAACAAGGTAAATAAAATGAAAACATTCGGACAATGATTAAAATATAATTATTTACTCCAACGTTTCGAAATTTTAATGATTTTCTCTTCAGGAAGTCTATCAAAAATATACAAAATGAGAAAATTACAAAGAATAATTTAACAAAAAGAAAATAATATGATATGAAATGCAAATAATTATCTTACCAGAAATTAATAAGTCAAATAAATGAACATAATATAAAAAATATTGTATTGCACCCTATAACATTTAAGTAGAGTCTGGAGTCAGAAAAATTATATAATAGGCCCTTTTTTTAATAAATATAAATAAATAAAAAATAATAAACATGAGGGAAAATAAATTTAAAATTATTAAAAATTGAATTTATATTAATCGCGGAATTTTTTAAAATTATTGTGCAATACCCCTATCACGATTTTTCGGTGAAAACAAATGTCAGAAAATTAACAAATATACCATTCGAAAGCTTATAAAATTCTACGCTTAATGACATACAATTTTAAAAAATTTAAAATTTTTTTTATTAATTTTATTTTCATTTTAAAGTATATATTTTTACCTGAAAAAATGTGTAAATTTCATTAAAATCGATGTACAATATTCCGAGATATTAAAAATTTTATAAAATTAATATTAAAATTTTTTAAACTTTGGTTTTTTTTAAATTGCAAACAAAATTTAAAACTTATATAGATGTCATCTTTTAAGTCTCATCTTTAATTTGAGACCAAAGAGATTAAAAAATCTTATTCGGTCCGCGAGATATCATTATAAACGTCCGAACCGTTTTCAGCTAAAAACGGTTCAAAATAAGAATGAGATTTTTTAACTTTTTTGGTCTTAAATTAAAGATGAGACTTGAAGGATGACACCTATATAAGTTTTAAATTTTGTCTGCAATTTTTAAAAAATTTGTTAAAGTTGCCCTGTCTAATTGTATATAGTGTGAAAGTGTAAATCCATTGAACTGAAATATTTTGTTCTGAAGTGTACCGATTTTTATGGGACATGGAAAATAGTTCTGAAGGTATGTATATTAGTTTAATGTAGTCCAATAAAATATTCTATTCCCTGATCTATTTTATTAAATGTGTCACGCTCCGAAGAAAGGTACCTAAGAAGAAAAAAATTCGAGGTTATGTTTCTAATCTTTTGAGTAAAAATACAGAAAGAGCTTTAATAATTATTACTTAAAAATTATTGATCTTCAAGTCTTCATTATATCAAAAATATTCCATGAACACTGGTTTCAAATTCAAATAATTAAAAATAAGCTTTTAATAAAAATAAATCAAATAAATCTAAAACGAACCTAACCTATAATTCGTTTGCTTCTTATTTGCTAAATGTTCTGTACCACAAAAATTGTCTCTCTAATTAATAAAATATAGTAATAATGATGTATGAAAGAGGACTTTAGTTTTAACTAAAACATCTTATTGTATTATAATTATTTTCCCAATAAAATTCAGTTCAAAAAACAAATTTTTTATTGTATATTATTTCTTCCACATTAAATGTACCATTTTGATTTTTAATATTTGTTTTAACAATTTGAACTTCCCTAGATTGCCTAGATTTTAAAATCCTAGTTTCATAAAAATTCAACTAGATTTTTAAAATTTTTATAAAAATTCAACTTGTTTTATTAAAATTTTTCGCCATATTATTTCCGCCATTTTGAATTTTCAAAATCTGACTGGGACTGAACTTAGTTATTTTTAATTAAACCGAATTACAGTGTGTGAGAATTTTTCTCGTGAAAGAATAGTAAAAATATATAACATGAAGTTCATAAAATTTTGAATAGTTGAAACTTTAAGAAATGAGTAGTTTAGCTTAAAAGAAATTTAAAATAAATGAAATATTTTTTAAAAAGAATTCAACGCTTTATGATAAACATGCAATTTTGTTCTGTTTTGAAATAGGAAAATCCATCTCTGACAGCATGGATTTACTACAAAGTGAACCATTGTCAACACTGACTAATGATGAAGATGCCACTTTGAATAAAAGTGACGCAGAACAAGCGAAAAATTCTTATATTGCATCTGATGTTCATTTCCATAGTTTGGGTTTATCGATGGATTGTGGTAAACCCAGATTTAAGTTAAATGAAATGTGCTCAAGTTTTGCAACAAGTTCAATATGCCAACCTAATTTTCAAAATGACAAGGATTCAGCAGCTTCTGAGTCATTTGTTGTATTGAGTCATCCATCATTAGAAATGGTTCAGGCACGATCTTTGGCCAATTACATTCAAATTCAGGAAAAATGTACTTCCATTGTAAGTGATTCAAAGTTTTTTTTCCTTTTTTATCAGTACTCTTAAGTTTGACTAATAGAATTAATAACGAAGGAAACCAAAAGATCTATTTATCAGTTGCAAACCATAGGTTAACTAAAAACTAAACATAAAACTAAACTAAACATAGGAACTACTAAAATTCATATAAAGTCTCGAGAAATTAGTAATAAATGTTATTGACTTTTAGGATTACAATTCCGTAATATCAGGTTTGAGTCCTTCGGAAATTGAGCAAAAACTTACTGATTTATTACAAGAGAATGCCAAATTGAAGGAAACCTTAGTTGAAAATAATGTGGCTATGAAAAAACAATTTAATTCACTCGCAGCTTGGCAAGAAACAGTTTCTTCTGTTCATCAAAATCACAAAGAAAAATTTGCCGAGACTCGGGAATTAATGGAGCAACTCAAGAAGGAGAACATGAAACTTAAGATTAAAGTATCTATAAATGAACTCCATGATGACTCTCTTCGAAAGGTAAGAATAAAATTGAACTATAGATTATAAATTGATCTTAGATGTTCTATGCTTTTTAATAATTAAGGACACAATTTAAGAACATGTTCTTTTGGCTAAAACTTTTTTATTTATTGAGATATCGACTTGGAACCTTCACCAGATACTCCTAAGGCGTTAGACTTTAAGAAAACATCAAAATTTTCATTTTACCATACTAGATATTATACCCTTAATAGCTATTTTGTATTTTTACATTCTTATCAAGAACCAAAGAGTTAGTTAACAAATACCTAATTTCTTATTAACAATTATTTTTATTGCCATAAAATCTTTTAGACAACCGCTGAAAACCACTCTATTGTACCAAGTCTAACTGAAGTTTGTAACTGCCCTTGTCGCGCAGAGCTGGTAAAGATTCTAAAAGAGAAAATGATGGAATTAATCGAACATGATGAAAATTGTAAGAAATCAGTAGAAAATTTGACTGTTACTACTGAAAGTCCCGACGATGATTTTAGAGATAATTGTCAGGTTCTACAAAGTATGGACAAACCTCTTTCTTTGTCTATAATAAACTTCAAAGAATGCACAGAAGCAGAAAAAGAAACAACAACAAATGTGGAACAACAGATTGATCCTATTAACAAAAACGTACGATATCTTATAATTCTATAATTATAAATAAGATTAAGGATATTTTTAAATCATTCCAAAACTTTGTTTTGTCTTTTCTTCTACTTAGAAATTAAAAATTGATTATTTTTCTTTTTAGACTAATACTTTGATTCAACTTCCCGATTATGTGGAATCAATAATAAAACGAATTCCCCGAGCAGAATTTCGTGAACAACTAATTAATAGCATCAAACCGTACAATGAAAGTCTCGAATTACTTATTAATTGTTTCTCAGTTCAGTCTTCACGTTATGTTCGCGTTCAGGAATGTTTGAAAAAATGCATAGAAATTTTACAGAATTCCGAAACTTGTAACATCGATTTTCCAAACAGTAGGAATTCTTCCATCAGTTGTCAAAATTCTCTAAGTGAATGTCGTCAAAAACTTATTGACGAACAGTTGGAAAACATTGAAGATCAACAAAAATGGATTAGAATACAAAATGATCTTAAGAAGCTTTTCTATGACTATACATCAACGCGGTGTGATTTAGAAATGCTGCAAGAGGAAAGCAGAAAATTGTTGCCAAACAAAATTGAAACTACTGAAGAAAATTTACAATCTGAGACGCAATGCGATAAGGAGAAAACAAAATTAGAAGAAGAGGTGATAAATATTTCGCTTGAAAAGTTATCTCTTCATGAAGAGAAAAAGTCATTGGATAAACTTCAAAAGTCACTTGCAGTTGATCAAGAAAGTTTAAATAATGAAGTGGAAAAGATTAAATTGGAAAGATTAAACCTTTTGGAAGAGAAAACGGCTCTGGATAGGCAGAGTAAATTGTATGAGGATCAAGAGAATGCTTTAATCGCTGAGAAGAGAAATTTTACTAAAATGGCTGAGGAGCTTACTGAAAAAGTTGTTGATTTAGATGAGAAACTGAAAAAGCAGAACGAATCGTCATACGCAGATGTGAGTATTTTTTTTATTTGCTTTCCAAAAACAACCTACGTGTGCAGATAACAACTCACATATGTTAAGACTGAAATTTATTACAATAATTATTACCTGTAAATCGGTGCTTTTGCATGTATTGCTTAAATTTGTGCTTTAAATGACAAATTTAAATCCCATTTAAAATTAAAATGAGCTTTCTATATAGTAATAATTAATGACAACAGAATGTAAAACAAGTGAATATTAAACATTTTTTTTACAAATTTCTTCTATTCCATTATTTTTAGAAGGAAAATCTAATGATTCTCAGAGCACAACTAGATATTTATCGTACTGACTTTGAGCAAGAGAAGGCTTCAAAAAAGAATTTAATTCGCGAAAAGAATAAATTGATTGAACAAATGCAGTCTCTTACTGTTCAAAACCAAAATTTAAGAAAAGATATTGACATATTAAGACATGGAAACCAAACATCTTCGCCTTCTGCTGCAGGATGTAGTAGGAATCAGGTAAATTTCTGTTTTATTTAAACTTACTCAGGGTTGCCACGCCACCTAGAAACCTGGAAAACCTGGAAATGTTAATGGAAATTGTAATGAAAATATGAAATTTTTTTGCAGGAGGCAGTGAGTTCAAGTACCTCCACAGTGATTCAAATATACTCATGTCCCTTGTGTAGCCTAAAGTTTGCAAGTCTTGATCCATTGGTTAAACACACAGAAACATGTATAAAATAAGATTAATTTAATATTCATCTGTACCTTGTAACTGGTTACTGTAAAATTGTAAACTAAATTCAACAAATAACAATAATGCTATCTAATTCTAAAGTTCCTTATTTTTTTAAGTTTTTGAAAATTCATAGAAACACTCAGTATTGTCTGTTTAGGCGTCCACATTAATTTTTGTATAATATTTATGTTGAAATAAGAATTTTTTTTCTTAAAAATTATGATCGTTAGAAGGATTTTGCTGGCCGAACCATACATAAAAATTAATTATGTAAATAAAAACTATTTAACCTCAAATAGTCATTTTAATGGATTAAATAAACTTTATGAACAAATTGGATAAAAAATTATAATTATTATGCTTAGATTTTACCACTTTTGTGGAGAATTTGTAACAAATTATGTGTCTTCTATATTAAATTACATCTCTAGATTCAGTGCTGTTGAAACAGTTGGCATTGTCTAAAGTCATTTGAGAAGAAGATTCAGTGCACGCTTGCTATCATTTTAAAATCCTTAACCATAACCGACTTTTGTCAAAGCTAGATCGGATCGCCTTGGAAGAGCCCATTATAATAAATCAGCCTAGCGTCGTCCAAAGACATTAATGAAACAGTAGTGAACGAAGCAATCGAAGATCTGGAAAACCAAAGCCTCTCATGAAAATTATTACAAATTTCACATCAGTACCTGCAAATAAAAAATAGCTTCATCAAAATACGAAGAATAGAATAATAAAATATTACCATTAGATAAAAATTTCGAAAATTCACAAAAAATATAAGACGACAGATTATGTCATTATACATTCTTGCAACAAAAGTACCACTCATCACTTCTATCAACATCAACGACCAATTCAGAAGAGTGTCCAGAACACTTGTAGCATTATTTACTAGTATGCGGCGGAAAGTCCAGCATTGCAACTTCACCATCGCTCGTCATCCTAAAGGTCTATGGATTCAGGTTTTAATTCACATCATTCACTATCAGATCTCCTCAAGAAATTATAAATGGACATTTTACTTGGACCAACATTATGGATTGATTCGACGAACACAAAAAATGCGGTAAGTAATACAAAAAAATTATTTTCTTTTTTCTTTTCTTGAATTGTCTGTTATAAACAATGTTGAAGTTCGTAGAAATGCATCCTTTTGACCGTTTATCGCAGTTTAGAAAAAGGGGGATATTATATTTATAAAATGATGTGTCACAAGATAAAAATAGTCAGAATTTTTATTTCTGTTGAATTTATTTGAAAATAAATACACGCAGGAATTACGTTTCAGATTCCAGATTGTACCAAAATGAAGCTAGACTCTTTACTCTTTGTCTAACTTTTATCTCATTACGAGCATAGGTTAGAAAAAATATTTGAGAACGTTTTTTATGATTTTAGAAATTTTCAACATAAAGACTAGTTTGCATTCAAATGGCCATAAGTTTTCTGGCATGCAAGATATCAGGTTCCGGTTGGTACCAAAATGAAGCTGGACTCTCTACTTAACTTTCATCTCATTACGAGTATAGGCTAGGATAAATGTTTGAGAATGTTTTTTATGATTTTAGAAATTTGAAATTTTCAACATTTAGACTAGCTTGCATTCAAATGGCCATAACTTTTCTCGTATGCAAGATATCAGGTTCCGGTTGGTACCAAAATGAAGCTTGACTCGTTTCCTAGAAATTAATTAAAATTAATTAATCGAATTTGCGAATTTAAAGTATTGGAAATTAAAAAAAAAACAGAATTAGTATCTTTTAGTAGCGGAAATCTAAAAAAGTACCTAAATAGTACCATAACGTAAAAAGAGTAATAAGTGTAGTATAGGTTCTAGTAGATGAGTGTATTTCCAAATTCAGCGCCCCCTAGAAACGGCTATGAACTTACTGCAATAATTAGTAAAATTGAAATTATTCCTCTTGACAGTAACAAATTTTGATTGAATTTCAGTACTTGTTACTCTACATCATCCGTTTATTTGCATTTTTTGGTTTATAAAAGCTAATACCTATAAATGTACACATACATATAACTTCTGCTAAAATGTTTGCTAATAGGGAGATTTTTGAAGTACGCGTAATATGTGTGCTTGTTAGTAAAATTCGTTTTCAGATGTGTGTATACATATGTATATATGATATGTGTTTACATATGAACAACCTGATCAAATATTGAAGTTTGCCTTTTAGTACAGAACGTCGCCTCCGGCAATGTGGTTATAGTTCTCTATAGAGATTATATTTAACACAAATTTAAGGGATTTAGAAGCAGTAAATTATTCCTCTTCTATTTTATAGCAAATATGTTTTTATTTTGAGCAATTCCACGGGAAGTGATCTGAAGAATTTTCGATGATTTTAGCAATATTAATAATACTTACCGAATTTGTTCCCTTATATACATTGAATAAAAATGTATAAAAGTTTTTTCAAAATTTTCAAAATTTTTTGAGTTACCGCTTACTCAAAATTTTGGTCGGTTTTTCAAAAGAGGCACATAACTTTTTTCTTTGTTAACCGATTAAGATAATTTTTTTTGGAAAATACTTATAATAAGAAGCACTTTAAAGAAAAAAATAAAAAGAAAAAAAAATTTTTTTTTTTGCCCGAAAAAATTTAAAAAAAATTTTTTGAATCAAAATTTTGAAAAAAATACCTCTTCGATTTGAAATTTTTTTTTCTGTAGTTATTGTCTATAAAGTCAAGAATACTTCCTATAAATTTAATTATGGGACAACAGTAACTTTACGAGAAAAAAAATAAAATGTCCAGCGCGGCATGCCGGGACTCGTGCATGTATTCGCTTATGGCGGCGCAAGTTTCGTTCCAAATCACTCTACAAGTCACAATTTTTTGCCAAAACGATTTTTCTTTTTTTCTAAATCTTCGTAATTAAGTTTTTTATCGATCTCTCGAGCCCGGTTTTAAAATTTTGTTTTTAAACATTTTTTTAATAACAATAAATTTTAAAAAAATCATAAAATCGTAAAATATATTTTTTTCAGCTTCAATCATTCAGAAAATTAATCAAAAAACCTATTAAAAGAATATGTTTAAATGTTTCTGATGTATAACAAAAGTATACCAATTTATTAAATTGTTTAAACAATTAATTGTTATTTCTTTCCTAAACTGTACTTAAGGTTAGAAATTTCTAGTTTTTTCTCAATTGTTCAATTTTTCAGGAGTAAAACATCTACATTTGAAAAAAACCAAATTATTTATTTATTACATTGTTTGAACAATTAATTGTTGTTACTTTTTCATAAAATATACTTAGGGTTTGAAAATTCTAGTTTTTTCTTAATTGTTACAATTTTTCATGAGTAAAACATCTACTGATGATAAGAAATAAAAAATTATTTATTATAAAACTGTTTAGCCAATGAATTGTTGCCATTTTTTCATAAATTGCACTTAGGGCTAAAGTTTCTAGTTTTTTCAAAGTACAATTCATTAAAAAATAAAAAACTATAAATTAAATAATAAGTTTCTAGTTTTAAGTTCAGTAAATTGAAAACTTTACAAAAAATAAATTGTTTAAACAATGTTTAAATAATTAATTTTTAGTTTTTCTTTTATTCTTGAATGTTTTAGTTACAAAAAATGCACAATTAAAAAAACTAGAAGTTTCTAACCCTAAGTACAATTTAGGAAAGAAATAACAATTAATTGTTTAAACAATTTAATAAATTGGTATACTTTTGTTATACATCAGAAACACTCAAACATTCTTTTAATAGGTTTTTTGATTAATTTTCTGAATGATTGAAGCTGAAAAAAATATATTTTACGATTTTATGATTTTTTTAAAACTTATTGTTATTAAAAAAATGTTTAAAAACAAAATTTTAAAACCGGGCTCGAGAGATCGATAGAAAACTTAATTACGAAGATTTAGAAAAAAAGAATAATCGTTTTGGCAAAAAGTTGTGACTTGTAGAGTGATTTGGAACGAAACTTGCGCCGCCATAAGCGAATACATTCACGAGTCCCGGCATGCCGCGCTGGACATTTTATTTTTTTTCTCGTAAAGTTATTGTTGTCCCATAATTAAATTTATAGGAAGTATTCTTGACTTTATAGACAATAACTACAAAAAAAAAATTTTTAAATCGAAGAGGTATTTTTTTCAAAATTTTGATTCAAAAAATTTTTTTAAATTTTTTCGGGCAAAAAAAAAATTTTTTTTTCTTTTTATTTTTTTCTTTAAAGTGCTTCTTATTATGAGTATTTTCCAAAAAAAATTATCTTAATCGGTTAACAAAGAAAAAAGTTATGTGCCTCTTTTGAAAAACCGACCAAAATTTTGAGTAAGCGGTAACTCAAAAAATTTTGAAAATTTTGAAAAAACTTTTATACATTTTTATTCCATGTATATGAGGGAACAAATTCAGTAAGTATTATTAATATTCCTAAAATCATCGAAAATTCTTCAGATCACTTCCCGTGGAATTGCTCTTTTCTTTTAACCACAAGTGTTCTTTTATTAACAATACCTATATCTTTACTCTTACGTTAATCTATTTTCAATCATTTTGTTAACCTATCTTTTGAAATTTTTTTGTTCATATGGGTATTTTTCTGAAACTTTGAAACTTTATGCTGTCGCTTATTATGATTCCTAAAAAATTGTAAACATAATTTTTCAATATTATGTAAAAAAACCATAATGAGAGTAATATCTTTAAAATATCATGACTATATAATTTAAAAATTTTATTAAGTAGTAGAATTTATCACTATCGGTAAAAGATAAAATTAGTTAAAAATTTTATCTTTTATTTTAAAAATTTATCAATCAACTTGAAATAAAAATTTTAAATTGCGCTTTGCTATAATAATTATCGAAACCTTTCTGAAAATGCAATTTCGTTGAGGTAATATGATAATTAAGTAATTAATGACATCCGCGCCCTTAAAGGGTCGTAGGGTATCATAAATTGACATGCTAACAATCTCGGAGAGTGTCAAAATAATCAATATTCAAAAGACTAGCAGAGATGAATAAAAATCCTATTAAAGATTATTAAATTTAATAATAATGTCTAAGCTAAACATTTATATTGGTTTAGTTAAAGAATAC